TTCACACATATAATTTATTCACACGTGCATTATGTGGAAAAATATAACAATTTTGTTACAAGGGGAAAAATATTTAATTCTTTTCTTGCTTCAGTTGCCCGTTACAACACATACCTTATCATATCAAGTTCATATGGCTACTTGCGCCGTTTCGATGAATATTTTCTACAATTCTCAAGACATCATAAGACATCCATTTCAAGAAATACATGTGTGCAGCAACCCCTCGCCTCGGTTGAATCAAATTAATTAAGCGTAGGGATGGTAACACGAATTGTTAGAAAATTTATGTGGGTTGGGAGTTTTCGAGGGTACATGAATATGTGAGAAATAGAAATTGAGAAAAGTAAGAGTATGGAAATATTTTTCCGCACGTGGAAACACTGTAGCTATAGCAACTGCAAGAGCCGTATATTAAAGTTTACCCTCAAATTTTTGTGAAAAAAGGTCAAAAATACGACAAGATTCTTACCTTTTCCTGGAAGTTAAGTTATTCATCTATAGTCAGTGTTATGGTAAATTATTTTAATTGTTAAATACCACGAAGTATAACATCAGACGTCTCAAACAACTTCCGAAGTTTTATGTTACGCTTCGACTGGTTTTTCCACGGGAATGTCTTGATTTTATTTTTTTTTTGTCATTATGAAAACGGAGTTTATAAATGAAATTATAATGTCGTTTATCACATAACACAATAATATGTTGGGCAAACAACACCCAGTGAAATCTGCAAAAATATAAAAATGTGATCAGTCAACCCTATGCGCTAAAATCTTTGTCAAAGAACGGGAAACAAATTGTAGTATTTTAAAGAACAGGTATAAAAATCTAGCTTTACTTATTATCGCGTTTTGTCAACAAACTACGATACAATCTGTCGGCTAAACTCTTTCCAGTTTTTGCTCGTCAAAGTCCATCCCTTCCCTATCAATCTGGTAATGCATAAAGTTACCGAAAGGAGTTCTTCATGTCCCAACGTCGCATTATACCTTTGACTAGAACTCATTTCTGCGCCTTCAATTTCTATAGTCCTGGAAATTCAAAATTTATTGCCATTTCAGCTTGCACGAATCCTAAAGCATTAGGAATGGAAAGTGGAAAGATCCCACATTCACGAATAACTGCATCGTCGCAATGGAGTCACTTACATGGCGCAACCAATGCGCGGTTAAATTTCGCTAAGAATTCTGGATCATGGTCATCAAGATATAATAACCAAAACCAATGGCTTCAGGTTGATTTCAAATTCCGTGCGACAATTACCGATATTTTGACTCAAGGCCGTGGCAAGCACAACCAGTGGGTACGAAGCTATACGGTTTCATACTCTGATGATGGTCATAGATTCAAACCCTACCGAAGAAGCGGGCAAGATAAGGTACAATTATTTTGAATATATTGCCAGGGGCGTGCCGAGCGTAGGAGAGGGGTATGTAAATTAATACGGAGTTGACGGCTTTAAAACAAAGATAGGCGGTAATTTTCGAATTCATAGTACGGGAACAATGGTCGACCGGACACCGCGGAAATTGGTATAGGCTTAGCCGCAATTCTCGATACTTAGACTTCAAACTTGGTGAGGAAAAAGATTTATTAATATTCAAGAAAATATGTCTTGCACAAAAGATTTGAAGCTTGCTCACGGTAAAAACGAATCGTCTGAATTAATAACCTTGTGTATACTTTAAGCCTCAAAATGGCCATTTCACAGCGGTCAGATGTGTATGATGAGCTGTCAAAAGATTGCAGAATGCGTATTCAGAAGAAAAATTGAACTTTTTTAAGATATTCAAAAGGTTTCTCTTTGATAGGGCGATACAGAAATGCACAATTGTGAACCAGCGATTAGATTTTCGGGTTGAAACGTCTTAAACACCAATTTCTGCGGTGTCGGTCGACCGCTGGTAGATAAAATTGATAAGGTAGATGACCACTGTAGTACATTTATGTTAATTTATATCCCTCGATAAGTAAAATTGTGAAAATTCGTGGAAAAGTGAAATAGAAATAGTGGAATTAATCGGCAAATCCTGGGAGACACAACACCCCAATTTGAAAGACATCAGTACTCCACTGTAAATTTTCCAGATACACTATTTTCCTCAGAAGTAAGTAAATTGAGGCCTCGTGCGCGCCATTATCCTGTCACAATTGTGAGAGGATAATTGGTTTAATGGTCGAGGCGATCTCTTTAAAATGAAATTGTATACGCAATGCACTGATTTTCTTAATTCTGTATGTTTTAGGTATTCGCAGCAAACGTTGACGTTAAAAGCATTGTTAAAAACACACTCCACCCTGTTATTGTCGCTCGTTTCATCCGAATCCATCCTAAAACATGGCATGGTCATATTTCCATGCGAGTTGAATTCATTGGATGCTTTGAAGGTATAAATTTTCACATGCAATCAATCTTACAAACGCTTCAAGCTAAAAAGGCAATTGCATAGCTAAATGCATGGATGTAAAAAGTCTCCATACGCGACCTATAGGAGCTTCATATTCTAGATTAGACCTAATCACCAACAATGGACAGTACTTTGCTTCATAGCGTTTTGATACAACCAATTTTTAAACAACTAAAAGACCTAACTATATAACCACCTGTCTCGATTAGCCCTTAAGGTTACTTATAGGTGGTTATGCACATAATACTACTGTTATAAAAAAGCTTATTAATTTTGTAGAAAATTGTTGTATCTTTTGTGTGCAAAATATATTCTATTCTATTCTATTCTATTCTAACTGTTATTCTGTGTAAAATAAAATTCCACATGTTTCAAAAGATAGATAATCAGTTTTAATGCGCAAAAAATCTTCATTTGTTTACAAAAACTTGTATATATCCTAAAACATCCTAAATCCTAAAACATGGCATGGTCATATTTCCATGCGAGTTGAATTCAATGGATGCTTTGAAGGTATAAATTTGACATGCAATCAATCCTACAAACGCTTCAAGCTAAAAAGGCAATTGCATAGCTAAATGCATGCATGTAAAACGTCTCCATACGCGACCTATAGGAGCTTCATATTCTAAATTAGACCTAATCACCAACAATGCACAGTATTTTGCTTTATAGCGTTTTGATATACAACCAATTTTTAATCAACTAAAAGACCTAACTGATATTTTGTGTAAAATAAAATTCCGCATGTTTCAAAAGATAGATAGTCAGTTTTAATGCGCAAAAAATCTTCATTTGTTTACAAAAACTTGCATATATTATATTATATACATTGGACACATGCTATATTTTCCAGGCCAACCATGTGCAGCAGAACCATGCCTTCATGAGGGAAATTGTGATAACATTGGCGGGAAAGTTGTGTGCTCGTGTCTTGCCGGGTATTATGGGAATAGATGTGAACAAAAAGGTACCAAGATGTATATATAATATTATAGTAATTCTAGTTCCCCACATTCACGGCATTTGGCCATTCACGCGAAGTTGTGGTGGTGGAATGGTGATAGTGAGGCCGGCAACGCATGAAGGGACTGTTTTGGGACGTAAACAAAGGTTCGTCCCAAAAACAGCCCCTTGGCCATGATGCATTATTAATATCAATATTACCAGTCCTTTGCTATACGACTTCAGAATGGCTAATTAATTAATTTCGATACACCATGATATATTATTTTCTTCGTGCTTTTAAAAATGGTTATTATAATACAGCTCATTTAAGATTACCGTAGAAATACACAGGTGTTGTAGGACGAAAATTTGATACCAACTTTATGGATTCTTTAATCTGGCAGTCTAAGCTTTCAATGAAATTTCCTATACGTATACACAAACCTTCGTTCTGTGAGCACTCAAGTGAGCCATAGAGGATATTTTAAATTATAGGTCAATTTGACGCAATATTCCGACAAAATACGCAAAAATTATAGAACTTGCGAGGGGACCTCAAAACAGGAATACTTACTATAGCGTATTGAAACATCCCATTCGTATTGGATAGCAAATATCGATTTAATAGAACGAAATGCCCGTTTCTAGAGGTGCCCAAATCTGATGCGATATCTTGAGCAGTCTCAAAAAAAGAAATGCAATTATTTGAACATTATTGTAAAGCAATAGGGAAAATATCAACAATGATTACAATAATTCTACAAAATTTGTTGGTTTCAGATGCATACTGAATATTTAGTAAGTCCGCTTATTTAACCTTTTTACATCAGAATGCAAGAATGCAGTGCGTCTTGGTGTGGAAAATGGCGAAGTATTAGACTCCCAATTATCAGCTTCGACAGAGTGGGACGCAAACCATGGGGCAGAGAACGGCAGATTGAACTTCAAGGCTCAAGGACGCCGGCAAGGCGCTTGGTCGTCAAGGTATAATGATGGCCAACAATGGATTCAGGTGAACTTCGCCGGTCTTCAGGCCACTGTGACTGAGATTCTTACCCAAGGGCGCAGCAATGCCTACCAGTGGGTGAAGAGCTATTCCGTGTCTTACAGCAAGGACGGCCTGAATTTCGTCACATATCGCGTAAATGGTCTTGTGAAGGTAAAATTTATTTACCATAGTTTTAGTCCTGAATATTTATGCTGGCAATGCAAAAGAAACTCAGTCGTTTCAAAGTATCGCGAAATCGTGTAATTTTGCTAGTTTTAACTCTAATGAATGAATATTAACAAAAAATGAAAAAAGATATGATAACTGAAACGTTTCCTATAGCGTACGTCACTAATTTGAAGCAATTTTCACCTGTTACGGTAAAGGTTTTCAGTCTAGATACTCGATGAATATATTCGTCAGCCTTCCAACGAAATCAATAATAAATGACGCGCTACGAAAATATGGCTAAATGTACCCCCATGCATCCCCCATGAGCGGTAGCCCTGGTTTTCTCCCCTTCCCCCTCCGCTAGCATTGAAATTAGTTTTACTCTTACAATGCCAGGGTAATGTGCGCGTAAAGGCGAGTGCATCCCGATACCAATTTTTTACTGATTATAATATACCTTTTTACGTAGGTTTTCGGGGGAAATAATAATAGGAACACAATTGTTCGCCAAACTGTCTCTCCTGTTATTGTTGCTCAATACATCCGCATCCATCCGAAGACTTGGTATAGGCACATATCCATGAGGGTTGGTTTTTCTGGCTGTCTAAAAGGTTCGTGCTTTCTTTGTAAAAATATTACTACCAAACGCACTTTAAACTTGGTTGAGTAGCCAATCAGAATGTAGGATTTGTAATAGGCAATAGTCGGTGTATACTAAAACAGTTTAGACACACGGAAAATGCTCTCTATTTCCTAAATATTATTGAATAACAATTAGGTATATATTACGTTTTAGTATAATAATTATGTATATTATTGAATAAAAATTAAGTATGCATTTATGTATTCATATTATAATATTAAGGGACAGTTGTAACGATAATTCCATCATTTTTTCAACGATTTCTATGATCGATTTCTATTCCGTTGGTAAAGATTATTGCTCATCAAGTAATGCTTGTCATTCCAATGCTCGATGCATCAACTCTCTTGGATCATACCAGTGCATTTGTAACAGTGGTTACACCGGAAATGGAACCAATTGCGAAGGTATACTAGCCATATCGCAATTAAGAATCTGAGTTCAGGCTCACTGTAACTGCGTGTGCATTAATGCAAATTATCGTGTTGAGTGCCTAATATATTCATAACGCCTACTGTAAAGCATATAAAAGAGACAACCAATAATCTTAAGACAGACTCTGTAACATACTCGTAAGGGAACTTAAGTAAAGCGAAGTAAGTTAAGCAAATAATTAAAGTGCCAAAGAATCTTACGAGAACTTAATAAAGCGAAGTCAAACAAGTGTATCGTCAAGATTTATTTTTAAACATTCATGGCGCATTACGGTGAACAAGCATCGGCCGCCACAGTAAGATTCTCTACATACAAAGACGAAACCAGAGCTGATTGAGATCAACTATGGAAAGATCAAATTCGATGCCAGCAATAACAAGATTGAAGACTTTCAGCGCTGAAGTAAAGGATCAAGATGAAGATAGAGCGCAGAGTGAAATCGTTGATGAAAGACGTCAAAGACGAAGTAGAACTTTGGACCCTAGACGTGTGACTGATTTAAAGGATTTACTGCAACTAAGAACGTTGGCTGGAGCAAACCTTCGAAGAAAAATCACTTACGTAAATCGTTTGCTCGATCAGCCTTTCGATACAGTCGATGTTTCGATTCTAGAAAGACAACGAGACGAACTAGATAAATTGCGAGAAAGGTTAAACGAAGCACACGATAATTACTATTCAAATCTAGAATCGTTGCAAGAAATCACCGAAGCGTACCGATGGCTAGATATACGTGATCGCGAACATTTTCTATCTCGAACACGAGTTAACGAAAGAATAAAGGCCGTAGAAGAGAGAAGTACACAGAGAAGTTCACAGTCAAGCACGTTATCGCGTTTGTCGGGAAAATCAACATCATCAGTTCGATCAAGAAGAGCAAAAGCCGCCGCGAAAGCAGCTTCATTGCTAGTTGAAATGGACTTTATTGATAAAGAAGCAGAATATAAAAAACAAAAAACATTAAAGGAAATCGCTAAAGCCAAAGCAGAAGAAGAAGCTCTTAAGAAATTTGAAGAAGAATGTGAAAAACGGGACATATCTCGCACTAATGAAATGCAAGCTTTCGATCAATATCGTGGGCAAGGAAAAAGCATAACAACCCAAAAAACCCATCCCCCACAAGAACAGCGTAGATTCGAGGTACTGGGAACAAGAGTGCATACTCATAAGCAAGATTTGATTGGTGATGAAGCTACATCGGACGACGAAGATATTCCTGATGTTTCTGACTACTCGTGGCTAGCTATGCCTAATGAAAATATTCTTCAGTCAGCCATGCCTGATGAAGCAATTCCTCGGCATGTTCCAGCGACGTTCGAATTGAATGCAAACGCTCAAGAATTCGTTTCTACATATACTGTTCCTCCAGTCTTAAAGGGCGAAGAACGTCAAGTCATTCCTGAGAAAGAAACAAATGTTTATGAATCACAATCTAATGATGTGAAACCAGATCAACCTGATAGTGTTGGACCTTTATTAGTTGAATTGGCTAAGCAACAAGTATTGAATTCCTTACCTAAACAACAACCACCAATGTTTTCTGGTAATTATTTTGATTATCCTTATTTCATTAATTCCTTCGAATCCCTCATTGAAAGCAAAGTCGAGGATCCGAAGCAAAGACTTTATTATTTGAATCAGTTCACAAGTGGGGAAGCAAGAGAAGTTATCAAAGGCTTAGTCACATTGAACTCTCCAGAAGCCTACACGAAAGCACGAACTGTTCTGAAAGAAAGATTTGGTCATCCATATCGCGTTGCTTATGCCTACAAAGAAAGGTTATTGAATTGGGCTACCATAAAGGACTCAGGAGATGGTGTTGGTCTATTGAAATTTTCAGATTTTCTTGTACAAGCGGAAGAAGCTATGAAGACACTTAAACACATGGAAGTGTTAAATAGCGAAGATGTCATAAAGAAGATTTGCTCAAAATTACCAAATTTCGCAATTGCAAGATGGTGCCGTCGAGCGAATGAAATCTTAACTGAAAAAGACGCAGTCAAATTCCACGATTTCGTAGAATTTGTGAAAGACGAAGCAACTTTTGCTACAAATCCTGTGTTTTCTCCTTATGCCATTAAAGAAGAAAAGAGAGGTGATAGGAAGAACGAAGGTAAAGAGCAAGACATTCGTAAATGGAAAAGGAATGAACAGTCCAGTAATTTTTCAACCATCGTCAATCCCCTATCGCTTACTGACAAAGAAAGAAGTCCACCTGATGTGCACAAGTGTACTTTGTGTGCAAAGAATCATGTTTTGGAGAATTGTCAGAAGTTTCAAGAAATGAAGTTAAGTGAAAGAATGGATTTCATTCGGAAGAAAGAATTGTGTTTCGGATGCCTTCGTGTTGGTCATGTGTCTAGAAGATGTCTCACTAGAAAGAAGTGTGATGTTTGCCAACTAAAACATCCTACATTGTTACATGATGCAACGAAGAGTGGCAACAAGAAAGAGTGCTCAACGCAAACTTCCTCAGAATTGCCCAATAAGGACCCCAAATCCACTGGTTCTACAATTAACAACTGTGTAAGCGTACGAAATGCTGTGAAATCCAATCAAGATAACAACGAAAGCAGAATCAGTTCAATGATTGTACCAGTTTGGTTGCATCACAAGAAAGATCCCCATCATCAAATAATGGTATACGCTTTATTAGATCCTGCTAGTAATGGGACATTCATTAAAAGTGATACTTCAAAGAAACTCGGACTTAATGGTATAGATGTTCATCTAAACTTAAACACAATGCATGGAACGGAAATGATAGCAACAAAGAAGATAGCTGGGCTTATCATAGAAGACCTAGGAAAAACCACCCAAATCGAGTTACCGAAATCCGTTTACTGTAGAGATGATATTCCATCAAAAAGAGACGAGATACCTCGACCTGAAATGGCTGAAAGATGGCAGCATTTAGAAAGGCTAACAACACAATTACCACGTTATCAAGAAAACGTGGACATTGGTCTACTGATTGGATCAAATTGTCCAAAGGCGATCAAGCCACAGGAAGTCATACCAGGAAACGAGAACGATCCTTATGCAATTAAAACTCTTCTTGGTTGGGGGTTTATCGGTCCTGTTTCGAAGTTGAATGAAAACGACTTAGACTTTGAAAGTTATCAAATGTCATGTAATCGCATTGTGACCAGGGAGATTGCCTCAGAGAAACAACTAAACATTGTTTTCGCTCCAGAAAATCGTGTAAAAGAAATTATCGACCCATCAACGATCAACAAGATGTTCGAACTCGATTTCAACGAGAATATTAACATTTCGCCAACGTATTCCTCAATTGATGACCAGAATTTCCTGCGAAAGGTTTCTGATGGAATCCACCTTGAGAAGATGGACATTATGAGATCCCACTGCCGTTCAAGAATGATGATATCAAATTACCAAACAACCGAAATTTAGCTGTGTTTCGCCTACAACAATTGAAGTCAAGATTCAAGAATGATACTACGTACAAAGAAGATTACGTCACATTCATGAAAGAAATGATAAAGAAAGGATATGCAGAGCAAGTTCCATCGAATGAAGAAACAACAGAACCAGGAAAATGTTGGTACATCCCACACCACGGGGTTTACCATCCCAAGAAACCTAAGAAGATACGAGTTGTATTTGACTGTTCCTCTCAATACAAAGGAGAATCGCTCAACCAGTATCTACTCCAAGGTCCAGATTTAACGAATAAACTGATTGGAGTATTAACAAGATTTCGCCAAGAAAGTGTTGCTTTCACAACTGATATAGAAGCTATGTTTTATCAAGTAAAGGTCTCGAAAGAGTATCGCGATTTCCTCCGTTTTCTTTGGTGGCCTGGAGACAACCCAGACACAAATCAAGAACCTCAAACGTATCGGATGACAGTGCATCTGTTTGGGGCAGCCTCGTCTCCAGGATGCTCGAACTATGCCCTTAAACGAACTGCTGACGACAATGAACAAGAAATTGGAAAGGATGCAGCGGAATTCTTGAGAAGAAACTTCTACGTCGATGACGGGCTGAAGTCAGTCGCCTCCGTGTCCGAAGCAGTTAACCTGGTGAAGCAAGCCAAAGAGATGTGCAGTCGAGGTGGGTTCAATCTGTGCAAATTCATCAGTAACAAAAGAGAAATTCTTCAGCAAATTCCCGAGTCAGACCGTGCGGATGCAGTGAAGAATCTTGACTTAGCTGTATTACCAATTGAAAGAACACTGGGCGTGCAATGGTGCATAGAAACTGACAACTTTGAATTCAGAATTATTTTACAAGATCGTCCGTTAACAAGAAGAGGAATCTTGGCGACTGTCTGTTCAGTTTACGACCCACTGGGATTCGTGGCACCGATAATTCTTCTTGGAAAAAGAATACTTCAAGATCTCTGTCGTGATCAAATTGATTGGGACGACGATATTCCAGAAGATTTAAAGATAAAATGGATAAAGTGGAGAAACGAGCTGTCCTGCCTTAAAGAATTATCAATTCCTAGATGTTTTAAGCCGATTGATTTTGGAGAAGTTAAGTCTGCCGAACTCCACAACTTTTCTGATGCAAGCAACGTTGGTTATGGTCAATGTTCGTATATTCGCCTTCAGAACGCCGAAGGGAAAATTCATTGTTCGCTAGTTATGGGAAAGGCAAGAGTCTGCCCACTAAAGAGCATATCCATACCTCGTTTGGAATTAACAGCTGCATTGGTTTCTGTAAAGGTCAACGAAACGATGAAGAATGAGCTTGAATATGATATACAAAGCGAAACGTTTTGGACGGATAGTCAAATAGCTCTTGGCTACATTGGTAATGACTCCAAAAGATTCCACGTATTTGTCGCTAATCGCATTTCACAAATCCGTAGTAAGACTACTAAAGGACAGTGGAAATATGTAGAGTCAAGTTCTAACCCAGCAGATGACGGATCCAGAGGAATGACAGCCTCGCAATTATTGAAGAACCCAAGATGGATTACAGGACCCAAGTTTCTGTGGCAACCTGAGGATCAGTGGCTTGAACATACAACGGTTGAAGACATTTCATTAGAAGATCCTGAAGTTAAACAATCTTGTTTCTCCCTAAATGTCAATAGAACGTGGTGCCTTGCACAGGCAATTGAAGTTTTCTCGAGTTGGCAACGTGCAAGATCAGCCGTCGCAGTTTGTCTTACCTACAGGGAAAAGCTGTTGAAGAAAGCCAAGTCAGGCCAATCAACGAGCAAAGAAACTATATCTGATAATTGTCAACCAAAGCTTACAGTTGAAACCCTACGCAAGGCAGACATAGAAATCTACAAGTCAGTTCAAATGATGCATTTTCAAGAAGATATCAAGACGTTGACGATCAGGAAAGAAAGGGATGAAAGGTTTGAGATGCCATCTAAACATTCCGTGAAAAAGACAAGTCAGTTGTATCGTCTTAATCCATTTTGTGATTCTCATGGTGTTTTGCGAGTTGGAGGTCGGATCAAGCATGCTGATATTCCCAACAACGTCAAATTTCCAATCATTCTACCTCGAAAAACTCACGTGACGGAATTGGTAATTCGCTATTATCATGAAAGAGTTGCTCATCAAGGACGTGGTCTAACGTTGAATGAGATACGAAGCAATGGTATCTGGATCATTGGAGGATCATCTGCAGTGGCCTACATGATAAGTAAATGTGTGACATGTCGAAAATTAAGAGGAGCTGCTCAAGAGCAATTGATGGCTGACCTACCAACAGATAGATTTGAACAAGCTGCACCATTCACATATGCCGCTGTTGACTATTGTGGACCTTGGTATATTAAAGATCGTCGTAAAGAGCTGAAAAGATACGTCGCATTGTTCACATGTATGGCTTCTCGAGCAGTACACCTTGAAGTCTCGAATACGATGGACACAGACTCATTTATTCAAGCATTAAGACGTTTCATATGTAGACGAGGTCCCGTTCGTCAACTAAGAAGTGACCGAGGCTCAAATTTTATTGGTGCCCAACGAGAACTACAAGAAGCGTTAAAGGTGATGGATGATAAGAAAATCGGTGCTGAACTGTTGAAGTCAAATTGTGATTGGGTCGAATTTAGAATGAATGTTCCAAAGGCAAGTCATTTTGGTGGGGTTTGGGAGCGCCAAATTAGAACTGTCAGGAATGTCCTAAATGCCCTAATGCGAAGGAACAGCACTTGCTTAGATGATGAATCTTTTCGCACACTGATATGTGAAGTTGAATGTGTTGTGAACTCCAGACCTTTAACTGTCAACACTTTGAACGATCCTGATTCCCTTTCTCCCCTTACGCCGAACCACCTACTGACTATGAAGACGCAAGTTGTTTTACCACCGCCAGGAGTTTTCCAGAACAAAGAATTATATTCAAAGAAGAGATGGAGAAGAATTCAGCATTTTATGAACGAATTTTGGGCAAGATGGAGAAAGGAGTTTCTTCATTCATTACAAAAAAGAACAAAGTGGAACAAGCCTCGCAGAAATCTTAAGATTGGAGACATAGTCCTACTGACAGATGAAAGTGAGATTCGTAATAATTGGAAGCTCGGAAAGATTATCACTACTTATCCTGATGAAACTGGTTTGGTCAGAAGTGTTGAACTTGTTGTTGGTGATACAAGCTTGGATGATAAAGGAAAAAGGCTTAGAGTCCCTTCAATGTTAAAGAGACCAATTCATAAACTTGTGCTTTTGGTAGCCAATGACTAACTTAGAAGAAATCAAAGGATTTCTGTGGGGGGAGTGTAACTGCGTGTGCATTAATGCAAATTATCGTGTTGAGTGCCTAATATATTCATAACGCCTACTGTAAAGCATATAAAAGAGACAACCAATAATCTTAAGACAGACTCTGTAACATACTCGTAAGGGAACTTAAGTAAAGCGAAGTAAGTTAAGCAAATAATTAAAGTGCCAAAGAATCTTACGAGAACTTAATAAAGCGAAGTCAAACAAGTGTATCGTCAAGATTTATTTTTAAACATTAATGGCGCATTACGGTGAACAAGCATCGGCCGCCACACTCACCACATTGCAAAACTGAACTGTTAAAGTTACGAAAATCTGAATTTTTGAACACATTAGAGTGAATCAATCGAATCATTTATCACTTTTTTTGAAATTTTACATACTAAATAAGTAATCATAATGGAGAAAATGAGTACAAGTTTGCTCAAAACAATCAAATATTTTTTTGTAAAAATTCGCTCATTGAAATTTGATAGAATTGACCAAATTGACAAACCTATTTTGACAAAATTAACTGTAAACATTGCATCTCAGGCAGTCTTCTTGTCGTTTGACCATTCTTGTTTTACAACGCTCACCTTACTGCATTCTTCAGTATAAAAATCTAGAGAACATTAAAAACGGGCGTTCTTTTGTTACAAATGAACAACATACCCTGCCAGCGAAACTGTAAAAGGGTACTCTTGTTCACATTCTCCCGGTTGAGTGTGGAAAGATAAAAGGTTGGGCGGAGGTTGAGGAACGAATTTTTACAAAAAGAGAATTAAAATTACACCTATATACGCCTGCCCTGAAACTATTTGGCGCTCATTTATGATCAAAGTCTGTAGATCTGTATGCTTTTTTTTATACCTTGCCTTATTTAGATATAAATGAATGTGCTCTGCCCATTTACACTTGTCATCCAAATTTAAAGTGCAACAACACGAATGGATCTTATATATGCACATGTGATGGTGAACCAGCTGGAGACAACTCTCCTTGCTTAGGTAAGTTAAACATATCATGCTCATGGTGGAGGATTAGAATGTCTCTCATCAATGTCACGAGCTCGGATTTATTTTTTAATCCCCGAGCGGGCGCGGAGCGCCTGCGAGGGTACTAATTCCGCTCGGAGATTAGGAGTTACACCCGGAACCCGGTAGAACATAGCCGAATCCAAAGTTGTCCAAATTCTTTGTCATGGACGGTCGACGTTGGGTGGTTTTGTAAGTTATGCGCATGCGCGAGTAACGTCTGGTAATCAACGAACGTTCTGATTGGCTAAGACAGGAAGTTTGTATTTCAATGAGAACGTCAGCAATTTAAATTAACTGTCATTTCGTATTTCGTAAACATTTTTGTAATTTGTAAAAGCGTTTCATAAACTTTGTGCAAAGAAAGTAAAACGAGAAGAAACAAGATATATGAAGCATGACAGTTAGCAAAGATGAACGTGGATACGGTCAAGACAAAGCCGTGTAAGAGGAATAATTCATAATCTGCAAACTTATAAATGTTTTCAAAGACAAAGGGTACGTGTTTACTTTGTTTATTTCGTATTTGTTTCGCGATAAGAATGAGCCGTATTTGTATACTTTTCAGCTTTGTAGGGCGTTTATTTGTAAAATTTTCAGCTTTTTATGCAAACGCATAAACCTGTGAAAGGCTATTACACCTTTGCTTTAACTTCAAAAAGTGTTTTTCAAAGTGTAATTTGAATTTTGGTATCAAAAATACACACTATATTTATAAAGTATAAAACTTTTAGCCGCCGGCGTCGACTGCAATTACAGAATAAAATAACATTTGAAGTTTTTTCTTTGTCTGTGAAGATTTTGTACTGTTTTAATCGTTTGAAACTTCGATTTTAAATCGTTACTTAATTGCTGGCATGGTATAATGCAGCAAAATTGAACGGGCAATGTTTACACTAGCTTTATGATTATTTTTGTATTGAATGATGGAAACATTAGCTATAATATACTCGGTAAAATATAATAGGACTGATTTGAGTTTTGTGTCATTTCACAATATAAGTTTAGGTCAGGTTAACTCAGGAAATTGTGTACTAGGTTTGAAATAGCGAGGGGTTGCTGCATGCATGTATTTCTAGTACCATTAGAAAGGGCACTATATGTATGGTAGTATAGTATATAGTATTAAAGAATAGTGGAAAAATGAGCGCGTTAATAAAAGGAGGAGTTAATTCAAGTCCCAGATGCTTGGATTTGGCCATCAATTACTGCCTTCTTAAATCTAACTTTCGATGTCCCTCTATCATATAGTCTGTCACAATTAAGAAATCTGCCAGGCTGAACGCGAACATGTGTCGCGCAATTATCGCCTCTAGTTTTGTTTGATTTTGTTATGAAAGATTACCAATTGATAACACATTAATTTTTCACTTGTCTGGTGCCCATAGGTGACAAAATGTAATTCAGAATTGAATTTATTACCTTCGTAAATTGTAAAATTTACCTCGGCTGTTCATTTTCTCAGTGTGGTTATTATATTAGTTCAATATTAATTAAATAAGTTATTATATATATGCGAAGCGCATGACCCAACTTCATCTGATTTAATCAAACCACAGAATGGGCTAAACCGTTAAGGGCTGGAGTAGAAGCTGAGCAAGTTTTGCTTTACAAGCTTTTTCAAATTTTTGTACCTATTAGCCTTTAAAAAAAATCAATATCTTGCAGTAGTTGAGAAGCAATAAGTGAATGACACTGGTATACTCTCGGGCAAAAATTTCGCGTGATGACATGAGCCGTCTCAACGAATCTGGTTTAATTTTGAAAATCAGGGGTTGGCTGAATAACAAGATATTCAAAGTTTGAATTTCAACTATATATACTAGTGTATTTTGGAATAATCAACAAAAGATTTGGAGAGCGTAATTTGAAGTCGCTAAATTAACTTCGACTCAAATTATCAAACATTTAGCTAACCTATATACCTTTTCTTATTCCATTGTTTTCAAGATGAATCAGTGGGCATTAGGTTAAGAGGACCATTAAGTTCTAAAGGACGTGGACGTGTCGAAATTTTCCATGACGGAAGATGGGGAACAGTTTGTGATGACAATTGGGACATAAAAGATGCAAGAGTTGTATGCCGTCAGCTTGGTTATTTAAATGCTGTGAATGCACTGCAAGGAAGTAACACGATTTCCGGTTCTGGGCCAATATGGTTAGACGAGGTTTTCTGCGCAGGGAGCGAGCACAATTTGTCCAGTTGCTCTCATCGGGGATGGGGGAACAATGACTGCTCTCATTCTGAAGATGCTGGTGTAGAATGTTCTTTCAATGGTGTGTTAATTTTAAACATAATGTGATATAAAAAATCGGTTAATGTGTATCTTCCCCTTGCCCCCTTCTCATAAAGTACTGTTTGTCTTCCAAGTGAAGATCCATTTTGAGCGTATATATAAATATTAGTGAAATAATCATGTTTAGAGGAAACTATCTATATACACTCTGAAACAATCTCCAAATGTTACCTTTAAAAGGCAGATGATCAAGTCACATGCAGACACTCAAAATTCACAAAACAAATATTTACTCCGGGAGGACTCCTAAAGCCCTTTTTTAAGGTCACTTCTATTCATGCTCCAGCCCCACGCTCAAACGATTTCTGGAAAACGCACTGAACAGTCTAGAAAATTATCTTTTAGTGCATCATTTTTCATTTGCGTTGATGATGTTCACAACGTAATAGTAGTGTTTCGTGCCAGGTTTTAAATACCGATTGTTTGTCATTTCAAACTGATCCCTAAAGATTTTACACGGGAATCCTCGTGTTTCGATAGTTTAAAACTTTTCCTGTCTCAAAAACTGTCCATGCATGTTAAACTGTATATAAACATTTTTTATTGCATTATAGATATTGATGAATGCTCCTTGAATACTCACTACTGCGCCAGTCATTCCTACTGCGTAAACACTCACGGGAGTTTTTCTTGCGAATGCAAAAAGGGATATACTGGAAACAACGTTACATGCGTCGGTTAGTTATTAGTTTTTTTTTGTCAATTCAGTATTTCATGAATTCTTCCAGTTTTTAAAGCTATAATAACGTTTAAAAGTGACGATTGCATTTTACAAACCCTCGTCCTCGAAAGAAAGTAATTGGCACATCCACACAAGTATAGACCCATGATTCAACCCTTAACATCAAAGTCATCATACCATATACTCATTGTTAATTCTGAAAAAAAATAAACTTTTTAAATATTCCCCTTTTTTCTGAAACAAATTTCTCACGAATCTGTATAGTTTGAATGAGGGCTTAAACCTTCACAAAAAGGCCAGCGTATAGCAATATAAACTGAAGTTAAAGAGAGCTTGAATTACTTTCGTAGGCTGAAATAAAATTGCATATATAACTACTGCATGCATGTAAATGCGCTGTTACTGTTGTGTTTAAAAAGCGTTGCACAAAGTAGAAGGCAGTAGTGCTGCTTTCTGAAACGCTGATCGACTGATTCAAGTGTCTTGCCACGATTTTCACCATTGCAAAGCATGTTAAACGGTGGAATGACTCGTTTGATTCTACTCTCGCAATACTCTTCCAGGTTTGCGAGACAAGTTACACATCGTCGCTAAAACCCATGCAGTATTAATTAACAAACGCGAATGAATGCTACCATAATCAACCGTGTTTGATATTACTCTTAAGATTACAATAAAAATATATATTTGAATATGCCAGCATTCAGTATATATAGCCAGTCTTTCGGACTTACTCAATGCAGCTAAAGTAATATTTTGAAGTTGACTGCCTGTAGAGAACAATAAAATTCTGAGGAAAGGACATTGTGATTAGTAACTTCTGACTCTTAATGTTCTTCTAGACATCGATGAATGCTCGACATTTGATAACTGCCACCAAAATGCTTTTTGTAACAACACAATTGGTTCTTTTCACTGCACATGCAACGATGGATATACAGGAAATGGAACTTTTTGTCAAGGTATTTTACTGCTTTTGAATTACCCTATGTTGCACAAAAAACTCTTGAAAAAAAAATTCGAATGATATGTTGCTAAATAGCAAGCAATTTCCTACCGCGTAGACCCTAGTTAAAAAAGGCCCGCTGATAAAAAGGCGGTAAAATGACTATTTCACACTGAAGTGGAAGATTTAAGTTGACTGCGCGATAAATTACAATTCTATTTAGTTTATTATTCATTTGGAAAAGAAACAATAATCGATTGCACAGAATAACAAGCATATATCAATGGGAGAGACATGATCATTGGTGAAAAAATCAAGCGTTGTATAATTAGGTGTTGATTGCAATTTGAATTTATAATCGCTTTAGATATTGATGAATGTATACAATCAACGCACAACTGTATGGCAAACTATAACTGCACCAACACTGATGGATCTTATCTATGCACCTGTGATAACCAACATGCCACGATTGGATCAGCTTGTAAGTAAAATAACTGAATTTATGGTCCAATTTTTGCATATAACTGAACTGTTCTTACGTATGTCGCAGACCAATCTCGAATTAATCCGCTTCAGGTGTTCACACGGTAAAAATGGATGAAAAATTGGCGTCTACACAGGAGGAAAACAGACGATTTCGAGCAGGGTCCCAAATTCGTCTTGTTCCATGTAAAAACGTGACCCTAAATGCTAAAAATTAATAATACTAACTGAAAATTTGCATGGCAATGCGTGGGTGGAATTTCGTTTTAAAACTAATCGGCATAATATTTGTTTACATTTTTCAGGGAAAGTCAATCAGAATGCCCAAATTTTTAATACTTCATCTTTATCGGAAGTAGTCAAAATTTCTGCATTTTGTTACTAAAAATGTAAACCAACCTTTTTACGTATCATAAACACGATTTTTTCATAATATAATTTGCTTTATTGTTTCAACTTTTGTTGTTTTTTGTCGGTAGGTGTGCCGACAAACGTTAGGTTACGAGGCCTGTCAAGCCAGAAAGGTGTTGGACGGGTTGAAGTATTTCGCAATGGAACCTGGGGCACAGTCTGTGATACAAATTGGGATTTAAAAGATGCGAAGGTTGTATGCCGTGAGCTTGGTTATCTGAATGCTGTTAGAGCTCTTCAAGGAGGACAAGTATCACGTGGATCTGGACAGATATGGCTGAATGATTTAGCTTGCACTGGAAACGAGCAATTTCTTAACAATTGTTCTCATAACTTGGCGTTTCGTAGTAATAATTGCGACCATTCCAGAGATGCTGGAGTTGAATGCACTTCAACAGGTAAAAACATTTCTCTAATTTCTTATGGCATTTTGTAAATTCTAGTCGTTTTGTTTAGGTTGTTTTTATCTTAAGGTTGTATCTATGACTTCGAGAGATAATTTACCAACTTGAGTTAAGCAGTGGCATAGCCAGCCTGACAATTAATTTTAGTCCTGTTATTATATTGTATGTTATTATATTTATTTTAATCATTTCTTGGGAAATTCATTGTTTCACGGTCGAAATGACACACAATTCGAATCCCGCAAATTGGAATTCTAATTTATTCAGATGTGTATATGTGGAAAATTATAACAATTTTTTCACAGGAAGAGAAATATTTAATTCTTTTCTTGCTTCAGTTGCCCGTTACAACACATACCTTATCAAATCAAGTTCATATGGCTACTTGCGCCGTTTCGATGAAAATCATCTGCATTTCTCAAGACATCCTGGTAATCATTTTCGTTTCATCAAAGAAAACATCCTGCAAGAAGCAAATACTGGGAAATGCGTTCACGCACGAAATGATCTTTTTGTCGGCCTTAGTTACCATTGCGATGGACCAACTGCCAGCAGATGGCGGTACGATTCTTTTGCGCGACATTTAAAGCTTGTTAATAAGTACCCAAATTATTGCGTAAGTCCTTGGCGCTATTATGGCAAACCTGGTCTTGAGGTTAGTCCTGGTGTGTCCCACGACTGCAACTCATGGAACCGGATGGCACTGGAACTAGGTGAGTATTATCAACTATAATTATAGTATAAACATTTAGCTGGAAAGTATATTTCCAACCTATAACGCAATAGTATCTAATGAACAAGGAGGAATTTCCTTTTAAACTAAACGGCATATTTGTTTATGTGTTTTTATGCAAAGCCAATCAGAATGCCTAAATTTTTTTACTTCGTTTTAAAATGGTAAATAATGTACCTTATTTATTAGTAAATAATGTACCTTAATGTACTTTATTCAAAATTTATTCATTCTGATTGGGGCGCTGAAAATGTAGACAATTATTAGTGAATTATTATTCAATGACGTAATGTGTAATGTGTATATAAGTGTTTACTGTTTGACATTAAAAGGGCCTTTTTGTCTCACACGATGTCGAGTACATAACAGTTTATAACTAATGCAATAACGTCTTTGTTACAGACATCGATGAATGTTCCTTGAAATTAGACAACTGTGGCAATAATTCAAGATGTATTGACTCTCCTGGAGCATTTTCCTGTGTATGTCTTGATGGTTATTCCGGAAATGGTATAATTTGCAATGGTTAGTGATAATTTCTGAATATGGAATATCTTTTTTATTGTCATCCCCCACATGATCTGCACTGCGATATACATGCATGGCGTTTAAAAAAATGCCAACACTTAATATTCTAAAACTCATATTGTTATTACGCACAATATACAGGGTGTATCAAAAAAATGTCCCAAATTTAAAATTTTCGTTCTTCAGGATATTTTGCAGAATTTGGCAAATTTTTGTGTTCCTAGGGATAGTTAAGATTTATCTGGTATACCTAGGCCAAGTTTGGTTTTTCATTAACAAAATTATGTTACCGGGGGGGGGGGTTGTTCCTTTCCACTGATATTGAGAGAGCTTGCGCGCGAAAATGTGAAGCTGAAATTGATATATTATTTAGCTGTTTTAAAGTAGGAAATTTTTTTAGTAAACTGTCAAAGTTTCAGGAAAAATAATGCATACTGGGAGCAACGCGCGACCCCTTAAATTGACAAATATTTCATTGCGCGCAGTGGATTAAATGCATGGTTGATTTTAGCGTGACCGATCTCATGCAAGGTTGGGCAAATGAATAAATTAAAGCGAGAAACTGAACAAAAAGACGAAGCGATTTAATAACAAGATTTTTATTCCTCAATATTTCCACCATTTCTTTCTAAGCAAACTGCGGCTCGTCTGAGCATGGTAAACACTGAACGGCGAACCATTTGTCTGTCCTGCCTCAAATTCTCCATTTCGTTCGAAATTCTTTCTGGCAAATCGCCTACGCTACCACCGGCAAATGTAGGCGAATGGACAGACAAATGGTTCACTGTTCAGTGTTTACTATGCTCAGACGAGCCGCAGTTTGCTTAGAATGAAATGGTGGACATGCTGAGGATTAACATCACGAATAAATCGCTTTGTTTTTGTGTTCAGTTTCTCGCTTTAATTTATTCATTTGCCCAACCTTGCATGAGATCGGTCACGCTAAAATCAACGATGCATTTAATCCACTGCGCGAAATATTTGTCAACTTTAAGGGTCGCGCGTTGCTCCCAGTATGCATTATTTTCCTGAAAATTTGACAGTTTATTAAAAAGCTTTCCTACTTTTAGACAGCTAAATCATATCCAATTTCAGCTACACATTTTCGCGCGCAAGCCCTCTCAATATCAGTGCAAAGGAACACCCCCCCCCGGTAACATAATTTTGTTAATGAAAAACCAAACTTGGCCTAGGTATACCAGACAGATAAGTCTTAACTAATCCCTAGGAACACACAAATTTGCCAAATTCTGCAAGATATCCTGAAAAACGAAAATTTTACATTTGGGACACTTTTTTTGATACACCCTGTATATACGGTTTTCAGGTCTCTGGTAAAAATAAAACGTCTGTGTTTGTGGAACGTCTTTATATTTTAGACAATTGTGCCGCTAGAATATGATTACAAGCCTCAAGTCCGTAGCCTGAGCACAGACCTTCGTTTCGCCCGCCTTTTCCCAGGAACCAAACGTTTCTTGTGTGGTTAAACAAAGTAGTTTTCTGCATGAAATGTTAAGTGCGTGCATTCAAATTCCAACAAAAGCGTTTATTTAATGCTGACCGGCTTCAAAGTCTCCTAGAGAATCGGAACATTTTGCCGCACAAACACACGCCAAATGAGTAGAGTTGGAATTGCGAACATGCCTAGGTACATTCTTTTTGTCAAAATCTAAAAGTAATGCCGAATATATTCTTCTTTGTTTGGTTTAGATATCGATGAGTGTTCTACTTCCGCTCACAACTGTCACCCAAAGGCAAACTGCACCAACACTGATGGATCTTTTCTTTGTATTTGTGATAGTGAACAACCTGGAGATAAGTCTTCATGCAAAGGTAAAGATTTAGAAATATCACGGATCCTTTAATTCGTTGAAATTTTATATAACGTTAGGTACAATTATAGAATACCAGGCCATTCAATAGTGCATTATGTTAACGATCTGTGCAGGATCAATTTTACAGTATACAGTATACAGAATTTGTGCTCGCGGAGATTAACGCAACTTATAAAAATGCTAAATAGCAACAAAATTTAAACTTTGCTAGAGAATTAAGGACATGTCGAAGGTCATAGTGCTTGAGTTGTAAATTTAAATATTGTTACCCATATTTGTAAAGAGTATTGGTGATAGAAGTAATTTGTGCCGGAGTACAAACAAATTTTACTGTCATCATGCTTGAAAATGCTTATGTCAAACATTTATTTATACACTTGTGGGTTCCAAAATGGAGCTTAGGCATTCAAACTCTAGCTATTACATTGTGATGGGTGTTTTCAATGCTTTTGGTTTTTTTGGGACACCCTGTAGAACTGCCCCGTGCTTATAAAAAGTGTTTATTCTTGTTCTGTGAAAGTCCAATTAATGGATTAAACATAGAATATAGAACAAGATTCATGTATCTATAAGACTATTCTCTGTTAAGAGATGGGCTGGCCAGGTACTTGCGCTATAATAATTATTGCTCCCTTCAAGCTAATACCACAGAATACCTATCAGAAGAATAACTCTATACTATTTTTTCGTAAGTGTGATTCGTCATGATTCGTCACTTAGCAAGTGCATTTTTTTGAGGTGTCACCCCCCCCCCCGCCAATGTCTAAAATCAGCGCATTTTTAGTATTGGCAGGGAGGTGACTACCTCAAAAAAATGCACTTGCTAAGTGACGAATCATGACGAATCACACAGGAGTTCTACTTCTGATAAGTATTCTGTGCAAATACATTGAAATTGGGCGGTTTCACGTTTTATTTTCTTTTAAACAACACACGCGTTTAGTAACTCAAAAAGTCTGCTAATTAATCATACTTTCATGTTGTAAGCTTTTGTTAATTCTTAAACAACTTTCCAATTTATTAGTAGCTAATCCTATAATTATAGGGTACGAATAGTTGCGATGGCCTGGGTTTAAAGCTTAGGCCTAAGTTAAACGTCGCATTTTGATCGCGTCGAATGCAATTCAAACAATAGATAATGAGCTGATACACTTCATTAAGCTTCATTGCCTGAATTTCATTCGACGCGACGAAAATACGACGTATAATCTTGTGTAATCCAGCCAGTTAGTTAAACCCGCCGATCTAATTTAATAACAAATCACAAGGTATTGCTTAATTATACCTATAAAATGTAATACTTTTTTTTGGTAACTTTTAGAAGCTGCTTGTACTTAGGGAGATTTAGCTCGAGGATGCGAATGTCAAAGAGGACGAGAGAGTAGCAAATAAATGGCGTGTGATACGCCTATATATGGGCATGCCACGCCATTTATCGCCATTTTCACGTCCTCTTTGACGTTCGCGTCCTCGAGCTAAATCTGACTAATGATTAGTGCTGAGCAATTGCTAAACATTTTGATCGAAATCGTATTTGAAGATATTTTTTATGTTTTAGGCAAAGATATCAGGTTAATAGGACCATTGAGTTCAAACGGCACTGGTCGTGTGGAATTATTCCACTCAGGAAAATGGGGAACAATCTGTGATGATGTTTGGGATATAAACGATGCTCGTGTGGCATGTCGTCAGCTTGGTTATCGGTATGCTCTAAAAGCTTTTCAAGGGGAAGAAGTTCCTTCTGGTTTCGGACAGATTTGGTTAGACCAAGTTGCTTGTACTGGGAACGAGCAAAATTTGACAAGTTGTCCTTCGAACGGCGTTGGACGTCATGACTGCAGTCATTCTGAAGATGCTGGAGTACAATGTACTTCGGAAGGTAAATTTAATTATTCCAGCATATAGGACAAACGTTTCTTACGATAATAATGCGACAAATCATAATGTGTTAGTATGTTTCAATTCTCAATTGCTTTTGAAATTACGTGAATCAATCCGTCATGATGGTTACGCTAATGTCTGAAATTTTTTGGTTATTTTTTTTATTTTCAAGAGTAATTCCTTCAAGGTTCCGGCTAATCATTGTGTTATATGTGTAAATCCTTTATGTAATGGGGTTTCGTTCATTCAGTATAATTGTTTACTTTTAGATATCGATCATTGTGCCTTAGAGCTGGACAATTGCGATAGCCATGCTCAATGCTCTAAAACCTTTCACGGATTTTCATGCAAATGTAATCAAGGTTTTACTGGAAGTGGTTTCAGTTGCACTGGTTAGTATCACTAATATATATCTCTACATGAAAGAACAAATAACCGGCATTAGAAAAGATCCCTAGACAACAATGTAAATGCAGAATTACACGAGACTCAAAATTCTGGGTGGCGGGTCAGATGAGCGACACGTGTAAAATAGAGCACTTTTAAACCCTTAGCGAAGCGTAAAATGGACTTTGAGGTCTTGAGATGAGTAATAACAATAGCATGTGATTGGTCTGTTTCAAAACAATTTTCAATACCTTAAAGTCCATTATTTTTACGCTTCGTTAAATCTCGTAACGGGGCTCATGTGATCAATCCCTTAGCCACAGACACATAGGTGAATTCTTATTACATTTGCTGGCCACGTGCAAAATGGAACGACGTGCTTTTGACCGTTACTGTTAATTTTGAAGCATTGGGTTTTGTTTTAAAGGGACTTGCTTCCCGGGACACCCGATTTTTTTCTTATACGTGGCAACTGCGCATGTTCCGTCTAGCCTTGAACATTATTCACGGTGTGAAGAAACGAGGAGCGAAGAGCATTGCTTGAAAACATTCCGGGCGTAAAAATGGAGCAATTCTTTGAGAATCTACGCAATTTATCAACTTATGTTATGAATTACGAGCATTCAATTGAACACCAATATAATTTGGAAGTTTTATTCCATAAATAGAGCTAAGAGGTTAGGAAGAAACGACGCTGTGTTGTTTATGTATTGATAGATCTCTTAAGTTCTGTTCACACGATCCAATTTTGTTGGATTCAATTCTGACGTATGAGATATAATCGGCTGTTGATAAAGCAGGAGTGCATTGGCTTCAGTGGATTTGCTGCTGATATACATTACAAGACAACAGACTATAAAACATCCATCATCATAATTGATACTATACAAAACGGACAATTTTGTGCAGCAATTATCAAATCATTTTGGCGGTATACAGAATTGATTATAAGTATATTGTTTTGTATCGATTTACGCGTCGAAGTATCATAATATGCATCGCGGTTTACCGCTGTTTTACTAACTTTTGGAGAATTTCAAAAGACAAAAAGCCCCTTGAAACAGAGAAGAACAACAGGTGAGTGTTCGTTCAATTTTTTTGGTATTTTGAATGATTTAATTTTTCATGCGTACATTTTTATTAGTGCGAAGGAGTGACACACAGTTCCATTCTAACGTGTAATCGTATTAAAATATAGTGATTTTATTGGTTTAGAATTAATATTGTTTATTTAATTCCTCGGATAAAAATTAATATTTTATTCCTAGGTCTCCAACACATCTTGGAAAATATGACGAATAGTTTTAGATATAGAGATACCAGTAAACTCGCATTTGGGTTGGAGATGGTGGATAGTTATGTGTAGTAGTTTCAAGATCAGTTTATCACAACAATAATAAAAAAGACCGTAAATAATCTATTTCATGAAACACCAAAAAGAAAGGGAAAGTCAAACTATTTTGATTTTTTTTCAAAAACAACTGCTCTCTCTATTTTAACAATGAATTCCTTGTGTGGTGGGTACATATAATGTGAGACATGTAGCACAATTATTGGGACAATCATGGACAATCCATTCCAAAATTATAGAGCTGTAAGTATAGGTAATATAAAATTATAATGTGACTTGGCTGTTAAATTAAATATTATATCAAAAACTGCAATAAACAGTGTTTTTGCAATCTTGTGTTGTTTCCACTGTTTTTTAAAGAAAACCGCAATAAAAAGTAATAGATATGTCAAATATGTGGCAATGGCAAATTCCTCTATAAGAGATTTATCAGGACAAGTCTGGAGTTAACAAGAAAGGGCATGTAGAACGTAGCATCTGGGGCCTGATTTTCACAAACTTCCAGATCTGCAACATGTGTTCAACCAGGATAAATAAAACCATATACAATCACCATAGAAATATAAAATGGGCTGAAAGTCCATTGTTTGCACAGCTTACAGTATACACTCCATTTTATATCCAAAAATCAGATAGCAACACTGGGCTTCAAGTAAATACAGGTTGGGAATACAGCAAATCTCTTTCATGTTGAAACAAATTGTATAATTTTGTCAGACAAACTCGTGATAGAAGCCAATTTTCCCAATATTTCGCCTCCTCATTGAATATAGGCTAGTAATCACCTTGCCTTTAGTCAGTAATTTTTATTAAGTTAAAAACATTCTAGGCCACTGGAACACCATTTGTAATAATATTTAAGTATCAATTGTGGAATAACAACTGCCAAAAATAGACAAAACACTTCTCGACGTTTCAACCTGAGGAAGGCCCGGAGGAGGAATTAAGTGAATAATATTTGTAAGTTGTAAATTATATTTATGTAAAAAATTGCATTGAGTCACCTTAACTAGTCAAAATATTGGGCAATTGGAGAAAGAGACATTGCAAAAATACCCTATGCTTTATAATAATATTGGGAAATTTGGAAGATAATGTTATTGAAATGTTAGGTCCTTTGCCTAAACAAATCCCTTAATTTAGAAATATTTCACAGTGTATCTTATGGGAAATCTTATGAAAATATAATGAAATCTTATGGTTGGCCTTTAAATGCAATGAGCACAATTAACATCAGGCACTATTTTAGAGCTATATGACTAAATATATTGAGGGAATATAACATTGGATTTAAAATCTATTTACAAAATTATAAGATTATAAAAAATACCCTAACCACCTTAACTTGTAAAGAAATAATTAATTGTATCAAGTATGAATTTAGGTAAAATGACATGGGGTGGGCCATGAAAAATTAAACCCTAATGCACCTGGGAAGATAAAAAAGATATATAAATTGGCATTGGAAAATTAACAACCACAATAGTTTCTTGCTTGGCTAATATAATCATTTCGTCTGAGCCACCTTAATAAATATGGTGTCAACTAAAATTAGTTTTTGCACAAAATGGCTAAAATTTGCTTTGACCGTCGATCCTGATTTTCTCAAAAGGGCAAAGAACTACATCCAAACTTTTCAGAGAAAAAAGATTATGACTGTACATAATCAGAAACTTTGTTTTTTCAAAAGTTTAAACTAGTGCATGTCAACTGAAATTACTTTTACTCTTCCATAAACCAAAATTGGAAGAAAATACAGTGTTATTTACCAGTCTAAACTTAAATTTCTCTCCAAATTTTCTAATACCTGATCTAGACTGTATTGAAATACTAAGCCAATAAGGTTTGACAACAATTCTGAAATTTTTACAGCAAAATAAAAAAGATTATTTGATTCTAGTAAAATGCAAGAAAAAAACTCAGTTGATACACAAATTCCAAATTCCTTTAAACCAACTTCATTTTGAAGGAAATTGATTAAAGTAAATGTACAGTAAATCTTAGAAATGTACGATAAGCAGTTTACAAGAAATGTGGGGACAGTTTTTTACAATTTTTCAAAACAAAATTCACATATAGTATTTATTGTTTGAAAATGAGTCAAATGAGTCAGTCTGTAGAATGTAAAAGCTGATAGATAACAGAAAATATGTAAGATTTTATTGAATTATTGCCCGGGTAAAACTTTAATATAATAGAGAGTCGATCATTACCGAGTGTACATTTTTACGTTCCTGAGCAAGTACGAAATAAACAATCATAAAGAATCATAAATAAACGCCAAATGGAATTTGTAATAAGGTACAGTAAATTACGCTATTTTCGAAAGTTTTTTCACAGCAATAAGCGCATTGAAGTGATGACAACAAAAGCAAAATGATTGTATTTAATATTTACCTACTTGCTTTCAAACACCACTCCTCCGTGCATTAAAAGGCTTAGATTAACTTCAAAATTAGAAGTGATGGCCTTGAAACGTCTCCCAAAACAAATCATATAATGAAAAATATAGCTAAAGCATTTGTGCAAAATAATATTATTGATTTAGTTCCAAAACACGGCTAGATTTACAAAAATAACAAAAATCTTGCATCCATTTTAAAAATAAACAAAAATTCTGAAATTCGCGCAAAGCATCACGGTATTTTTGAGCGCTAGTTTCTCAATATAAAACTAAAAAAATTCCTCTTTTTAATAATAAGCGTTGCACAAAGTAGAAGTCAGTGCTGCTTTCTGAAACGCCGATCGACTGATTAAAGTGTCCTGCCACGATTTTGACTATTGCAAAGCATGTTAAACGGTGGAATGACTCGGGTAATTCTACTTTCGCAATACTCTTCCAGGTTTGCGAGACAAGTTAATTATACATCGTGGTTCAAACGCGAATAAACGCGAATGAGTGCTACCATAATTAATCGTGTTCACTATGACTGTTAAGATTACAATAAAAATATATTCGAGTAAGCCGCATGGAGTATATAGCCAGTCTTTGGGACTTACTCCATGCAGCTAAAGTCATGATTTTGGAGTTGACTGCCTGTAGAGAACCAGTGGCGTAGGAAGTTAAAGTTGGGGGGAGCACATGCTTTCAGGGGCACTTCTTCATAGAAAAAGAGCATCCTCAAGTTAATTCATTTTCGGTCGCCAAACAACGCAATTCTTGTCTTGTCTTAACATATGAAATTAGTTTGTGTCTGTATTTAAAATTGTTAACCCAAGCTACATTGAAACAGCAAATTCGAACTATTTTCGAAAAGTATTGTTACCTTTTAATATAATAATATTAATATAAATGTCATATATTAAAGATGAGGTAAAGTCCGTTCTGCGCATATATTTCGCGCAGCAACACATTCCATCAGCCGGGGGGAGCAACTTTTGGAATGTTAATGATATGCGATATTAGCGCGTTGTATTACAAACGGACAGTTCGGGAGCACAATTATTTTATTTTATGTCGCAAGGCGAAGAGGCTCGAATTGCGAGTGATAAGATGAGGCTGCTAGTGAAAAGAAATATTATGCTGAAAGGAATGCTTCAAGAATTTATTTGATGAATGAGGACCCGAAATAGCGAGTAATTTTTCGTCGCTACAGACGCTACTTTCTCGCTTGTCCTACAATCAGTACAAATATATAAAGACAGTTTTAAGTAACGGTTTATTTACAAGCTTCGCTTTATATCTTCTTCAAAATATAATAATATTTTCTTCAAAATAACATATAAAATAAGCATATTCATCACAGCCGGTAGAGCGAGAACGAGAAGAAAAGAAGAAAATTAAAACGACACATACGTCAAGTAAAGATTATAATTATAACAAACGTAAACAAACATTGTTATGCGCGGTCTATATGCGCAGACTTTACATCATCTTTAATTGTGAGTATTATACCATTAAGTGCCGCATGGTGCGCGGAACCATGTTGTTTGCTGTCTTATCATATAATAAGAGTTAATAAGAGACAAGAAAATTTTGCAACTTTGAATATGTTATAACTTTCACCATATAAAATCTGTATTCGGTAGATGTCAAATCCAAAAGTTTTGGGTTTGGTAACTTAGCAACAAGAAGACGTGATATGGAAGGTTTGGAAACTTTCGGTATTTGTGCTATTTTTGTTAACATAAACGTCGCAATTGGCAAACCGGGGTTCCTCGAAAAATTATTTAAAAGCTAGCAAATGCTGGAATCCTAAAGGAAAGCTTACTACATTCATTAATTTAGGCACAAACTCTCATAAGGGCATATTGATGTTAGGTATGAAAAAGGGCACTTTCATTATAAAAAGTGCACTTTTTCTTATCTTTTTGAAAGTTAGGGGGCACGTGCCCCCATGCAGTGCTCCCCCCTTCCTACGCCTCTGCTAATCAAATTCTGAGGAACGGACAATGCGATTGGCAACTTCTGACTCTTGATGTTCTTCTAGACCTCGATGAATGCTCGACATTTGATAACTGCCACCAAAATGCTTTCTGTACCAACACAATTGGTTCTTTTCATTGTACATGCAACGATGGATATACAGGAAATGGAACTTTTTGTCAAGGTATTTTACTGCCTTTGAATTAGCCTGCATGTGTTGCACAAAAATCACTTGAAAAAACTTCTATGATATGTTGCAAAATAGCAGTGGCGTAGCCAGCCTGACGATTTAGTCATGCTATGCAAATTTTATGTTATTAACATTATTCATTTCTTTAGAAATTCATTGTTTTCGCAGTCAATTACACCAAAAAATTAGCATAGCATGACTAAATTTTCGGGCTGGCTACGCCACTGCAAAATAGCAAGCATATTCCTATCGCTGAAACCTTTCTCATTATATATATATACATATATATATATATATATATATATATATATATATATATATATATATATATATATATATATATATACACATACTCCTCAATTTTAGCATAAAGCTATATTATAAATAAAATTTAAAAAATTGTTGAATTTTTCAAATCGCCCCGCTCGTAAAAGGCGGTAAAATGAAAATTTCACACTGAAGTAGGAGATTTAAGGTAACTTTGATAAATTATAGATACTGTATAGTTCTATTTAGTTTATTTTTATTTCGGGAAAAAAACAATAATTGATTGTGCAGAATCGCTTACATCAACGGGTACGACATAATTATTGATAGAAAATAAATTTTGTGTTGATTGCAATTTGAATTTATAATCGCTTTAGATATTGATGAATGTTTACAATCAACGAACAACTGTATGGCAAACTATAATTGCACCAACACTGATGGATCTTATCTATGTACCTGTGATAACCAACATGCCACGAATGGATCAGCTTGTAAGTGAAATAACTCAATTTATGGCCCCTTTTTTGCATATAACTGAACTGTTCTTACGCATGTCGCAGACCGTGCTCGAATTAATCCGCTTCAGGTGTTCACACGGTAAAAATGGATGGAAATTTGACCAGTTCTTCCTGGTAAGAACGTGGTCGTGGCCCTAATTGCTAAAAATGAAAAATACTAATTAAAAATTTGCAAAGCTGCATGGTCATGCATATGTGGAATTTCGTTCTAAAACTAATCGCATACTATTTGTTTTCTACATTTTTCAGGAAAAGCCATCAGAATGCCTTATTTTTAATATTTCATGTTTACCGTGTTTACCAGAAGTAGTCAAAATTTATGCAATTTGTTACTAAAAATGTAAACAAACTTTTTTACATATCATGCATTAAACAGGATTTTTTATATCTTATTTAAACAGGATTTTTTATATATTATAATTAATTTTACTTCATTGTTCCAACTTTCGTTGTTTTTCGTCGATAGGTGTGTCGACCAACGTTAGGTTACGAGGCCCGTCAAGTTCGAAAGGTGTTGGACGTGTTGAAGTACTTCACAATGGAAGCTGGGGCACAGTCTGTGATACAAATTGGGATTTAAAAGATGCGAAGGTTGTATGCCGTGAGCTTGGTTATCTGAATGCTGTTAGAGCTCTTCAAGGAGGACAAGTATCACGTGGATCTGGACAGATATGGCTGAATGATGTAGCTTGCACTGGAAACGAGCAATTTCTTAACAGTTGTTCTCATCACTTGGCGTTTCGTAGTAATAATTGCGACCATTCCAAAGATGCTGGAGTTGAATGCTCTTCAACAGGTAAAAACATTTCCCTAATTTTTTATGGCATTTTCTAAATTCTAGTCGTTTTGTTTAGGTTGTTTTTATCTTTAGGTTGTATCTATGACTTCGATCAACTTGAGTTAAGCATGCAGTGACACAGCCAACCTGACAAATAATTCTAGTCCTGTTATTATATTGTATGTTATTATATTTATTTTAATCATTTCTTGGGAAATTCATTGTTTCACAGGCAATGAATACGAGGTCGAAGTGACATACAATTCGAATCCCGCAAATTTGGAATTCTAATTTATTCAGATGTGTATATGTGGAAAATTATAACAATTTTTTCACAGGAAGAGAAATATTTAATTCTTTTCTTGCTTCAGTTGCCCGTTACAACACATACCTTATCAAATCAAGTTCATACGGCTACTTGCGCCGTTTCGGTGAAAATCATCTGCATTTCTCAAGACATCCTGGTAATCATTTTCGTTTCATCAAAGAAAACATCCTGCAAGAAGCAAATACTGGGAAATGCGTTCACGCACGAAATGATCTTTTTGTCGGCCTTAGTTATCATTGCGATGGACCAACTGCCAGCAGATGGCGGTACGATTCTTTTGCGCGACATTTAAAGCTTGTTAATAAGTACCCAAATTATTGCGTAAGTCCTTGGCGCTATTATGGGAAACCTGGTCTTGAGGTTAGTCCTGGTGTGTCCCACGTCTGCAACTCATGGAACCGGATGGCACTGGAACTAGGTGAGTATTATCAACTATAATTATAGTATAAACATTTAGCTGGAAAGTATATTTCCAACCTATAACGGAATAGTATCTAATGAACAAGGAGGAATTTCGTTTTAAACTAAACGGCATATTTGTTTATGTGTTTTTATGCAAAGCCAATCAGAATGCCTAAATTTTTTTACTTCGTTTTAAAATGGTAAATAATGTACCTTTTTACAGGAAGTAGCTAGTCAAAATTTATTCATTCTGATTGGGGCGCTGAAAATGTAGACAATTATTAGTGAATTATTATTCAATGACGTAATGTGTAATGTCTATATAAGTGTTTACTGTTTGACATTAAAAGGGCCTTTTTGTCTCACACGATGTCGAGTACATAACAGTTTGTAACTAATGTAATAACGTCTTTGTTACAGACATCGATGAATGTTCTTTGAAATTAGACAACTGTGGCAATAATTCAAGATGTATTGACTCTCCTGGAGCATTTTCCTGTGTATGTCTCGAAGGTTATTCTGGAAATGGTTTAATTTGCAATGGTTAGTGATATTTTCTGAATATCTTCATGCTTTTTTATTGTCATCCCCCAGATGATTTGCACTGGGATATACATGAATAGTGTTCAAAAAAATGGCAACAGTGAATGCAATATTCTATATACACCGTTTTTTAAAATTTTCCATCTTACTGGTCGGACTATGGTATTTTCCATGGCACTTATATGCCTGTTCATTCGTGCAATGCAAGGAATGTTTTCATTCGCTTAGAGATGAAATGCTCCAATCAACTAATTTGGTGAAACAAGAACATTTCATTTTTCACCCGATGAAAATATTCTTACCATTACACTCATAAACAGTCATCATCAGTAAACCACAAAAAACATGACGGTTTTAGATATTGATGAATGTTCTCTGTCTACTGACAACTGCCTTCCCAATTCAAGCTGCGTCAACACGGCAGGATCTTATCGATGTATTTGTGATGATCGAGAAGTTGGAAATGGGACTTCTTGTAAAGGTATTAATTTCGTAATAAATTACCTGCTGAACTGCCAAACTGATTTATTTTATGTTTTAAAAACTTACCATATCATGATGAATGACATAATTTTAAACACATAGTCAGTCGATTGTCAGAGAGTGGAGTGTATTCTATGTTTTTAACGAGTAATCATTACCTACTCTATTTTCAAGGCTTATTATGGAAGTAATTCCAGATTTCGGGATAAAATTCGCGTTATGTCAAAGATCTAAAAGGCCTTTTTACGATGAAACGATGAAATGTTTAGCCAATTTTAACCCTAATATCAAGCACTTATGTATCACACATGCAAAAGTCCGCCATCTTTGGACCCATGCAGATTTTACCCTCAGAGATTCAGTTATAAATCATTACATCATTTTCACGGTTTATTTCTAAAAATGAATCTCCAGCTGCAATTTAAGATATGACTTCACAAAATAAACCATTTCGCTCTCTATCAACATAAAAATATTTACTGAAAGTTTTATTTATTCAAACACGAAAACTTGGGCAATCCGTTCATCAGGCCTGTTTCTTTTGCAGGAAAAGATATCAGGTTAAAAGGACCTTCAATTTCAAATGGAACTGGTCGTGTGGAGGTATTCTATAATGGAGAATGGGGGACAGTCTGTGATGATAATTGGGATATAAAAGATGCTAATGTTGCATGTCGTCAACTTGGCTATTTGTATGCTATTAAAGCCCTTCAAGGGGGGAACATTCCTTCTGGCTCCGGCCGGATTTGGTCAGACGAGGTTGCTTGCACTGGATCTGAGCAAAAACTGTCCAGTTGTGGTCGCCACGTTCGAGGGTGGGGGGTTCATGACTGCTCCCATGAAGAAGATGCTGGAGTAGAATGTAGCTCAATAGGTACAAGATTCTTTTCCAATCAATTGCATATTCACAAAATTGACAAAAAAAATATTCAAAACTAAATTTCTGACGATGACCCTAAGGCCTAAGCGTCAAAAAAGAGTTTTTGTTCCTTTTAGATGACTTTTACACGTTTGATGAGACGTTACTCATAAATAACATGTAATATTTCTGGGGCCGGTTATTCGAAAGGTGGATAAGTCGCTATCCAACGGATAACTCGCTATCCAACGGATAAGTTTTATCCAGCGTGTGATTTGCGTTGCACAAAGCTTGGATGACTTTATTCAGTGGATAAAAATCGCTATCTACCGGATAAATTTATCCAAGGTCCGGAGTTGGTTTAAATCCACTATCCAGTGGATAAATTCAAAGATACAAGGTAATACTGTAAACATTTATATAAAATACGACAAAAATGCAATATTCCTGTTACCGTGTTTCAACAAACTAATACACATCATGATTGTATTCATTATTAAAAATTTTTTCGAAGTGCAATTTGTCGCAGCAGCGTTTCACATTCCGTTTCGAGCGGCGATTTTTTGGATATCCTCGCATTTATAACAGGCGGTAAATTTACTATACGCTTCTAATCAGTTTATATAACGCGAATATGCAAAGAAATATTCAACCTATTCCAAGGAAACTTGCTAATATCTAAGTAATTTCATTCACGAACATTAAAATAGTGTTCCTAAATTTGCTATGGAACCGAAAGGCAAAGCGTTGCAAGGTCAAGGAATAAAATTGCAATGTGTTTAATAAAATCACTATGATGTGAAGCGCAAAGTTCGAGCAAATCACTTGTTCAAGTCTTTTTCATTCAGTAACTATACTCGAGAATTCGTAATGATTATGAATTCAATGTTGTAAATGCTTAGCAACAGCTGACGTTGTGGTACGAAATTTCAGGATGATCCTGTTTTCTTCTGGTAAATTTTAACTTATCTATTGGATAGCTATCCACTTCACTATCCACGCTTCGTGCAACGCGTTTTTATCCAATGGATAACTATCCACTGGATAGCAGATTTGTCCGTTGGATAGGACTTATCCATTGGATAAGTTATCCATCTTTCGAACAACCGCCCCTGTCACTCTTGTTCCAATCCGAAGTATGGCAACAATTAACATTTTAAACAACAAAAACAAAAAAACAATGAATGTTATATTTTACAAAACACCCTTTTTATTTTTATTATTTCTTTTCATTTTTTTTATCACAAGATATTAAATTTACTGACCGGGCTATGGTGTTTTCCGTGGCACGACCTAGGCGTGTTCATTCATGCATGTCATTCATTCACTCATGAAATGTCCCATCCAACTTGGGTGAAATGAGAACATTCTCTGATTCATCTGATGATAACATTCTTTTCATTACACTCATAAACATTCAACACCAGTAAAGTACAACATGTCTGTTGTAGATATAGACGAATGTTCTCTATCTACTGACAACTGACGTTAATAATAAATAACATGCAATTTTTAATTTTTCTGTTCCCTTGTTCCAATTATCCAAATATATTGCATTCATGCATTAACATTTTAAACACTCTCGCTTCCCTATTCTACGCAGATGTAGATGAATGTTTGAGCGGTTCGTATTACTGTGGCACACATGCTAAATGTATCAACACTTTGGGGAGTTACATATGTCAATGTGAAACTGGTTATACTGGAAATGGCTTGATTTGCAATGGTAGGTTTTAGAATTCACACCTTCAGATAAAATTGGTACATTAACGAATGTTTTCGACGTATATTACTGAGTTGTGTGATGATTAATGTTCTATAGATATCGATGAATGTTTCCTGTCGTTGGACAACTGTCTGGCTGGCTCAAATTGCACCAATACTGATGGATCGTATTTTTGCAGTTGCGACAGTGGACATTATTCGAATGGATCGGTTTGCCATGGTAAATAGAAAGATTTTGCTCGATAGATTTTTCAAATTGCTTAAATTGTTAAGACGAGCAGCGCAGGTCATTACTGTTTCTGGATAGGAAGAACGATTTTCTCTGTGATATTTTTCAATATCTTAAATAGGCAAAAATCGAACACCTCAAAAACTAGATAATTAGTGATGACATTCAAAGCACTTGTTGGTATGACTCAGAAGTATTTACGCAGAGTCTTTCACGTCTCCTGCAATCAAAATTACCAACTAAGACGTAACCATCAACAGCTTTATTTCCTATGAAAACCCAAGACTATTTTCTTGAAAAAAGCTTCTATTATATATAGAGATATGTATCAAATTTTAATGAAAAAAATTTCATAAATTGCTTTTTTTTATTTTTAGCAATGTCTGTCAGGTTACAAGGGCCATCAAGTTTAAATGGTTCTGGTCTCGTGGAGGTTTTCTACGATGGACTGTGGGGAGCAGTCTGTGGTGATGGCTGGGATAGTAATGCTGCTGAGGTTGTGTGTCGAGAACTTGGTTATGCGCATGTGTTAAGAGCTTTCAGACAAAAACTACAGAATGTCTCATCAACTATGTCATTCGAGAAAATATCTTGTGTTGGTAATGAACAAAATCTAACCAGTTGTTCGCACGATGGTTCTGTAAACAATACCTGTAGCCATTCAGAGTTCGCTGCTGTGGAATGTTTAAAAGGTAAAATTTTCAAATTTTACATTGTAAATGGTTGTTGCGGCAGCATAATTTACTTTTGAAATTATGAAAAGATGTTTCGATTGCATTCTTTAGTTCTATGTTATATTTCCTTTTTTAACCAAAATTGGTTGATATAAAAATCCTAAAAATACGTCGTTTCCTGTGCTTTCTTTCGGTAATGTTTGAATCAAATTGAAAGAATATGTTCTACTCTTTTATAATTACATAGATATAGATGAATGTTCTCGAGATCTGGACAATTGCGGTGATAATTCTCGTTGTGTTAACACAGTTGGAAGTTTTGAGTGCATATGTAATCATGGTTACACAGGAGACGGAGTTAATTGCGAAGGTTAGCACTTTACTTTATGCTATACCAGGGTCGTGCAGTCACGTGCACAGAGCAGCGGCTGGCCGGTCAGCTTCCTTCTTCCCTATTGAAAAGAGCTGGGTTAGTGTCAGTGATGTTGCGTTAAATCAGTGCCGTCGATAGATGTTTAATTAGGAAGGACTGACTTCCACTGTCTTTTTAGGTTGTTTGAGCACGAAAATGCGGATAATATCCCCCCCCCCCCTTTAAAATAAGCTGCTCGCGACGGCCTTACAAATATATTGGATCACTGACCAGCTTCTTTACAACTTGAACACTACAATTTCACACCTTTTTGTTGCGCTCTACCTTACAATCTATGCACCATATAGTATCATAAAATGATCTCTTTTTTTCTTCCAAGACATTGATGAATGCCATCTTTTGGTTGACAATTGCCATGAAAGCTCAACTTGCTCCAACCTCAAAGGATCTTACGTTTGCACTTGCAATAGTGGATTTACTGGTGATGGAACTGTTTGTCAAGGTAAGTGAATACTGTTTGTTTTATTAATAGCTTGCGTTTGTCAAACATGCCAACTGCCAACCAGTAGCTGATATAACTTATCAAATGTCAACTAAACCCCTAAAACAGTACAATAGAGATTATTTTCTTATTCTTGGTATTTTATGAGAAATGCAGTGAGTGAAATTACTGTTTACCAACAAAAACACTCCAAACTAAAGGAAGAACATAAAAATTAAATAACTTGGTATTAGTTAATTAGTCCAGAAACGAAGAAAAATTAAGTAAGAAATATTTATAACATAACTTTCCTTGGTGGTTTTAAGATATCGACGAATGTTCTTTATCAATCAACAACTGTCACAAAAATTCAAATTGCACCAATTCTTCCGGGTCTTTCGTGTGCACATGTGCCAACGGATTTACAGGAAATGGAACAAATTGCAACAGTAAAAAATAGCTGTTACCTTCTTTCGGCAAATTAACGAAAATTTGAAACACGATCAGGGACGCCCTCCTCAAAACTTATAGTCGTAACATTAACTTTGATGAGTTTAGATCTTGATGAATGTTCCTTGTCGTCTCACAACTGCCATGAAAACTCGCACTGCACGAATGTGAATGGATCGTTCTTGTGCACTTGTGTGAATGGATACACTGGCAATGGAATTGTTTGCCAAGGTAATTCATAAAGGCAAAGACTAATCATATTTTTTTGCCTATTGAGACTCAATTTTATGTCTACTTTGGGAATTGGAAATGTTAACTTTTACCAATAACCATTTTGTCCTGTATATCACGTCTATTTTTAAGATATTGATGAATGTCTCCTGCCCACTAATAATAATTGTCAGCAAAATTCCAAGTGTACCAACTTTGGAGGATCTTTCTCTTGCACCTGTAATGATGGATATACTGGGAACGGGGTTGTTTGTGAAGGTAGGGAATCTTGTTTGTATCTTTTCTGTTTGAAACACAGCAAGCTGCATGAATAACGCTACCTGACAATAAAGTTCGGATTAGAGATCGTTTTTGAAAAGTGATGCATTGTGAAATCACACCCAGTGGATGATTTTATTAATAAATACATCAATGAGTATTTAAATCTGTACTAACAATGACGTGTTATGCATTCCCTATAATTGGATCTGCATATATAACAGTCATATAATAGTATTAGTAGTAGATTTGACTAAGCCTTTATGATTTAATATTGTGATGGTGCTACTCTGCGTTACCAACGGGGAAACTGAAAAACTAGCCTGATTTCGGTGGGAGTCGAACCCGGAACAAACGTTTGGTTTGCCAATTTATCTAAGAACTATGTTAGTTCAGTGGATTTCATGAATATGTGACCTACATTCTACAGCTTCTCCAAGGAAGAGAATGTGCACTTTTTTATAGTTTATAATTCAATTTAGTGTTCACATCTTTTTAATTGTTAAAAATATCACGTTTGTTCCAGATATTAACGAGTGTGTCGAACAAGAGGTGTCTTGTGATTCAAATGCAGATTGTTTAAACACAAATGGATCGTATGAGTGCAGATGTAAAGAGGGCCTCACAGGAGATGGGTATAATTGTGAAGGTATATCTATTTTTAACAGTAATACTGAACAATAATCGACAATACGAAACACTTTGCATATCAGGTTAAACATAGACGAAATTAATCAGGATATTGAAACTTTAAAAAGGATTTTTATTACTGTATTCAAAATTGAAGATATGCCTTAATATGTCCACTATTCTAGCACCGGCAGAAAAAGAAATTCTTCACCGGAAATCCGAATCACCGGAAAACAAATTTTTCTCCTTCCCGAACTTGGCTTATATCATTGTTGGTCTAATTTTATTACTTGGAATAATACTTCTGGTAATATTGATACGAAGACGACGTAGACGATCGTACAGACCATTCCCTGACAATGATAATTTAGAGTTGATGTTAAAAGACGATTTTCATCCTGGAATTGGTGATGACAATAAGAATCAAGGATCACCTGATAGCAAGGCCTTCATATCGAATGACTGTGGTGGTTTACTTGATCAGGATGAACTCAATCATGCCACTGAATGCTAAAGCAATTATGGTTATAAAAAAGTGATCAATGATAATTAATCCAATTTTCATTTTTAGAGAAGTAAAATTTTGTTATAATTATGCATAACTATAGTAAGACTAGTACAGTTCATGAACTTGGTTTTCATTACTTTTTAATGCAAATCAATTTGCAATATCGTATATAGTTGCTCTTCTACTAATTTTTCCTAAGTAAGCAAACCATGGCAGTTAAACTCTGTCAAATATAATAGCCTGGGAATTAATTCTGTTTTAAAATAAAGAAAATAATACAAGAAAATAATTATTTTCTCTCCTGCTTTTTTTTGCATGTGCGAAAGAAAAAATATATATTAACCATGTTTCTTAGTAAGTTTTATTAAGTGCTTGTTTAGTCAATCTTTTGAACTTCTTAATTTTTTTAACAATTTTTTTCTGAATACACATTCTGCAATCTTTTGACAGCTCATCATGCCCATCTGCATGAACGCTGTGAATTGGCAATTTCGAGGCTTAATAAAATATATACACAAGGTCATTAATTCAGGCGATTCGTTTTTACCGTGTGGTCTATGCCAATATCCCCGGTGTCCAGGTGCATAGACACCAACTTCTTGTATCTCAAATAGTAACTCCAATGGTAATAAAAGTCACAATGAAATCATAATTCAACTTACAAAGAAACAAAAATTAATTATCTTTCACTGTCTATGGATGGTCCGATTTACCAACCGTCATTTTTGTTTAGAAAAATTATTATTAGCAATTATTAAATATTATGTACTTGTTGACTAGATCTGGAATTATTAGAGAGTATAGGACAACTGGGACAACATATTGCGCAATTACGTTTGTCTGAAAGCATTGTTACAAGTCAAGTTTCAACAGAGAAAATTCTTTTTCCAAAAACTAAACTCTTGCAGGAAAACGACACGTAGAATTTATTGCTAGTTTATTTATGCTTATAACCACCACCAAGATTGAAACATTTATTTTAAAAAGGCTTTTGAACGGCATGTTTTGATCTAGTTCGGCGCTGTAACGGAATATCTCAGAACCTTTCGATGAGTAACATGCCTCATTTTAATTGCTTCTGTACATGAAATATTCTTCCTTTGCCCGAAAGCAAGCTTCGCTGCGCGAAGATTATGTATTTCGTTGTAACGTTCGTTAACCTACGAAAAGGAATAACGAAAAATGCAACGTGGCGTCGATTTTCGAAGCGATAGAGGTTGAATATATCATTAGTTTAAAAAATTCGAGATCCTTGTATTTTATCGACCCGATTTTATCACACTATTGCAGAGCTTTATATGTTGAGTCTAGCTATGAAGTTTTTATCTAAATAACTACACAAAAATTAAAGATATGGTCGAGTGAATTTGCCTGGAGAATTCGACTTAATGTAATCACGGCTTTCGAGAAAGACGAAGTACAAAAAGCTGATTAGCTTTTATCGTCAACGACATGTGTTGAGAACGTATATTTAACTAGGTTTTTCATTAATGCGTCATGTAAATCTATGGAGATCTAAAAGTTTACTGTATTTTGGATTTACTTTTAATTGGCCAGCTAAATCATGTAAGTTCCATAATTATTTTCTTGCTTTGATCTTTGAAATCAAACTACAACAAGCAAGTTGGACATTTATTACCTTTCTTCAGGTAGCTCAGTCAGTATTACATAATTTTAAAAAAACAATCACAACCGGCAACCTTTTCAACATTCTCCGCATTCTTAACTCTTGAACCATTCACGAAAAAACAGGAATTATACGCAGCTTAAACACTTATATCTTTTGAAAACTCTTTAAAATTGGTACAACTACTCCACTTGAACTCTTTTTACCACTGCTCACCTTGAAAATTTTTTTTGTCTCTGACATGCATTCACGAGTCCATCGAAGATACGTGCGAACGAACAAAATTATAAAAATGAAAGGTAAACATACTGATTATAAATATATTTTCTGCTATTGTTAATTTTTTCGTTCAATATTTTTGAACAATCTCATGCACTTATATTCAGCGTTTATCGCGACAGAACATTTCTTTCACATAATATAGATGCATTTATTTTCAAAATGATAAATACTGATATTTGTATCAGCAATTATTAATCACTTAATCATGCATGCGTAAAAAATCACTAGCAAGAATGTCAGATCATTCTGTATTATTGCTAATTTATCATGCTTGTAACGCATTAGCTATAATTTCCGTGAATGCAAGTAGCTATCATGAATGCTTTCGTATTTGTCTGGACCGGATACATTAGTTACAAAGAAAAGGCTGCATATTTACATAAATATACAATGGTCCAAATACAATTGTTTCAGGTTAAAAGTTTCCACAATTTTTGAAGCATTCGAAGCATAAAAATGGGGTCAAAACCGACAAAATCTATCGCAAAAATCGCATTCCTTGCTGTGTCTGACAGCGAGCGAGACGATTCCAGGAACGAACACGGAGCCGTTTGCTCTGGCCTTTATATAAGAGTGTCTTCGATGGACTCGTAAAAACACTGAATCGAAAGTTAAAGGAAGTTTTCATCAGAAGTAGTTGTAAAACGGGAACTATTTTCAAAAGGTGTGAGTGCCTAAACTGCGTATTTCCTGTTTCAGGTGAATGGTGTAACTTGTAAGAGTCAAAAATGCGGATTTTCAAATGGCTATTTTCGGCACCATGAGACTTGTGAATTAAGCAAATAACCAACTTCAAGTCTTCTGCAAATTTTATTTCTTTTGTAAATTTGTTATAAAAGACTTATTCAACAAAACTTTTAAAACTTTATTTAAAATTAAAAATTTACGTCGTCGTCATTGATGAATTTGATCATTTCTTGTAATTTAAACCTTCTGTGCATGTGAAAGCCAAGTGTCTAGCTAGCCGTTGATTTAAATAAACAAGAGCTCTTTTTTTAAGTTTTAACATCAGGTTTCACACTACGGTGATCTTAATTTGGATATTTCAGTGCGGTTACATAAATTTGTATTTAATACCATTAACTTGGACATAAAGGGTTTTACTGATTAATATAGTTCTTGAAATTCATAGAATACAGGAATTATAACGTTTTGGCGGCCAATATATTTGTAACATTAGGTGCACTCACACAATGCAGACTTCATAATAATTTACTTGTTTTTCTAGATTTACGACCGAAACGTTTGAAAACGGTTGTGACCAGCATGGGTTATTAATCAAGGTTTGTTTGTCTGGGTACTATTATATTGTTCTATCATTCAAAAGTAGGTTTCAATAGAATAACAACACTTCACAAAGAATAAGAAATATTTTCAAGAAATTAAAAGTAAATTTATTTAATTATAGTCTACCAAATGATTGACTATTTATTTATAGTCTACAGACTAAAATGATCATGGAAAAGAATGAAACTAAATCCCAAACTACTAAATTTTATCATATTCTAATAATCTCCCATGTAAATCAACGATATATTAATCAATGAGCATCTTCTTGATCGTCAACTAAAAAAAAAATATTAGCATAATGGAGTCTTACTGCTCTTATTCAAGATTTAATTAAAATTCTTTACACACATTACACAAATCATCCCAGAGCGAAATGTGTTTTATTGTCCTGTCTTATGATCTTAATAAAGAAGATAGGTTTTAATGTTATGTTTACGTCTAGGTTGAACTCTGGCAATATAATACCTCGTTCATAGCAAATATTGATGTAGTATTTCATGGTCAGTAAATATGCTATTCTTGTGACTTAGCTAAATATATTTAAGTAAAACTTCTATTTATGGCAATGTTTCCATATACCATGCACGCAATATTAACTGATTATTAATTTTGATAAAAAACATACATCGACCAGTGGCGTAACGGACGAACATTGTGCTCTCAATTAGGTATATTAGATGTGGGTTGTTAGGTATAATTATTAGATGTGGCCCTGCTTTTCGTCATTTTAACTAAGAATTAATTTAGCCTAAGTTAAGAAGCCTATATAATTTTACATTATAGATTTTACATTATAGTGTATTATTACTTAACTGATTAGCTCGAGTGCTTACAAATCATGTAATACATAATTGCTTCGTGCATATTCACAAAGAAGATGTTTTTATATGACTTTATATTTGTAGATAAAACTAAAAAAAGTCAAAGAAAATTAATGTGAACGTCAAAGTTTTACGTGATACATTGAAACACTATTTTCTGGCGATAGGTGGCACCCGATGGGGCGTCCCTTGTGTGCCCTGAAGGTCGGGGCCTTAGTTCTTGCCCTAACCTACCTTATGTGCTACGCGATTGCCATCGATTTTTTTCAACTAATGATGAAACAAAGTGCTCACCCTATTGTCCTTTTCCTTCACTTGCATCTCGGGAATCGTCATAATTTTCGCCGCTCAATGGTTCAATCTGAGCATGATCAGATTTGGATGAAATTCTTTCCGGTAAAACATCGCTTCGAGCCTTAGCTTGGCTTGAGTGAGAAGGGGTCAAGGAGGAATGGATTTTGGAAACTGTTCCTTTTTTATGACTTGAATCCATCATTCTTGGATCTAGTCAGCAAATACGATATGTTATTCCAGATAAATTATGTATACTTATTATTTCACGACAGTTTCACTACATGGTTATTTGTCATCGAGTGCGCTATTACGTCTCTGCACCCCAAATAATATATATGGGGAATATTATATAATAACTTTCGTCTTATCCATTACAATCTGCATCTAATGTATACCAGGGATAAAAAATTTAGATGAATGAATTATTCCCACTAGGCAAGTATTAAGCTAGGCAGTATATTATAGCAATTCATTTCTTTAAATTCTAAATAAACTCAGGTATATTCATATTACCTTCTAAAGAACATTGCACTCCAGCATCTTCAGAGTGACCGCAGTTACTGATTCCCCACCCCCGATGAAAACAACTGCCCAGATTTTGCTCACTTCCAGTACAACCAACCTCGTCTAACATTATTTGTCCTGCACCAGACGGAACATCTTTTCCTTGAAGAGCTCTAAGAGCATCCGGATAACCAAGTTGACGACAGGCAACGCGGGCGTCATTTATTTCCCATCTATCATCACAGACTGTTCCCCATTGTCCTTTATGGAACACTTCCACACGACCAGTGCCATTGGAAATAGATAGCCCTTTTAATCTAATATTCTTCCCTGCAAGTTATTGAATAAAATATCCACACCTTCGATTGCCACTTCGTAGTTTAGGCTGTGCATGTTCTCAATTATTAGAAGTATTATAACTTACCCATGCAAGTAACGCCGTTACCGGTATACCCTTCATTACATCTGCAAGAAAATCCCGCATCAGTTGTGGTACATTGGGAAAACCAATGACAGTTGTCCAATCCCAAAGAGCAATAATCGACATCTAAAAAAAATTATAATGAAATTACTGTTTTCGGTTGTAGTCTATGGTTTCAATATGTTTTAATTCGACTTGTCTGATTCATGCACTTCATATCTATGGTTTCAACTTTCAATATGTTTTCATTTGATTTGCCTGATTAATGGGCTTCTGAAGGTGGTTTTCTATTACGCCCTCCGCATTAATTACCCAAGTGAGCAAGACGCGCTTTGCCTCATTTGGTACACGAATGTAATGGAAAACAGTCTGCAAGCTGGGAATCATTTCATTTCTACGTTCGATATGATAGAAAAGTCTTAAAACCAGTGGATTTTTCGGTCTGTTGCAATAGGGTAGATTTTCTTTAAATTTCTGAGTCAAGTCCACAACCCTACACGCAGACACGGAGTTGGCTATCATCACCGCGACGTACTATATGGTGATATTCCACTTTTAGTACACTAATATTCGTGAAACATTATTTGGAAATTTACCTTCTTGAGTACATTCCACTCCAGCGTCTTCAGAATGGCGGCAGTCATGTCCTTCCCAGTTCGGATGAGAGCAACTTGAAAGATTTTGCTCATTGCCAGCACAATCAACCTCGTCCAACCATATTTCTCCTAAACCAGAAGGAACTTGACCTCCATGAAAAGCCCCAAGAGCATTCCGATAACCAAGTTGACGACAGGCAACTCGAGCGTCATTTATATCCCATCCATCATCACAAACTGTTCCCCATTGACCGTTATAGAATACCTCCACACGACCAGTTCCGTTTGAACTTGATGGACCTCGTAATCTGATGAATCTTTCTATGAAAATGAATAAAAATTATCTTGGTTAAATTTATTCGATATCATGAATACAAACAGATAATCAGGTGATGGAAACATGTTACCCAACTTGAAATGTGTCAGCTAGCTTATTTTAGTTCCCCACAATTGGGCCACATATACACTACCACGCTGTAAAATTCTTACCTTTACAAGAAGATTCGTTTTCGGCATCACAAGAACATACATACGATCCATGAGTGTTGGTGCAGTTCGCATTTGGAACACATGTATGAGTTAACAGGGAACATTCGTCAATATCTGAAGCAAAAAAAAGCAGGAAAAAAGTTGCACCACTGTTACGTTTTGTTGTAGTAATGACAGGAATGAAGAAAGCAATATGTAGTGCAGTGCAACGTAGGAATAATACAATTTTATCTAGATTACAAGTTTGCCATATGCATGTCACCTATTCTAGTTATTATTTAAAGATTCCTTTAATAACATAATTTCTAAAATTACAGCTATTTGATGTGTTCCGTTTACCAATTTCACTTCAAAAATTTCTAGGATTTCGATTTAATTTTGCAATTTGAGATCAAACAGAATTTTTGAAGCGCGCCCTGAACAAAACATCTCAAGAATAGGAATACGGCCCCAAAACAAAATAAGAAATCAATAGAGTTTTAGTAATAAGTGTCACTTACCAATGCAATTGATGCCATTTCCGGTAAAGCCTACATCACATTGGCACGAGAAACCACCAACAGTGTTAATACAATAAGAATTATTGCCACAGTTGTCCAAGTCTAAGAAACATTCATCTTTATCTACATAAATGGATTAACGATAATGCTCCAATTCATTATTAGCGTACTAAAATTACAGGAAATTGATTTTTACGAAGCGATCCCGATGGATACCGCTTAGTAGAAAGCGATCCTACTTTTTAGCGGCGATTTTTTTTCGCAAGCCAATCACATCACTGGATTTCAGATATCGCTTCGCGTCGCGCGAATAAATTCGCCTAATGGAAAAACGGGCTTTAGAGCGTGCTCTTTAAGATATATAAAGTCTCGGAAGTTGGATAGTGAATTGACAGTAGCCGATATGGATCTACGTACACGGCTTAAAGTGTGACTTTTTGTTTGCATTTAACTCTCTTGAAGCCATGAATATTTCAATAAATATACGTTAGTAAATAATTAAATGAAATTACTACAGTCTGAGTCATTTTACGAACGAAGCTAGAAATTGCTTGAACTTGCCTGTCAAGGAGGCGATCGTTTTTGGAGTATGGTATAATAACCAGCTATCGTAAATACTCACCTGGTTCAAAGGAGATCTTGTTCTCATCATCACAATGAGACAAACCAGGGCGAACTTCACTTTCATCAGGGAAACCGTCATTTTGCCAGAGGCCCAAGCACAAATCACGACTGATTGGAGCAATTTTCAAATGTCTCTCGGATGAATTGTAAGACCATCTGCTGGTGGTTGATCCATTACAATTATATTCAAGGACGACCAGTTTGTCTTCTCGAACGTAAATGCATTTCTTGGTATTAACTTCCTGAAGGACTTTGTGATTTATAAAACGGAAATGAGCTGGAGCGCGAGCCTTTGAGAATTGTAGAAGATCTTTGTCGTCGCGATGACTACGATAATGATGCAAATAGCCATGTGCATCTGATTTAACAAGGTACGTGTTGTAACGGGGAGCTAAAGAGAATAAAAGAGTAAACAAGCAAGAATTACGTAGGAAATACCAAGCGTCGTAGGTTGATCAAGTATATTGCATATAGCTATAAAATATGTCAGAGAGAAATTTTTATTGAATTTTCCGCAAATTTTGACAACATTGACTAGCTAGACACGTCATTGGACCGGTTGTCGGACTGTGGGTGTAAAAAGTTGCGTGCACTAGCCAAAACAGCCGCCGTGTTAAAGTTTCCAAAATCGGAAAAAAGAAATGTTCGTATTATATTGAAAGAAAGGCACGCTCATCCCATTATGTTATTTTGAAAAAATAATTTTAAAAAATTCTAGCAACGCACATTTTTAGGAAAAATAACACATGGTAGGATCAATAACGCTGCCAACATGGTTAATAATAGAGAGTTTACAAAATAATCACGACGCGGCCAGCCCGCGACGATGCGCTTGCAAAACAAAACAAAGAAATACCACACGTGAGACATAAGGTGTGCATAACGTTTGATCCAACGACTGCGTTGAAAGTTGAAATTCTTACGACGTCTTCAAAAAAAACATTTTCACGCCTTCTCGACCATATGAGAGAGTTTTTTTATAGCTCTCAATTGAAAACGTTTGTGTAAAAGTTATTAGAGTCCGTTTACACGATCCAATTTTGTTGGATCTAATTCATTCCTTACGTGTGGAATTTTGTCTGTTGTTATGATGAAGCACTACAGCGTGGCTCTAATTCACTTTCTCCTATATACATTGCAAATAAACAGTCTATAAACCATCCATCAGAATGATTTAGATCTGACAAAATTGGATCGTGCGAACAGACGATTGACTGCTACATTTATGACATCACCTTTGACATTCAGAACCTTCAACACAGCGGACTTTTCCATCGTTGGTTTTAGAGGAATAACAGATTGTCCATCGATTTCAAGGACTCGATTTGTACCAGCCTCGACTGCACTCACAGTCACAAACCTTTCAAACTTCCACTTTTTGTTCTTAACCACTGTTTCTGTTGGTTTCATGTAAACATTTTCCAGCAGACCTGACGCGTTGATCGTGACAAGAACGTCACCATGGTAATCATTCTCCAGTAAAAGACTCATAAAATACTTGTTTTCGTCTATCAAAATAAAAACGCAAAAAATTAGAAAACCTCCAAAAACAAAGACCTCAGAGAGAATTGAACAGGAATCAACAAGCCATTTTTGGTTGCCAGTCAAGCTCTAGCCACTATACAGCACTCAGAGTAAAATTACAGTACATAACTGTAAAATGACAGTAACTGCATGTATCTACCAGAATTTTCTGTATTATTTTAGCCACATTTTAGTGTGCCCTATTGTGAATTGTCATTTTTATTAACCTTTACATTTCTTCTTTTGGATAGCGCCTGCTTCAGCGGTTGCGAATCCATCAGGACACTTATAGCAAAATGTTTTACCGGCTTTTGGTTGATAGAAACCACGAGGACAAACAGCGCATGTTGCCGTGCCATTGATCAACACACCTTTGAATCCTGGCGGACATTGAGCTGGAAAATGAGAATTAAAGAATTATTTGATTATAATGATTAATGAATCTATAATTATTTGCAATCTTAATCTACAGGTTGTATAAAAACACGCAAAATTTAAATATTCATGATGTATATTCGATCTTTTCTGATCGAATATAGAGGCAATTATTCATGAATATTTCTTGCGAGTTTTTTGCTCCAACCTGTATGTATATACTGACTTACCACATTTATAGACCTTTTCGACGAAAAACTGGCCCTTGGGACATATTAAAGACATCTCCATGATAGTTAAAGAGTTCGCCAGTGCAGAATGATTAGAATTACGCTTTAAAAACGTAATATTATTTGCAATGTCGCTGTCAGCAAGTACATTCTTGAGATTGTAAGTTGCGTTGACTATTTTCTCAACTTCATAAGACGAAGTAATTTCCTTTGAATCTTTCTTTGAGGTGACATTCTGACCAATGACTTTAAATGTCCAGTCACAGACTTCGGTACGTTCTAATTCGTCATAATATCCTGGGACAATGTTACATTCGCCGAGTTTTAAATCTTTCATCAACTCACCAGTTGACATGCAATTCCTATTCTCAAAAGCCAGACGAGATTTCAGGATATTTGCTAATGTATCACGATAATATACCGACGTTTCATTCATGGAATACTTAGATATGACTGTCAATGACAGTTTAGCAACTGGTACTGGAAGACTGTATTTTAACACCTGGACAAAACTCAACTTAGAAATGGTGTGGCCAAACGAGTTGGAAACGTTACAGAAATACCATCCTTCGTGGTGGAGTTTTACTGGGACGAAGCTGAGATGAGAAAATCTCTCATTTGGAATTGACGCAAAGGAACTTGAATTTGGAGCCCTGAACCACCAATGGTAAGATGTATTGTGGGCATCCTTTTTAACTTTGCAATGCAGTGAGGAGTATCCAGATAAGACAACGTTGAGACGACGAACTGGGTGCAGAACAATCAGCGGAGGAGTGGCAATAACCACAACTGCAACGATTGAAGATGCCTTTGCGATGTGATTTGATGCATCACAAGAATAGTTACCAGAATGTGATGGACTCGTGTTATTGATTCGTAAGATATTTGTATGTTGATTATTTAAAACTTCACCATTGAAACGCCATTGATAAACAAGGAAATCTCCTGCAGCTTCGCAAGTTAAAACAAGTGTCTCGTTCACACCCAACTCGGTGAACGGTTCGGGCTGTTGGGTGATATTTGGGGCATGCGCACAAACGTCCTCAACACCACTCATGTCTTTAACGTCTCTCAAAAGATCTCTTGAAACATGTACTGCCTCATTAACCGACATATTTGATTTGCTGGTTACATTAAAAAATTTTCTCTCCAGATTTAGTATTTGCTCCCGTAATTTATTCCCATTCAGTGCACTTGATCCAATACTTATCTCCAATAAACTGTCAAACGTGTACTTCAGGCAATCTTCAAAACCACTGCATTCTCCAGAGTATTCAGCAAACATGCTCTCCATGGTTGCTAACCAATTTTTGTAAAACAATACTGAGCTTGAATGGACTGCACCATACTCGTTCTTCAAAGCTTCGTTTTGAACATTTTTTGCTTCCAACAACTCAGGATCGTTTTTAAGAGCTCTTATGTAAGAATCGTAGTTTACATTGATGTTATATTCCAATAACTTTTCTTTGTTCACATTAAAGTTTTCAAAAATGACGCTGTTGTTTAAAGAGAAAGATTTCCTTTGAACCTCTTCATTGCGAAGCATTTGCAGTTTTTCGGCCCTTTCAAAAAGTGACCTCGCCACTTCCTCCAGAGTTTGTTTGAACGTACTAAACTCTGAGCATAATCTATGGAAGGATTGCAAAATGTAAACATCGTTAAATATATCATTTATATTTACCGAACGTTTTTTTCTAGAAATCTGAGCATTTTCTTCGACAAGCTCTTCCAAAATTTCTTTGGCAATATTCCTCAGGGACCTCCCCAAGTTTTTCAAGTTAAGTAAAGTTGACAATTCGTGTTGTTTCTTATTAAACTGCAGCTTAATGTTTAGAAGTAATACGTCAGTATCTTGTTGTGGCAATACTTTCGTTTCAAAAGTAATATCTAATATCTTAATAAGCGATTTACCATTTTCACTCAAAGAGTTTCTCAACCTGGACAATGTCCTAGCCAAAATACCGAATATCCTTTTCCGATTCTCTTTTGTAATATTGTACGCCTTTTCAAGGTTCTGTGCGGCATCCTCGTATGAATCCAAAGAGCGCTTAGCTGAAAGAATTGTTATGGACAGTTTTTCCCTCCTCAAATTCCAGAACGAAAGATTTTGTCTTGCACTGTCTAGGCTTCCAACAATCATCGCTGCGTCAGCTTTAACTTTTGTGATTTCCTTTAAAGCCTCTTTTCTTGCTTTTTTACAAAGCGAATTCTCAGCAAAACAACTGACGTTAGCAATGAACGATGCACACGATAGATTGGAGCAACATTTTTCTCTTATTGTCGTATTAACCACTTTTTGTAAACAGGTATCATCACAGCTGTACGGAGTGTGAATATAGTCATAATTAAATATCGGCTTTTGGCAAGGAACTTCAGAATAATAACAATGCCATCCATGTTCGCTTCCTGGTTCAAGCAAACGAACTCCAGCCACTACTATAACAGGATTAAGCGTGACAACGCCAAGTGCCGTTACTAGAACGCCAGCCCAATTTGTCTGTGAATGAATTCTTTTACATCTTTCATTTTTGCAAATTGCTTGCTCTTCGTATGGACGCATACGCTCCTGTTTGCTCTTGTGACACGTTGATGAACACGTTACGTTTTTCTCAATAAATGTATAGCTCCAACATTGTGTACAATATATTCCTTGATGACACACTTTAGGACAGTTTTTCACCTCGCAAAGTTTGTTTAATTCCTCAGTTAACTGCTGAATTTCACCACCATAGCTGTCGATAAATTCAAGTAAAAGATTTAAATTTTCCTCAGCTCGAATTAATCGATGACTTATTTCTCCATATTGGGCATTAATTTCATTCATCTTCTTTCGCGACTCTTCCCGAAGGATCTGAACTTCCCTTAGACGGGATTGTGCGCGATTTTCAGTCTCCCCAGAAATATCAATTCTCTTTTTTAGTTTTGTTAAATACTCAGCTGTATATTTTTTTATTTCTTTTTCCAAAAGTCGGTCGAGGTTATCAGAGGCTTCTTTAATCTCGAAAACTCCAGTTGTTGTGTATCGCTGATCATTCCATGACACCAAGCTAGATTTGAAAGTAACAGATACATCAAACAATCCATTTATTCTCCCCATTGTAGAAAAGGCCAGGCCACTTTGTGATATGGCAACGTTTACGGCACTTTTAAAACCAAGAACATTAGCAATGCCGGAGAAAGAGCCCCCGGAATCAGCAGCTGATTCACGTCCAATCTGTAAATTTATTTTTGAACCACGATTGACTTTAAAAATTCCTAGTTTTTTCTGTGCAGTTTCAAAACGTTGCCCATATTTTCCACCCAACTTTGCAATAATCTTCGATCGAATCGCCTGCGACGAATTCTGGCATGAAGGATTTTCTAAACGCAACTCCACCTCAAGGTTGTCAAAGCGTAAGGCACCAAACTTAAGATTGCCATGGAAAGTCATTTTGACGCCATTGCTTGCTTCACGATAGCGAGAGTTCTTACTTATCTTCTCATGGTATAGTATTGCGCTAAGAAAACATGACATGTTACTAGGTTGATCAAGTTCAACAAATCTGTCAAGCTCTGTATGAAGAAATGGATTATATTCCATCGTGTTTTCCATAAATAGTCCTTGAGTACTTTGTTTCGTCTCAAGCAAGCAAGCATCTTCCACTCTCCCTGAAAATATTGATCAAATTGATAAATTCTCTCAAAAAAGTTACTGCATTGTCATTTTTTAACATCTTAAGGTAATTACAGAAGTGGGCATCAACTCAGTATTTCGAGCAAACACAAAGATCGACTGTTCCCAAGTTTGCGCTCCAACCATCTAAGTGTGTAATAAATTAGAGATTGCATGCCATTCATGTGAGAAATACCTCTTTCTTGCTATGTAAAAAAATCATTTGAATTAATATATATTATTTCGGCATGCTAAATGTTCATGGTGAAAGGTAATGTCCTCATCAGGGCAACGAGAAGTCACTGACTAGTCTCTATAAGCTTTCGTCCTTTAGAAAACCAGAACATCGCCCTTAAATGCAGGTATGACAATGTCATAGACATGTCCGAGACACGAGGCGAAGGCTTCCAAAGAGGCAATTCGATATATTTCGAGAAGTGTATCCATTGGATTTGTTCGATTTTAAATATGGGCAAGAATGTAAACATTACTGCATAAAACCCAGTGGCGGATCCAGGATAAGTCAGAGTAATTTGAATAAATTACTACAGTTCTAACTTGGAACCATATAAATTATGGGGATATAGATTTTTATGTATCATTCTTTAGAAATTAATAACCGATAGCGTTGTTATAAAAAATATTTTGAATTTCAAATTAGGCTGTGTAATTTATTCTGAAGACGTACTTGCTGGAAAAAATTCCTTACCTCCAAATGTTGCATAGCTTATTGTTCGTGCTATTTTAATAGATAATTTTGTCATTTTCCCTTCGACAATAAATTCCATATGGAGCGCAATTCTACCGTCGAGCACAGCCAGCAATTTTCGATCTAACAGAGAATCCATCATCTGTAAAACAATTTTATTTTTATGATGTATATGCACGACAATTAATAAATCTCTTAAAGGCCATGTTAAGGCTAGCTTCCACTCAGGAAAAATCTCCTTTGGATCGGAACGGACATGTATTTTTTCTTGCAATTTGCGATGCAATTCTACTTTTTGGCAGATGTAAATTTGGAAACTACGAAACTTTTATGTTGCAAGAAAAATATACTGCACTAATTTACATCTCTTAAAAGTAGAATTAAATTGCAAGTTCCAAGAAAAATTGCAAGTTGCAAGAAAAATTGCACGTTGCCAGATAGATATTATTGAGAAATTTTTTCTTCGTTCGAGAAAATATATTCGTGAAATAATAACTTGTTTTCTCGAGAAAAATGTAGAAATTACTTTCTTATTCATGATAACTTATCAGAAATATGTTTCCTTAAAATGAGAATTTTTCTCAAAAAAATGAAGAGTTATCCATCTAACTAATGAAACTTGTCTCACTTAATATGGTTCACAATTCAATTCAATTGCTCAATGTAAAAAGTCAAATGTTAATAATCTACTAACGTTTTCCAAGTTGTGAACGTTAAGGTTTAATGTTCCATCAAAGTCCACGCGAAAGTTCACTGAGTTTGACATTCTAAAATCTTTGCTAAACTTTGTGGCCATAATCAAGTTTCTTTCCCTTTTCGAAATGTTAGAAATGTTAGAAATTTGTAAGGAAAATATCGATAATGACCAACCGTAGGCTCGCAGTTTTTTAAACACGGAAAGTTTGTTGATCACATCAACCAGATTTGTTGATGGTTTCAAGACGACATTGTATGGAGGAGTGCCACATAGCTCAAGAGCAACGGAGAAACTGGCTTCACGATCAGGCAATCCCAATGAAACATGGTCTCCATCAACAATTAGGTCAAGATCAGGTGATATTAACAAGGAATAAAATGTGCCATCAGTCATTGGTTGGCCTGTAATTTTTAACTTCTCGAGTACCCGTTTTCCAGATAAGAAGTAAACTTTAAGATCATCTTCAACCACCGATCTTGATGATAGATTTCTTCTTAGTTTTACATCCAGCCATTTCGGAAGACTGTCTCGCACAACGTTAAGAAAAGACTTGGTTAGAACTCGACGCTTTATCATCTCAGCCAAGGAATACTTCTTTGCTGGACTGGATCCACAATTATTATTCAAACTCGATGGATTTCTAGATATAAACTTGTCACCTGTTATTGAATAAGGTATTTCAAATTTTCCATTGCTGAAACTCACAATGCCGTTAGTTCCTACCAATAAACCAAACATTTTCCGCCAAGGTCTCGTTGAACGTGCTGTAATTCGTACTTGTGAACGTGAGCATTGATGACGCTCGACGCTGTAGCATTCAGAAGAAAATGTCATATAATCTTCTTCGGAAATTTCCAAAGCTGATTTTTCAGAAGTTTCGACGATAAGCGCGTTTTTCTGTGGAACACGAAAGCCAGCTGAACCCGGACCAGACAAATGATATCTAACAAAATAAATCCCTGGTCGTCGGGCAATTATTTTTAAAGATTGTAAAGTGGTGGATTTTTTCTTGAAAAGTAGGTCAGGTGGATCAAACTGGACTCCAACACTTTGAGGTCTGAGGAACACGTCGTTGTCTGGTGGTGAAACTCGATACTCTACAGAAGTGGCAGTACCATCTGCGAATATTGTGGGATAGTCAGGTATATCTATGAATCCAGTTTCGCATCTTTTTCCCTTGTACCCAGTCCTCGAGCAGTCACATGAAAACTCGCTGGATGTTATATCAGTACACTCGCCACCATGGCGACAAGGATTTGGTTCACATCCCTTTTTTGCTAAATAATTTAAGTGGACAACAACAAATTGTTTATCGAATATGTAATACTGTAAAGATTGTGTGTATATAAACTCATGCAAATCAATTGCAAATTATAAAACCGTGTGATGATGTAAAAATTATGAAAAAAAGATTAATAGAAAATTGAAAAACGTTTCTAACTGAATGAATTAGCTTTATATTTCTTTCAACGTCCAATCTTTGGTCTTTACGGGAATTATAAAATTATAATAACCTTTTTTTTCAAAATCATTTTCAGAAACATGAAAGGACTGCATCGATCGGTCCTATTATGACCAATAACTTACTGTGGCATGTTATTTTATTTGGCTCCCATCGACCATCCACTGTACATGTCATTTTCGACGTCTCGTTAATATAGAAACCGTCATCACAGCCCGCTATACATTCTGAACTAAAAAGCTTGTTGCAAGGATGATAAATGAATCCATTGGTTGGTTCAGGAGGGTCTGGACAATAAATAGCTGAAATAGATAATTACCTGGTATTATGAGAAGAGAAATATTTCCTTCTCCTAAATCTTATTACTGCTTCATTGAACTTATTAAAACTGGAATGTAAAATTTTAAAGCAACTCCTAGTACCTTTCGACCAGAAAATCTCTTTAAAATCTTTTAAGAAATCTCTCTGGTAATTTATACTTTTTATGTTATTTAAGAAAGAAAAGCTAATTGCAATATGCAAATTGCATGTATAGATGACGTAATCAAGGAAAATTCCTGTGAGGTGGAAATCGAATCACTGGTTCACAGTTGTTCATTTCTGTATCGCTAATAAAGAGAAAACTATTGAATAACTTTAAAAAGTTCATTTTTTCTACTGCATACGCAATCTTTTGACAGCTCATCATACATATCTGACAGCTGTGAAAAAGCCATTTTCAGGGGTAGGGTATACACAAGATATTAATTCAGACGATTCGTTTTTGCCCTGTGCAAGTTTCAAATCTTTTGTGCATGGCATATTTTATTGAGTATTTATAAATATTTTTTCTCACCAAGTTAAGTCCAAGCATTGAGAATTGCGTCTAAGTAATGCGCTGCTTCATACTCACGTTCGCATTTTGTCTCTTTCCCAGTCCAACGTCGCGAGGGTGTGCATCTTCGTATGGATGAACCAGATTGCTTAAATCCGGTCGAGCAAGTGAAGACACAGGTATGTTCAGTTGTATATCCTGAACATGTCTTATTACCATTCATTGGCGTGTAAATAGGTAGACATTGTTTACCTAAACCATTGGCATGTAAATAATTAGACATGGCATGTTTAAATAAACCATTGTAAATATAAATAGTCAAACCTTATTAGGTTTAAACCATTGGCATGTAAATAGTTAGACATTAATATTGTTTTCCTATAAACCATTCACATGTAAATAGTTAGATATTGTTTGCCTAAATCAGGCAGCCAAATTTTTTAGATACGGAATTTTGAAAAACATGTCAATGTCAGTTTGGAAGAAATTAGAAAATGAAAATGACCCGCAAAAAAAATTCAAACAAGACGGCATAACAACACGTTTCTCGGTATTGTTCGGAACATCTTCAGAGAAATTATTGATGTTGTAAAAAAATAATAAACGAAACTTTAGCTAATAGATTTATATACTATTTTACCTTTGTTTTTTAAATAATTTGCTTTAAATCCATTTTTAAAGTACACTTTCTTCGTGCTTTGCTTTTCAAAGTGTTGCAATTTGGTAGTATTAAAATCAATTTCACTCAGGGATTGGGCGAAGAATATGTGCTGTTTACAGGTAACACGAATAGGGGTAAAATCGACGTAATGCCAAAAAATCGTCCTCACTCATCCTTATTACGACCTACGTTTTCCGCACATTACTCATTAGTTTTTTCAATATGGTTAACATAGTAAGTACTGCACTTGTGGCAATATTACACGTGCATATTCATTGAGCTATATTAGAGATGCATTAAAAAATTACCACTACAAGTTCTCCCATCTCTGGACAATTCAAACCCTTCTCTACACAAACATTCGTAAGATCCGTGTGTATTCTTGCAATCTTGATCACAACCATGCTTTCCACTGGAGCATTCATCAATATCTTTAGTTAAAACCATTGAATATTTTAATACCGAAGTTGAAGAAATCTTTAGCTAGAAAGATGGGTTTTACCGATGTTTTACTTTAGAAAACAATGCATAATTTCATGCGTGTACTGATAGCATCTTTACGTTTTTTACAAAATATTTCTGTGCTGGCACGTTTATATCAATGTAAATTTCTAACTATTCCCAATGGTAAAAAAGTTAAGACAAAAAAACATACAAATATCATACCAAGGTATTTTGCCGCATGCACTCTTAAATGAAAAATAGATGGTTTAAAAGTCTGCAGCTGGTGTTTGAATTTCTGCTTGTACTGCAAATGGTTTGAGAAAATGTCCGGGATGTTAGATTAATGAATATTAATGAAGTTTGTTTGTTAAGGCCCATTTACACTATGAGATGCATCGTATGCAATTTATCGATTTATTGTGGCATACATCTTCTTAAGCTTTCGCATTCGTCAGAATGATATAATTGCATACAACTCATCGTATAGTTTAAATAGGCCTGTGCGCTTTTATCAGTATCAACAATTACCTATGCAATGTTTTTCATCCCAAGTTAAGTGATATCCTTTATTGCAACTGCAGTTAAAACCGCCATCTTTGTTGGTGCAGATCTGAGAACATCCATCTTTCTTCTCAAAACATTCATCTATATCTATTTAAATCAACAACATAAAACATATGGTGGTAAAATGTTTATAAAATTATACCATCAATCATCGTGTCATCATGGTTTTACTATACTTGTGTCTGATATAATTATAACAAAACAAGGGTGAATTTCGTTTTAGACCAATCAGCAAGTTGTTTACATTTTCAATAACCGGATCAGAAGACATAAATTTTGACCACCTCCGGTAAAAAGGTACCTTATTAATTTTACCATTTTACATGAAATGATTAAAAATTTGGGCATTCTGATTGGCTTTGTCTACAAAATAAAAACAAATAATTATGCGGATTAGTATAAAACAAAATTCCCCAAAGTTATACAGCAAGCTTTACACCTGTATTCAAAAAGTTTACTCACACTCACACTCATTGAGTGTGACATAAATATTTTGTTAATGCTGGTCAATGAGAAAGTTCTTTCTGAATAGGTGGAAAGATTTAAGGTAAAACACTAAAAATCAAGCTCCTATACGACTGGCAATAACGTCATGGAAACGTTATGAGAAGTTTAAGATCTCCCACTTCATGAGTTTGAGTGTGAGTGAGCTTTTACAATACAGGCGTTAGTGTTCCTTCTCCCTTACTTTTAGCCGCTACATAACATGTTTTAAATATGGTTGCCATCGAAACAATTGTCGCGTCTGCTTATATTGTGATTTTGGCTGAAAATTGCGTATAATATAGCGAAAAAAAGGATGCGTTTAAATGTTGTTTAGTACCCATGACATATGTAGCACATTTTGGTTACTTTATACGATATTCATTTTTCGACACATTGTGCTTCTTGCAGAAATGGAGATTTATTTCTTACCATCGCAATACATAAAGTTTTTTGAGTTTCGTCGGTATCCAGTATTACAGAAGCAATTGTATCCACCGAGGTAGTTGACACAGTTCTGTTGACAGTCGCTATTAACACATTCATCCACGTCTGAAATGAGAAAAAATATTAGTGTATGCTACTTATGTAAAATTTTAGGATCAGGTTCGTTATTCCTTGGCCTTGAGGGATGAAAAAATGTTGAATGTACCGGCATTATACTGAAAAAATACACCATACACCAGTCTAAAGATATATTTCAACAATTCCTTGTCGATAATCAATTCATTTCCATTGGGCATAAAAGCAGGGTCGATTTCTTTAAAAAATGATTACTTAAAGAGGTGATTTGTAGGGCGCAAACTAACGCAGTAATTGGGGGGGAGTAACATTCATAAAATCTAATTTTTTTCAAAATTTTGTTTGTTTGTTTTTTTATTTTGGCCAAAACAAATTAATATATGAACATGCACCACGCCCTAATTATCGCATCTAATTTCGCACTGCAGCCGGATATCATGAAGGTTCAAGTCATTGACAAGCAGTTTACTCCGATTTCCTATATTAATTTTATTTACATGCGCGCTAAGAACTATTAATGAATTTGGAATTGATTTACTACCTTTGCATGTTTTCCCGTCAGCAGCAAGATAATATCCAGCTTGGCAAGTGCATATAAAACTTCCAACGGTGTTTTGACAACCAGCTTTGTAATCGCAGTCGTTTTGATACGTTTTGCATTCATCAACATCTATGAAATACAACAACGTTAACTCTTTACAGGAATTTATTTTAAAATATTTTGTTTTTGGCGTCGAATTGCCGTTCTAAATGTTTATGGTCTCTACACTCTATGAAATAAAACACAGTCAATTGTTCAGCATCTACACGTGTTAAGTCGATGGAATAATTTTCACATCAATTAAATTGACCGCTTAAAGTGCCTATATCATTTGTGGGATCTTTACGGATTTGAATAGAGCTTGAAAAATTAGTTTATAAGTTCTACAACCCTTTTTGATATAATTAAATAGTTTCGGAAATATTTACATCTAATAAACATGACGATTTGCCTAAATTTCCGTCGTGCTCGGGGGCCTGGGACTCAGGAACCGAGTTCTTGTCAAACAGAATATAATCAATTGTAATTTTACTTCGATCTTCCAATAACGTAAAATATTTTGAGAAAAACTCGCCCAGTTACTACAGCCATACACAACGCACCGTTCCCGCATTTTTTTCTTGAAAAGCGCAAACTATATCGCCAGTGAAACTCTTCATGTTTACATTATATAAAAGACGGCGTGTTTGCAAATCATTCCTGAGTCCCAGTCCCATCAACCGACGTATTTTCGAAACTATTTAATTATATCAAAAAGGGTTGTAGAACTTATAAACTACTTTTTCAAGCTCTTTTCAAATCCGTAAAGATCCCACAAGTGATATAGGCACTTTAAATAACATATAAAAAGACTGATATCCCTAGAATTGTTTACTAAGGAGTTCTGGGACATGAATAATATAATTCCACAGATAACGAAATACCATTTAAATCCGACTAAAAAGAATGAACTAACCATCAAAAAGAAACTGACAAAGTGAAATGTACAAAGTCAGATCCAAGGAAAAAATTACACACATGAAAATGATATTCACACACGCTGGAAAACACCCGAACGGTTTATTAATTGACATGCACCGAAAGACGTGTGTGACGTTATAAAATTATTCAGTTATGTAAATTACGAAAACAAAACTACTTTATTGTGATTGGTTAGATGAATGATAATTAAAATAATGTCAAAAATAATTAGAACTAGTTGTTTACAATGGCACGATTTATACGAGAGACGGATCATCCGTCTGGACAAACTTGGGTAAGCGAAAGATAGTGCGTCTTCATTCTAGTTCGTCTTATGTGTAAACACGGGCAAACAGACGTCTCATCCTTTTTCTTTTCACATATTCGTCTACATAGTTCGTCTAGATAAGTTTGTCGTGTGTTTATACGCAGACGGACCACTTTAATTTCTTTGAATATGGTTAACACGGACCAAATCGGGCCAATGACAGTGTCTTTTAGATCTAATTCCATATATATAACTACAGCATTTTCCTTCAGGTAACGAACGAATGACGAATCTCAGTCTCCGTTTTAGCCTTCCATCAACCTCGCAAGCCATGCAGGCTTTTCTAACTACGCTTCGCGGCTGAAGAACCGCCAGGACATTCGAGGCAAAAAAAATTCCAAACAAATAATTTGCTTTGGTTAATATTAGAATATGAACAATTTCTGATCGAGAAATGTAAACAAGCAAGAAATATCATGACTTTAGATCCTCGTTCCATTTTATCTACTAGTGCGTTGAAACAGGCTGTTATGCGCTCGATATTCAGTCTCTATGAACACGCTGTTTTAACCGGATGTGATTTGTGCGCTACTTGTGTTCCACCCATCCCACATGGGAGAAGTTTACAAAACAATCACGTGCCAGCCTGAAGCAGGGTTTTCGCCGCAGCGTAGGCCCTGGAGTCTAGGTAGAAATGCCTGGCTTGCGAGGTTGAGTGTTCATTAATAATCTTAACGTAAGTTTCGTTCATTTATGAGGCTATAATACTCCTTCTGCATGTGCATGTGCATACTATTTAAACATTTTTTTACAGTTTTTGTATTATACGAAACCAATGAGCTGTACCTTGACATGTCTTCTGATCACTGCCCAGTTGATATCCTTTCTTACAAGAACATTTGTAACTGCCTCGAGTATTATGACAAAATCCATTTGCGCTACAGCTGTGTGTGTTTCTCTCGCACTCATCAACATCTATAACGGATAGGAAAACCTTCAATTCAGTCACAGCTTTATTTGCGTGTAACAAAACCCATAATTAAAAAGATCTTGCAATTTTCTTACCGTTGCATGTTCTTAAATCATCATTCAATCGATAACCAGCAGTACATGTACATCTGAAACTTCCAACAGTGTTGATACAACGAGCTCTATGATTGCATTTGTTAGTTTCCCTTCGAACACACTCATTGAGATCTAAGAGATTTAGAATACCGGTATGACGTATAAATTTTCAATTTCGTGAAAAACAAATACTACAGTGTTGGATAGTATCACTTACTAAAGATTTTCATTAGACATCAGTCAATCTAAATCAGTCCAAATCCTTTATTTTTTCCATTTTGAAATGACTATAATTTTGGTCATGGTACTCTTACTATTTCATACTTGTATTCATTGTATAGGATTAATATAATACACTCGTATACATATAGGGTGAATGCATTTACCGCTTTGGCATTGAGAACCTCTCCAGCCTTGGTGACAGGTGCAAATCCATGGCTGTTTGCAATTTCCTCTTTTATTGCAACCAAAACATGCAGCTAATAAAAGAAATATTTACGAATTTCAGAAGACTAGTTTCCTATATGTAGGCTTATAGAAATAGAAAAGATTATTCAGATGAAAATATACTCAAAACTAGACAAATGAATACATAATTATTGAAATATCAATGTTTTTTTATATTATATATTATTTGAATATAGTTTTATACTCATATAAGTATGTACTGCATGGCCGTTTTGCGAAAATGACAAAAAAATTTGCTACTTCAGACGAAGGCCCTCAGGTCGAAACGTCGAGTAGTATTTTTGTCTATTTTAGGCAGTTGTTATAGCACATTAATGCTAGTTATTTGAAGACACTGCCACGCTGCTCCCTGGTTATAAAAAATTGTACATTATATGCGATGTTGCATTATCATTATCAATTTAAGACACACAGATTGGAAAGAACTAGACTCAGTTCCGAAATATCAACCACTCGAACCGTCTCTTGACCTTGTAGCTCAGTTGGAAGAGCATTGGACTAGCAAACCAAAGGTCGCGGGTTCGATTCCCACCGTGGTCAAGCTAATTTTTCAGCTTGCCCGGTTGGTGACTCAGAGTAGCAACATCCCATATACATTTAATATACTCACCTGAGTCTTTGCATTATCATTATCAAATTGTACATTATTGCTAGGGCGTGAGAAACACTTCGAAACAATTCGAACAATAAACTATTCATGTTTTCTTGCTAGAAAGCAGGGAAAACAAGCCGCTTCGATTCACAGTAAAAATAAACCCTTAGTAAATTCCATCCCAAATGGTTTCACTAGATACATCCAGGCCTAATATGAATGGGATAGCCGTGCGTTTACCAGTTCTAGATGCATTGAGATTGGGATAATCTTTGGCAACGATCCGGAAAATCCCTGAGCGAAGGGGAAAATAGACTATTCACCGAATCTGGCCCAATAACGGTTCGTATGTTCTTGTGTAACAATTGACCGGAGATACGCAAAACGTTTTCTCATTTCTTCGTGTACCTACCAATTGAGCAATCAGAACCCCTTTGTCTCCAGCCAGGGGCGCAATAATATACTGGCCTTTGCTTGCTTACGATTTTGTATACAGTTACATAGCGAGTACTGGCACGATTCCTAAAAATAGCAATATGATTTTCGTAAGCGTTTTAATTATGTTCTCCCATAGCCCGAGCACAGAATACCTATCAGAAGGACAACTCCATTGGTTTTTGGGTAAGTGGATTCGTCACTCAGCAAGTACTGTAAATGGAGGCAATTACCCCCCCCCCTGCCAACAGCCCCATTTTCACTCTGGGTAGGGGGGTGATTGCTTCTATTAACGGCACTTGATGAGTGATGAATCTGGGAAGAAACCACCGCCTGCCAACTGCCCCATGCATTTTTAATATTTGCGGGGGATAATTGCTTCCATTTACACCATTTGCCCTTCATTAAACAAAAAAAGAATGGCATTAACATAATTTAAAATATTCAGAAATACAAATCGGATTCTCAATAGCGCATTTTGTGCAAGTCAATAAGCGTAAAAACATATTCAATAGTAACAATTCGCTTGGTCATGCATTAAAAGTGAAAACCATTAATCAAAGATGGAAATTCAATAAGAATACAAAGCACATTCAAAAACACAAAAGACGTTTTTCTTTGAACACAAGAAACGTTCAATTACAGAATAATGTAATTTTAACAACAACATGGGTTTATTGACAAGCAGGGGCGGTTGTATCAAGCCTGTTAGTCTACGAACGTCTATCGGCACACAATTTTACTGTAAATATTTCGAGTATACACACGCGATTAACATATTTTTAACCATTAATGTTCTCCCTGGCAAGGCATCGTGGAATATAGGTCTGCATATGCCGAAACCAAGCTGCACATTTGGGAATTGTAATTGATCCAATATTTCTTTCAACAGCTTGAACAAGCAATTGTTTTCTGTATTCACCAAGGGGAAGGTGGGCATTTCGTGCCGCATTTCTGTCGGCAAAGCGTTCTTGCATAACAGGGCGTGAAATGTCTGCTTTAATGCTGGCCTTCAGGCAACTTATCGCTTGCTCGACAATATTTAGGAATGGTGAGTATGGTGGCAATTTGCGTAGATGTACGTTGTCTCTTGGCTGCTCGGGTCGGCGATGTGCTGGTGCTCCATCAAAAATGAGATATTGAGTTTCATTTTCATCAAGGTGGGCAGCAGTACCTTCAAGAAACTCAGTGAAGGAATCTCTGGTCATTCCACCAACCTGAATGGTGTGATGCACCAAACCAAACACTTGAGATACCGCGAGGCAAATGGTAAGATTGCGTCCCTTCTGCCCGCATACTTGGCGATAAGCACGCTCTCCAACTCGAGCCCGTCCTTGACTTCTGGCTGTCCATATATTGAAGCCACATTCGTCGATGAATACAGGATGATGAATATTCGCCTCCTCTAAGAACCAGTTAGCATATTCGTGGCGTCCCTCGATAACATCTGGTCTGTTACGATCAGCTGGAAGTATTCGCGATAGCTTTAACGAGTATAGCATTCCATCCAAATGTTTACCAATAGTTCTTTCATGAACTTGTGGCTTCTCAGGCATTCGACGTCGTAATTCTGCATTTATGGCCCGTAGTGACAAAGTGCAATCTTCATCTACTATTCTTCGCACACATCTTGTCATGTCTGCATCAAATCGAACATTGAGGCGTCCTCCACGTGGTTGTTCTTCAATTCGTCCTTCTCGCAGATATCGAGCAACTATACTCCTGGCAGTTGAACGATTTATTGCTAAAGTTTCAGCCAAAGCCAGGTAGGCCTGATCCTGTTCTTCGAATGCTCTAACCAACCGTTCTTTGTCTTGTTGTGATATTCTTCGACGTTGTGCCATTCTGACAGTACTTCGACGTGTAACAAACTCGCAAAAATGCCCAAGATGATGTCGAACGAAACGATTTTTATCGAAGATTCCCAATGGATCATTTTCCGCTTGCGCAACGCTTTTTTACGAGTATATATTTGTGTTCATAACAACCTTAATGAAATTACTTTATTCTCTAATTGAAGGTTTATTGTGTTCAAACGAATTTTCGTATTTTGCGTTTTTGAAAGTACTTTGTATTCTTATTGAATTTCCATCTTTGACTAATGGTTTTCAGCTTTAACACATGACCGAACAAATTGTTAATATCGAATATCTTTTTACGCTTATTGACTTGCACAAAATGCGCTATTGAGATTCCGATTTGTATTTCTGAATATTCTAAATTATGTTAATGCAATTCTTTTTTTGTTTAATGAAGGGCAAATGGTGTACGATACTTGTTGAGTCACGAATCCGGTATAGTGTAAACAGGGCCTAATGATATACTGAGACCTAAAACGTCATCTTTAGACAAGTAAAATCTGTACATGTTCTACTTTTATGTTTACGGTATAATTTAAAAAAACAATCGCTCTTTTCATGGTCTTTCGCGGCTTATTTACTTGTCACCTTCTTTAATAATAGATTGGTCGAATAGAACTATTGACTTTAATGTTGTAACTTAGCATCAAATGTGGTATAACAACTGCCTAAATAGGCAAAACACTTCTCGACGTTTCGACCTGAGGGCCTTCGTCAGGAGAGTTAGTATGGAGAGTTAGTCAGGAGAGTTAGTATCATTCTAACTCTCCTGACGAAGGCCCTCAGGTCGAAACGTGGAGAAGTGTTTTGTCTATTTAGGCAGTTGTTATACCACATTTGATGCTAAGTTGTTTGAAGACGCTGCCACGCTGCTCCTTGGTTATATTGGAATTTAATGTTGTAAGTACACTTACGTGCACACTTTTCGTTTAGCCCAGCAACCAATGAAACGGAAATTACATGTCATAGAACAGGTCTTCTGGTAGTATCGTACCGATGTTGATCTTCCCTCTGTCTCAAAATATTGCACATATCTCACGTTAACATTTTCCCTACAAAACAGTGACCCTTTTCAATTGTTATGGCCAGAAGCTTGTTGATGATACCATATAATTACTTACTTGGCAGTCATGCAATGGCGTAGAGAGGAAAATATTCCTGTATTGTGGAGAGGAAAATATTCCTGTATTCGTCTTATTCCTGACTGGTTTCTTTTGAAAGCGATTGTTTTCGCGCTTATTTGAAAATGACTATATTATGACATCCTCCCCCCCAATAGAGCTTCTAGGAACGGCTCTGTTGGCTTTGTGATCACATCTGCATAGGATACATTTTTTTGCACCGGAACTGGCCGAATGCACATACAAAACCCATTTGAATTTAATGATTTCCACATTTAGGCCAGGAGGGAGAAATCTAACTGGATTTGAACGGCTTTGGTTAAAATATTTGCATCATCATGGTAACAATACGTGACCGAACATGTTTGTGAAGGGCAACCTTGTAATGACGTTGCCCTAAATCGCCTTAGATCGGCCTATATAAGTTGTCTTAAATTGCGGTAAATTCCCTAGAGGAACAGTAAGTTATTTAAAGTGAGCAAAAATTGTTTTGCATTATATTTTCTGGGGGTAAAAAAGATCTGTTCCAGCTTAACCTTTCACAACATATAGTATTGACTGTGATCAGCTTTCTACCTTTCTATCAAAAATTTGCCAAACTATGTTTAATAATAGACGTTTGTCAGTAACGATGTTAGTTCTCGGTAACAGGAAAAATACTTACAAGAAAAACATTTGCAAGCTGCTTACAAGAACATGCCTGTGCATTTTTTAATGAATGTTTAAATCAATTTTGAATTTTCTATTTTCAATGTCAGAGTCCAAATTAGAATATTCAAGATCCAGTTTTTTCTACAACACAACCGCAGACTAGGAATTGTACATGCACGTAAATATTCTCGTATCTTGTTACAGGTGCGCAAACAAGGTAGGGACCACACGTTGCTGTTGCACTGCTTGTCCCAACCTGTCGAAAAGTACGCGAAACAAACATGGTACAAATTAACATGATTCACGTAAATGTTGTAAGACGCATGTCAGAATTTTGAATACTTCTCGAACTGCGCGATTTCTTCTATGCAAAACAACAACTCAAGTGGCTTGATCCCTTTCAGGGTGATAACAAACATAATAAGTATGTGTATGTGCACAATGAAAGATTTTTGGAAACAATTAATCAACAGAGGGACGCTTTAATAAAACCTTAATGTCAATGTCAGTATCTCAGTAATCCTAAAAAAGATCAGATGAGCCGACCCTTCTGCCATTTCGCTCAGGTCAATATGTTATAAAGTATCAAAGCAATCACAAATCACAACTAGTTGCAAAAATGAATCTTTAAGGCTCTGTACACGCAAGTAAAAGTCTAAATCCTTATTGTATTATCTTTGAAAAAACTAAGAACTTAATCGGATCTCCGCATATTTTAGTATGTATTTTTTGAGATGCACATTAATATAAATTTTGTCATTTAGAAGCATTCAGAGTTCTCCGTGTGTGTACGTACGTGCGTAAAAAAACGCGTCAGTGGAAATTAAGGCCCGTTTTTTGCTGCGATTTTATGTGCGATAGATGTGAACGAGTAAATCAGTTACTGATGTTCAAATAAGAGCTTTCATACATTAAAGGATTCGTAACTAGTCACTCTTTCACATCTACCGAAAGAAGAAAATCGCACCTAAAATTGCAAGTGTAAAGGCGCCTTTAAAAGCACCAGTTTTTATGCACCAAAATCGAGCGGGAACGAAAAAATCAGTCAAGGCGTAAAAGTGCTTGACCACCACTTTTGAAGGCAACTATATTTTTCTCTACGCTTTACAGCAGATGGATTGTTTATTGTCAGGTCGCGCTGGAAACAACTAATACACCGGATATTACAGATTAATAGAACAATCTTCTATGAACTTTCGTTTAACACACACATGTGTGCATGAAAATCAAACATTCCTTACCCATAACGATCCAACATGGTCGAGCTAGTGCAATCAATAACGCTAATCACCAGCACCGCCACAGCCAACAACGAAAGATCGATACCAGGCATGATTAAGAAAATACAACAAAGACAACTTGTTGATTGCCTTTTAGAATACAGCAAGTCGTATTTCTTGAAAAATACCTTTTCCAGTCTTAGTTCAAAGGTTTAGATGAAAGCAATGACAGCTCTTTGGAGGAAAATGAAAATATATGCCTCTCACAGGTCTGAAGCGGAACTGTTACTAAATACAGAGCTTATTGTACCTAAACCGGATATTGAACGGTTTCCAAATAAATTTCTGCCTAACAGCTGCAAGGATAGGAATAAACCTGGATTGCTCAACGAAAATCGACTCTGTTCTCGATCCTTGTCGCTGCTTTCATGTCGTCGAGAAGCCATGAAAATGACTCATTTGAAGGAGTCGTAAAAATGACAACGCTGTCATGGGACCAGAAATTATGCACACCTATTGTCTCGGAGTTAAGTTGTTTTGCACGTTGCCGAGCTAGCCAGATCGTGAATCGTAAACTCCTTATATACAACATGGTGCAAGGCATAAAAGGTGCATATTTAATTAGTTTTGTCCACACAATGAGTACGTGAGAAATGTATAAGAAAAACACGACTTACTTGTCCATCCGTCTTGGATCTTCCCTCGCCAAAATTGTATTATGTTATAGAACATAGTAAGATGTATTTTGAATGGGCAAACCGGCTCTAAATATTATATTAAAACCGTACGACAACATTGATATAGGTCATATTTATTGACAACAAGCTGCATGACAAGTTTAGGTCATTATTGGTCTGAACTCATGATTTACAACCCAATTTGTATTAAAAATTAAATACTCAACAGCTTGTCCTGTAATTTCATATGGTTCCAAATGCTTTTAAACGAACGGATTTTTCTCGCAGTAAGTCCAAAAACCTATTTCTGCTTTGTAGCGCTTATGCTATATTTTGGTGTTTATTAACATTCAATTTCTAAAGAATTGAATAATTACGATAACTAAATTTGCATTATTTGTCAAAATTGGATCGTCTGGCGGGAATGACATTTAACATTTCATTTCTTGTTATGCAATGTGATTTGATATGAGTGTGATATCCTGGCGAATAATCAAACTTAGCAGTCAACTTGTATTCGCAGGGTTCGTTATTTTACAAGAACCGCTACTATACAGCAACCGATGAATGTATCAAATTTCGGGCAATAAATCGATGTGTAAAATTAATTTGTGTAACGTATTACGTGATTCAGTCAAAAGGGCAGGTAAAAATTTGTCGGTATCTCCATTTTACTGAGGACCAGGAAGGAATCAAACATCAATACTGATAAACCTATATTTGATGTAACGATGTATCTAAGTTCTGTATACAAGATACTATAAATTTTAATTATTGGTTAGTGGCGTGAAAATCTCCTATGGTTGCAAGATGCTGCTGTTTTTTAATTATTTTATGTCATCAAATCCAGGGCTTTTATTCATAATCATACTTTTAGGCTACTCTTTTGTTCAATTACTGTGGTTAATTCAGGAAATATACTGCATGTGTTTTTATTACCAAAGTGACAATGAAAAAAAGATTTGTATCAGTTTTAGTCTTGTCCGATAGATTTGGCTGAAGCCTCAATGTTCACCAAGTACTCGTGAATTGATTCGTAATTTCTATTTTCTAGTGGATCTGTATCGTGTTCGATGAATTCCCCTGGTATCACTTCTTTTCATATTGTTTTGAAATTCAATACTGTTTTGGGATATCAATAGTGGGCAATAGTTCACGTACGCCAATGGTTAGGTTTTTGCAAATATCAGTAAACAATTGTAATGTCTCGATTACATCTTAAACATCTTTTGAACTAGATCATCGCGATTTTTTACGATTTTTATTTTTTTTGGACCTTTTATTTTCATCCTCTTAGATACTTTCTGCTAGTTGTTTATATTTATTGTACCTAATGAAAGTAATTCTTGTGTTTTAGAAAAAGATGCCTCGAGAATCTAAAGTGTGCTATCAGAACAACCCGTTATTGAAATGCAAAGTTATTGATTTTATTAAGAAAAAGTTTAAAATTCTACAAAATGTAATTACGCTGATAACTAGGCTAATTTCTGTACCCACATTTCACACTAAATATTTAATAATCACGGTAAATGCATGCTTATCCAACCTGCTGAAATTCGAGCATTAAACTTAATGGAAGTGAACCTAGTCTAAGCTACACTGAACTAGTTCAAATTAATATCAAAAAATTAAAAAATTACTGTAATTCCCAAAAATTTTTACGATATTCCAATTTGAATCTGGCAAATAAAAGATGCAGCTTTGTTTATCCGATGCTGGAATGAGCTTCTTGATATCCCTCTAAAGATGGAAAAAGAGTTTGTCTGACGAGTCTGACGAGAGTAAACGAAATTTTTCATACACTAAATTTTAACAATGTAATTAGAGAATAATTACAAATAGAAATGTTCAACTGTGGGTTCACGTCTTTTTGCTTTTGGCGAAAAAAAAGTGCTAGTCAGTTTCCATACAAACCAATATAGCAATATATTTCATTTAATCAATGTGGGAAAGTTGAAAGCTATTATTATTTGTCATATCGTTTTTATGAAGAGAACATTATATTGCAAGTAGTTTGGTAGCTGTATCATTGTAAAGTTTTACCCATTATTAAGAAATTGACTGTTTTACCGAAAGCACGGAATAAAAAACTTTACAAAACGTTCGAAGAGTTGTTTTTGTCAATTATTTTAAAATACTGAAACTGAAACAAAAAAGTGGGAAAATTGCCTAAACTAGTTAGCTAAAAAAAACTACGTAGCTACGTTGGTTTTTTTGACGGTCTTAATTGGTTATTCTCACACGACTCGCAATCACTTTACAGATATTTTGTTGATTTATTTAGTGCCGTACGTGGCAGACCGCTTCATAGTTTGGAGCGCCGTGCAAGGGTACTAATACCACTGAGAGATTTATTACACCATTGCGTACATGCTTTACCTTGAAAAGGGTTTTTAAAGTTGAAATTTGAATTTCCATGAAACAAATGTTAATTCAAAGCTTTTAAAGTCGACTGCAAATATTCGCAGCATATTCAAAGAATAAATTTGACGTTTATAGGCCCGGAAGATTTTGTACTGTTTTGACGTTTTGAAGGTTGCCATTACTAGGCTGTAAGAGTCCATAAGTTGTAACTGCGGCATAGACTTGTAAATTTCCAGCTTCAAAAAGGTTAGAAACGAGTGATGTTACCATTAGTTTTATGGCTATAGTTTGACTGTACTTTTGATTCCGAATAATAGTAAATCTGTTATCCACTCATTTGAGTCATGTCATAATATAAGCTTTGATTTCGCTTGCTCAGGAAATTGATTGTTTTGATTAAAATGGCGAGGGGCTACTGCATGCATTACTAGTTCGTGTATTTATTTTTACATATCGTTGGAACAATCGCTCTCAAGGAAAATCAGTTGCGTGTAAGGCGAATAATAAAGTTAGAACGCCTCGGGGTGTTACAAATCCTAGAATACACCAATGGTGAACACATGAGCTGTTTTTCCAGAGCGGCAAATTTAGAAACTTATAAAATATCGATTTGGAATTCATAAGATGTTTCAACAGAGACAAATATATAGCAAAAAAATAATGGCTTACCTTGGATTTTCAGAACATTCAATGCAAGGAACTTAAGGGCTGTTGGTTTGAGACGAAGACCTGATTGGCCATTGATTGCAAGGGCTCGATCTGTACCAGCCTTGACTGCAGTCACAGTCAACGAACTCTTCGTATTCCAGATTTTAACCCTGAGCGCAGTTTCCGCTCCCTTCAAATAAATGTATTCCAACTGACCTGACGCGTTTATCGTGACATTCACAGCACTTTGGTAATTATTCACCAGTAGAAAAGCAATGAAATATTTACCATCCTCTAAAAAGAGAAATTATGTTGAATAAATCGGTGTTGTTGAGAATAAACGTTTAGGTGTTAAATTTGAAACTATAGTTTTCCCTTATCACTACAGGGTGTATCAAAAAGAAGGAGACCTTTAGAAATCAAGCTATTGTTAAAATTTGAATGCTTTTTCAATTGACCGTAACGAAAAAGATGGCGGCATGTACATTTTACCAGAATGCATTGCGGAAATTAAGAATGATTGACAGAAAAAAGATGGCAAGAAAAACACCTACTGACGTGATTTTAACACAGCGAAGAAAATAACTTCCTGTTTTCTGCCTGTCCTTTAAAAGACGTCAGTTCACTTTTTAAGCGATTTTCGACGGCAATGCATTCTGGTAAAATGTACATCGGCCATCTTTTTTGTTATGGTCAATTGCATTTGCACATTATATTGAACCGTAGTGCGTGAAATATTGATGCATACATTAGAAAAAGGAGACCTTTAGAAAATGAATTGACGTTTGACACAAGATTGTCTGCTCCTGGGAATTTGAAAATAACTTTAATAGCATAAGGAAAAATAACGACCCAAAAATATTCAAATGACTAAGCACACTACCAGTACAAAAATGGTTCAACTGACTTCGGAGCAAAGAGTTTTTGTAGTCTTATAACTTACACCCAGACTCGCAGTATAGCTGAGGTGCAAATCGCTTTTCGAGAAAGGTTTCGTGATCGCAATCCACCAGTAAAAAGTACAATTTTTAAAATCGTGCGAAAATACTCGAATGAAGCAACGAGTGTAATCATTGAACAGTCTAATGCATTACAAGGGCAGCCTGCCGTCATCAGAAAAGCAGTTCGCGATATGCACAAGCGTACGATAGTTTGTGTTGAGAGAAATGGAGGCCACGTTGAAGGACATGGTCCATGACATTCAGTTCTCTTGATGTTCAATTTATCAGTAATTTTCAATCCGGATCGAAATGCCAAGTGAATCTGTGTCAGATCAAGTTGTAATTCATTCCTGACTCATGTAAACATTTTAATAGCCAGGGTTTGTAAAATGAATGCTGAGCCATTCCGGATTCAAAGTCAATTCTAACTCATGTGAACAGCCCTAATACTCGCACGCAGTGTTAAAAATTAATGCCAAATATTTGTTCATGTTTCAAGGAACAGTTAAAACAATCTACCATGCATACTGTTATCGCTTTTGTGCTTAGTCATTTGTGCTTAGTCATTTGAATATTTTTGGGTCGTTATTTTTCTTTATGCTATTAAAGTTAGTTTCAAATTCCCAGGAGCAGACAATCTTGTGTACAAACGTCAATTTATTTTCTAAAGGTCTCCTTTTTCTAATGTATGCATGCACGCATATGTGAAAATGCGAATAAAAAGGCATTCAAATTTTAACAATAGCTTGATTTCTAAAGGTCTCCTTTTTTTTGATACACCCTCTAGTCCAGGGCTAGACCGCTTAATTGAGAGGGTGTTCATTTATCCATGTTTACAAACCGTAATAACAATCGTTTTCGAAAGTATAAACATGCAGGGTGTATCAAAAAAAACGCAACACTTAATATTTATGAATGAATATCCTCTTTGTTCTACAACACAAAAGACGTTTGGCCCCTGGAATGCGAGAAAGCTTGTAATCATATTCTAGCGGCACAATCGTCGGTAAACAAAGTCGGGTGCGTAAACCAACGAGCTGAATTGAAAGTATTTAACGAGTAAAATTTTATTTACAATTTATTTTACAAGGTCGACAATAAAAACTCGTTGTTCGGTTGTTAGCTGCACCATTATTAGTTTAGCTGATTTGACTATTAGCAGTTGAACTGAACGATTAGAAGCCATTTTAAAATCCCAGGGGCATAAAATCTATTGAGCTTATGAACAATATGAATTTTAGAATATTAAGTGGTTGCGTTTTTTTTGAGACACCCTGTACATCGAACACCCCTAACACAATTGACAGATTAAGCCTCGCATGCAAATTACTCAGTTTAGACGTCGAACATCCTATAATGCGATGCCTATAATGAGCTATAAATCTTTGTTTACGATAATTTTCGTCCGATTAGGCACATGCAAAGTTCGACGTCTGAGACGGACCGTTTCCTGTATTCTAAAAGCTTTTCACGTTATATATTTGCATTGTCTCGGAAAGAACGCTCGTTAATCAGTAATAATAAAATGTATCATGTATGTGACAGTCAATGAGTTTGAGTGTGTTCCTTTAATACAGGCTTTCCGTCAAATATTGTTTTGAGTCAACATTATTAGCAACGGCTATAATATACATTTTATTATACAATTCAAAATTAAAGTGGCGTAGTCAGGGCACTGAGGGATTTAATTAGCATAAGGCATGCGAATATATTATATATGAATGAAGTCAACCTGAAGGCTAAAAATGCTAATCAATGTGGCGATTGATCCATGATGTAATCGAACGTTCGATTGAATCACTAAATAATACTACCACGAATTCAACTACATCAACAATAATTTTAAAAACATAATCACTGTGAATACGACCAAATATTTCGCTAACCTTTACATTGCTTTTCGTCAATGGCGCCTTTATCGGCGGTGGTGGATCCATCAGCACACTTGTCGCAAAATGTTGCACCGGGCCTTGACTGATAGAAACCGCGAGGGCAAACAACGCATGTCGCCTTGCCATTCACCAGCACACCTTTGAATCCTGGAGGACATTGAGCTGGAAAATATGAAATTAATAAATTGAAATTTAAAATTTCTGTCTTTCCAATTTTAAGTTATTTAGGGCAAAAAATTTGAAAACTTGCCACATATATATATTCCTTCAAGCAAGAACTGGCTCTTTGGACAAATGAAAGACGTCTCTTTTATTCTTAAAGAGTTCTTCAGCGTGGAATGGTTGGAGTTTCCCAATGAAAAGTTAATGTTATTTGCAATGTCGTTATTGGAAAGCATATCTTTGAGACTGGAAGTTGCGTTGGTTATCTCCTCCATCTCATGTGACGAGGAACTTTCTTTTAAGTCTTTCGTTGACGTAACATTCTCACCAATGACTTCGAATGTCCAGTCACAGACTTCGGTACGTTCTAATTCATCGTTATTCCGAGGCATGACTCTACATTCAGTCAGATGCAAATCTCTGACTAGTTCATCATCTGACAGAAGCTTGTTAGCAGTAATAACCAAATGAGAAGCCAATGTGTTTGTTAACGTATCACGAGAATACACGGTTTGCTCAAAATTGCTGGGATACTTTGATACAACGGTTAATGATAGTTTTGCAACTGGTACCGCAAGACTGTATTTTAAAACCTGGACAAAACTCAACTTTGAAATGGTGTGACCAAACGAGTTGGAGACGTTACAGAAATACCATCCTTCGTGGTGGAGTTTTACTGGGACGAAGCTGAGATAAGAAAATCTCTCATTTGGAATTAACGCAAAGGAACTTGAATTTGGAGACTTGAACCACCACTGGAAAGATGTATTGCGGGCATCTTTTTTAACTTTGCAATGCAGTGAGGAATATGCGGATAAAATAACATTGAGACGACGAACTGGGTGGACAACAATCAGCGGAGGAGTGGCAATAACCACAACTGCAACGATTGAAGATGCCTTTGCGATGTGATTTGATGCATCACAAGAATAGTTACCAGAATGTGATGGACTCGTGTTATTGATTCGTAAGATATTTGTACGTTGATTAGTTAAAACCTCGCCATTGAAACGCCATTGGTAAACAAGGTAATCTCCTGTAGCTTCACAAGTTAAAACAAGTGTCTCGTTCACACCCAACTCGGTGAACGCTTCGGGGTGTTTCGTGATATTTGGGGCATGCGCACAAATGTCCTCAACGCCATTCATATCTTTAACGTCTCTTAAAAGATCCCTTGAAAGGTGTACTGCGTCATTCACCGACATATCTGATTTGCTGGTTAGATTAAAGAATCTTCTCTCAAGATTTAGTATTTTATCCCCATTCAGTGCACTTGATCCAATACTCATCTCCAATAAACTGTCAAACGTGTACTTCAGGCAATCTTCAAAACCGCTGCATTCTTCAGAGTATTCCGTGAACATGCTTTTCATGGTTGCTAACCAATTTCTATGGAATAATATTGAGCTCGAATGGACCGCCCCAAACTCGTTCTTCAGAGCCTCGTTTTGAACATTCCTCGCTTCTGAGACTTCAGGATCGGTTTCAAGCGCGGTTATGTAGGAATCATAGTTTATGTCAATATTATATTCCGATGTCATCTCTTCGTTTACAATGAAATTTGCAAAAATGGCGCTGTTGTTTGTAGACAAGGATAATCTTTTTTGCACTTCCTCATTGCGAAGCTTTTGGAGCTTTTTAGCCCTTTCAAAAAGTGACGTCGCGACTTCACTAAGAGTTTGTTTGTAGTTACTAAACTCTGAACATAATCGGTGGAAGCTTTGTAATGTGTAAAATTCAAAATTTAGATCATTCTTGTTTAAGGTAGAACGTTTTCTTCTGGTTAACTGGTCACTTTCTTTGACATACTCTTCTAAAATCTCTTTCGCAATATTTCGCAGCGACTTCTCCAAGTTATTGAAATCCAGTAAAGTTGACAATTCTTGTTGTTTCGTATTAAGCTGCAGCTTGATATTCAGAAGTAATACGTTAGTAACTTGTTGTGGCAATACTCTCGTTTCAAAACCAATATCTATTATATTAATACGGGTTCTACCATGTCCATTGGAAAGGTCTTTCAACAGCGACAACGTCTTAGATAATGCTCCAAATTTCCTTTTTCGATTCTCTTTCGTCATATTGTAGGCCTTTTCAAGGTTGCGTGAAGCACTCTCGTAAGCATCCAGAGAACGCTGGGCTGCCAGTTTTCTTATGGACATTTTCTCTCTCTTCATACTCCAGAACGAAACATTTTGCCTTGCACTGTCTAGGCTTCCAATAATCATCGCTGCGTCTGCTTCTACTTTTGCGATCTCCTTTAAAGCTTCTTTTCTTGCTTTCTTACAAAGCGCATTTTCAGCAAAACAACTGACGTTAGCAATGAACGATGCACATGAAACATTGGAGCAACATTCTTCTTCTCGTGATGTGTTAACCACTTTTTGCATACAGGTATCATCACAGCTGTACGGAATGTGAATAAAGTCATACACAAATTTAGCCTTCGTGCATTTATCGTTAGAAACAGTACAATGCCATCCACGTCTACTTCCCACCCCAAATACTGCTAGTATTGCCTCAAACCAATCTCTCTTCGGATGAACTCTTTTGCATCTTTCATTTTCACAAGTTGTTTCCACTTCGTATGGTGGCTGTCGCTCCTTTTGAGTCACATGACACGTTGATGAACAGGTTTTGTGTTTCTCAATAAATGTATACCTCCAACATGTTGTACAATATTTTCCTTCATGACAAATTTTAGGACAGTCTTTTACCTCGCAAAGTTTGTTTAATTTTTGATTCAACAATCCAATTTTATCAGAATAGCCACTGACGAATTCGAGAAGAAGATTCAAATTTTCTTTCGCTGACAATAATTGATAAGTTGCTTTTCTATACGCTCGGCATTTATTTCATTCATCTTCCTTCGCGAATTTTCCTGAAGGATCTGAACTTCTCTCAGACTGGATTTTTCGCCATTTTCTATCTCTTCAGAAAGATCAAGTCTTTTTCTTATTTTTGCTAAATATTCAGCCGTGTATTTTTCAATTTCTCTTTCCAAAAGTCGATCAAGGTTATCAGAGGCTTCTTTAATCTCGAAAACTCCAGTTGCTGTGTATCGCTGATCATTCCATGGCACCAAGCTAGACTTTAAAGTAGCAGATGCATCAAACAATCCATTTATTCTCCCCTTGACAAAAAATGCCAGGCCACTTTGCGATATGTCAACGTTTACCACACTTTCAAAACCAAGAACATTAGCAATGCCGGAGAAAGAGCCCCCGGAATCAGCAGCTGATTCACGTCCAATCTGTAAATTTATTTTTGAACTACGATTGACTTTAAAAATTCCAAGTTTTCTCTGTAAAGTTCCATAATGTTCCACATATTTTCCACTTAACTCTGCATTGATCCCCGGTCGAGTCTTATGGGACGAATTATTGCATGCAAGGCTTTCTAAACGCAACTTCACTTCAAGGTTTTCAAAGCGTAAGGCACCAAACTTAAGATTGCCATGGAAAGTCATTTTGACGCCATTGCTTGATTCACGATAGCGCGAGTTCTTACTTATCTTTTCATGGTGTAGTATTGCGCTAAGAAAACATGACATGTTACTAGGTTGATCAAGTTCAACAAATCTGTCAAGTTCTGTGTAAAGAAAAGGATTTTCCTCCATCGTGTTTTCCATTAAAAGTCCTTGAGTATTTTGCTTCATTTCAAGCAAGCAATCATCCTCAACTCTCCCTAAAAAGGATAATGGAACTGATAAATTCTTCTAATTTCAGCGCAAAAAATTACTGGGTTGTCATTGAAAAGAAAGAGGTGTCGTGCTTAGATTGAAAGGTTTTAAATCAGATTATCATGCATACATATCATGGTTATCATAGATGTCATAAAATCCACAAATCTAACAACCCAGAAGATTTTTTGTCCACCTGTGGATTGTCTTGCCTAGGAAAATTTATCTTGATCATGCACTTCAGTTCAGAATTAGGCATTCTGTATGGCACCATGCAAGAGCATCACTCCTGTCTGGAAGTTTGATGACTAGTGCAATTCCTTGTAAGTACTACGTGATGACTACGCGATGACGTACTTACGCAGGGGCACGTAATGACAAAACCAAAGAAGGAGATTAAATGACGCGTTCTGCCACTGTTTTTATGGAGCAGAAACGCTATGAAGACGTATTTGTACTCTTCAAATTTTTATCATACTATTTCCTTGTACATGCCTTTTTCCCCTCATCAACAACACTAATGCTGTTTGGAATATTTTGGCATAGCGGGATTAAAATTAATCGTCAGCCGACTTTTTTAAAAAAATTAAAATCCTCACACATTTGTTTTTTAAAACATTTCTATTTAAAATGCGTCCATTGAGTAACGGGACACCTCCAGGGTTAAGCCAGGTCGTTATACAGACACATCTGGGATAATATAGGATAACAATCGATTGAAAATAACTATCTCACCTCCAAATGTTGCGTAGCTTAATGTCTGTGCCATTTTAATGGACAACTTTGTCATTTTTCCTTCAATAATAAATTCCAGAGTGAGCATTATTTCACCATCAAGCTTAGCTTGCAATTTTTTATCTAACAGTGAATCCGTTATCTGCAAAATAATCGGATTATCGCTTTTAAAATGGCAGTTAATTATAGAATGTGTGGGATGGATATGCATAACTGGAAGAGATATATAAGAGCGGTACACGCCCAAATGGGAGTTTCTTGCTCAGTTCACAGATAGGTGTTTTATATATAATAAGATTTGGGTGACATTTTTATGCTTTTTCCATCTCTCTCGCTATCCTCAAAAGAAAAATTCCTAAACTCGAATGTTCAGCGCATTATGGCACCACAGTGCATTGAGAGCACGCGCGATAGCCAATCAAATTGCCTGCATGTTAGTTCTGATCTTTTTGGTTCCGTTTGTAACCTTTTAACCTGCGTGATTTGAGATAACAGAATTTTAGGCTAAACATAAAAATAGCGAAAACTCGTTCAGAAAAACACTTAAAAATCTCCAAAAGATATTTTTCATCGATCGGAATCGCCGTTCTCCTGTACGAAGTCATCTTTTTAATTTTCACTCGATCATTTTTACAAATTACTTTTCTGTCTATTTTTAGGGAGATAGGTGATAAAATATATCACTTTGAGAGCGTCCCTAGCAGAACGCGTGAAATAATTGTGGACAACTTCATTTGCACTTACAATACCCGGATGTTATAAATTATTTTCATTACCTAATGAAATATTATATTTGCTTACGTTTTCCAAGTTGTGAACGTTAAGGTTTAATGTTCCATCAAAATCCACGCGAGAGTTCACTGAGTTTGATATTTTAAAATCTTTGTTAAACTTTGTAACCATAATCAAACTTCTTTCGTTGTGAGAAATTTGTAAGGAAAATATCGATAATGACCAACCGTAGGCTCGCAGTTTTTTAAACATGGAAAGTTGCTTGATCACATCAACAAGATTTGTTGACGGTTTCAAGACGACATTGTATGGAGGAGTGCCACAGAGCTCCAGAGCAACAGAGAAACTGGCTTCACGATCAGGCAATCCCAATGAAACATGGTCTCCATCAACAATGAGGTTGAGATCAGGTGATATTAGCAAGGAATAAAATCCATCATCGGTCATTATCTGGTCCTTAATTTTCAATTTTTTAGGGAGACGTTTTCCAAATAAGAAATTCATTTTAATGTCACCTTCAACCAGGGGTCTTGATGTTAGATTTCCTCGTAGTTTTACATCCAGCCATTTCGGAAGATTGTCTCGCACAACGTTTAGAAAAGACTTGGTTAGAACTTGACGCTTCATCATCTCAGCCAAGGAATACTTTTTTGCTGGACTGGATCCACAATTATTATTCAAACTCGATGGATTTCTAGATATAAACTTGTCACCTGTTATTGAATAAGGTATTTCGAATTCCCCATTGCTGAAGCTCACTATGCCATTAGTACTCATTATACCAAACATTCGCCGCCAAGGTCTCGTTGAACGTGCTGTAATCCGTACTGGTGAACGAGGGCACTGTTGACGTTCGACGCTGTAGCATCCAGAAGGAAATGTCTTGTAATCTTCTTCCAAAATATCCAATACCGAGTTTTCAGTAGTTTCGACATTAAGCACATTTGTTTCTGGTTTCTCAAACGCAGCTGAACCAGAATTAGACAAAAAATACTCAACGAAATAAACCCCTGGTCTTTGGGCAGTTATTGCTACAGATTGCGAAGTCGTAGTTTTTTTTTCGAAATGTAACATGGATGGATTAAACTCAAGTCCAAGACTTTTGGTGAAAATGGTCACCTGCAGGTCATTGTCTGGTGGTGAAACTCGAAACTCTACAGAAGTGGCAGTACCATCTGCGAATATTGTGGGATAGTCAGGTATACTTATGAAGCCAATTTCGCACGTCTTTCCCTTGTACCCAGTCGTCGAGCAGTCACACGAGAACTCGCTGGAAGTTACATCAAAACATTGGCCACCATGGAGACAAGGATTAGATTCACATCCCTTTTCCACTACACGATGGTTAGAGCAAAAAACATTTAATTTATCAACATGTAAAATACTCGAATTTTTCTTAAAAATTAATCATATCAATTACAAATGACTAAACCCGGAATAAAGAAACAAAAACAAATTCTGAATCTCAATCTGGCGGACTCGCAGTGGGATGCCTTGTCTTGAAGAGTTATATTGACATTGTGGGTTTGTTGACTGTTGTTATATGTTTTTTTAAATAAGGAATCCTTATGTTTATTTCAACTAAACACTATAAACCTTGCCCCTATTTTGAAAAATATGCATGCTTAAATTATTGATCCGTAATAATCCGAGGTCGATATGGACGAAACGAAGACAAGAATCGATAATAACTTAAAATATAAAATTCTTACAAACGCGGGTTTTCTTTGACAAGAAAGCAAAGGATAGTTTGGAACGAAATTTCTTAGTAAGATAAATGTCTTGCGCGATTTCCCCAAATTTCAGAAAACTGTAAAACTGTATTAATTAGGCCTAAAAACGTCGAGCTCGCGCAACGTTCACTGATTCTTAGGAACATCAGCTTTCATAATTGATGCTTCAATTATATTCAATGAAAATTGTAAATGAACTTACAATTGCATGTTATTTTATGCGGCTCCCATCGACCATTTACTGTACATCTTAATTTTGACGTCTCGTTGATATGGAAACCATCATCACAGCCCGCTAAGCATTCTGAGTTAAACCTTGTGTCGCACGGAGAATAAACGAATCCATTACTTGGTTCAGGAGGTTCGGGACAATAGATGGCTGTAATGGATAATTACCCGGTACTATGAGAAATCAGTTCAAAATTTCTAGAAGTTCTTCATATCAAATTCTTGTAGTAGATTTGATCAAAATATTTACATTTACATAATGCAGTACATAATACAATATTTACATAATGCAGATCAGATGTAGTAATTTGCCATGGAATTAGATTATAGTTCATCAAATAAGTTCCATTGTAAACATGCTAAATTTTGAAACATTTAATTCATTAGGTCCTGATAACTTATGCTATGACGAAATATTGCATTAGTTTGAAAGTTATGGCAATGCAAACAAGATGTATCAAATGAAACCACGCAATTAAAGTAAAATCCAGGAAGGAAGTGCTGTATACTCACGTTCGCATTTTGCCTCTTTCCCAGTCCATCGTCGCGAGGGAGTGCATCTTCTTATGCGTGAACCAATTTGTTTATATCCGGTTGAACAAGAGAAGACACATGTACCTCCGGTTGTTTTCCTTGAGCAGGCCATATTACCGTTCACCGGTGGGTGAATGATTAAACATAGTTTACCTAAATCGAGGGAAAAAAAGTCATTATTCGAAACTAGATGCTGAGCAAGAAAGGCAAAATTAGCCAATAGCAATGCATTATTTTGTCACATGACTAAAGTAAAGATGGTGGCATCTAGCGAAATAATGAGCGAATGTATTTTGGAGGACAAAATTGCTGATTTATGGCCGAATTATCCATGTTTATTCGACATTTGATGACTGGATTTTAAATTGACCTTTTCTACAATGACCGACCTGTTTGGTTTAATTTTTTTGCCAATTCGTCGTGTGCATTCTATTGTTTGTCTGTTTTTTTAAAAATTCGGTGATCAAACGTCGAATAAACATGCCAATGGATAATTCGGCCATAAATCTGCAATTTTGTCCTCCAAAATACATTCGCTCATTACTTCGCTAGATGCCGCCATCTTTACTTTAGTCATGTGACAAAATAATGCATTGCTATTGGCTAATTTTGCCTATCTTGCTCAGCATCTAGCACATGTCAAGCGCACGCGGTGAGATTTTCACCTCGCGAGTCAAAAAATATCAAACATGTTTGATACGTGAGTCAAGGCTGCATGAGGCTAAATATTCAGTGAAATTCACGCGCACACGGAGAGCAAAGTGTTGAGCAAACAGACACGAATAACTTTTTGCTCAGGGGATAGCTCTCGTGTGCTGCAGGATTGATTTCACGAGTATTTTAAATCGTCCAAAAATTGTCCGAGTTGCGAAGAAACGGTGGTAATTTGACAAACTTTGAACATAAGAGTGAAACAATTCTAATTTTATTTACCTTTACAGGTTCTACCATCACTGGATAAACCGTATCCTTCATCGCAAAAACATTCGTATGATCCAGGTGTATTTCTGCAGTTATGATCGCAACCATGCTGCGTACTGGAGCATTCATCAATATCTTTGGTTAAATATAGTAATAGTAAAATATACATATTATGTTATGTTCAACGACTTTTGGCAGGATGTTAGGCAATTGTAAGGCTACTCGATGTTTCTCTGGGGAAACAACCGATCAGGCACGGCGCCACTGGGGGAGGGGGCTTGGGAGCTTTAAGCCTCTTTTTTACTCAAGATAACTTTTTTCTACCATTTTTTATACTTCCGGTGAAGCCAGACAGACGTGTCAACAATGTTTCCTTACTTCTCCACCCTCCCCACCTCTCAAAAAACAAGAGTGTGTGTCCCCCAATTTATCGATTTTAATGAAATACATATTATAATTATTATGTAGTAGTTTATTTGAACAAACTAATTACCAATACAATGTTTTTTATCCCAGGTAAGCTTATATCCTTGATTACAACTGCAACTGAAATCACCATCTTTGTTGGTGCAGATCTGAGAACATCCATCTTTCTTCTCAAAACATTCATCTATATCTATTTGAATCAATAACGTACTTATAAAACCCATCGTCATTGTGAAATACATAAAATATTACAGACGTCGTTGTTACAAGGTTCTTTCTTAAATTCTTGCATCTAATATGTGTCAATATCGTTTATTAGGGTTTTTTTTCGAGTCAACCAGAATAAACCTCAGCAATCATGATAACGTTGTTATCAGCAATCATGGACCACAATACAACATCCAGTTATTTAAACTCTCGTCATCGCAGTTCACTGCCTTATCTCTTTTTTTATTGCAATTATATTTCTTGTTAATACATGTACATTGGAAGAAATAAAGTCACTTTGCAGGCGGCCGGTCAGCGGCTGCGTTTCCTACTGACGGGTTTTCCTTCCACGACATGACCTACATGCCCCAAAGGACATTTGGATTACATTTCCTTCAAGTTATCACTACTTTTATGCCACATGAATAAATCGATTCTATCTCCTTACCATCACAATACTGATAGTTTGCTTTGTTTCTTCGGTATCCAGTATTACAGGAGCAATTGTATCCACCGAGGTAGTTGACACAGTTCTGTTGACAGTCGCTATTAACACATTCATCCACGTCTGAAATGAAGAAAACATTTTGGCATGATGTCCCATTGCGGTCCCATTGCTTGGAAACTCAGTTCATAATGAATTACGATGTTACAGAATAGACAATTGGGGGAAAATTGGCGGCGTCGAATGCAATTCAAACAATAGATAATGAGATGATAAACTTCGTTAAGCTTCATTACCATCTCATTGCCTATTGTTCGAATTGCAATCGACGCAACCAAAATGCAACGTATAACCTAGGCCTATTAATTCAGGGGCCGTTTACATGAGCCCGGTTACCCGAGATTCAACGAAGCGTGAGAGGACTTTGAGGTATTCAAATAAGTCTTTATGACACCAAACAAGCACATGCTATTGTTGTAGTGATTATACGACTGTTAAGGCCGGCGCACACTAGAGCTATGTGCTTAGCAAAAAGTCATTCGTGGCCATTGGCGTAAGCCAGTTGCTCTCGTGTGCGGGCGACTTTTCCGGCGACTTTTCCGGCGACTTTGCTCATTTGTGCCACTTATGGCAAATATCTAGCATGTTTGATAATTTCTGCCTCGCGTGCCGAAATCTTTCCGTGTCCGGCAAACTGAAAAGTATCTGCTTATGGATTGTCTTAACAGCGCATGCGTAATATACGAAAGTAAACATCCACGATGGCGTACAGATTGCAAAAACAAAATTATGGATGAAAGTAAAGACGAAGAGGTGTTGTTATTTTTGTTGCTGTTGCGTCGGACTAGACTAAACACCGTTATCCAAGTGCTATTAATTATATTACCTGTTTGAGAAAGCTTACTAGCTATTTCTGCAATAGCGCATTCCCGTTTCTCTCTGTTTCTAAAAGCTGTAGAATTCACATCGTATAAACACCTGTATTCTGGCCAAAATCAACCAGTTTGTCTTCCAATGTGGCCTCAGCCACCAATTCGTTTTGCTTTGTTCGCACCGCTATCTTGGATGTTTACTTTCGTATATTACGCATGCGCTGTTAAGACAAACCATAAGCAGATAGCTTTCAGTTTGCCGCACACGGAAAGATTTCGGCACGCGAGGCAGAAATTATCAAACATGCTAGATATTTGCCGTAAGTGGCACGAATGACCAAAGTCGCCTGAAAAGTCGCCCGCACACGAGAGCAACTGGCTTACGCCAATGGCAGATTTTTTTTCATGCTAATTATTTTCAACGATTTGGCGGGAGTTGACTGTTTTAATGTGAACTATTTTGTTTATGATATATCTTATCTACCTTTGCATGTTTTCCCATCAGCGTGAAGATCGTATCCCGCTTGACAACTGCATATAAAACTTCCAACAGTATTCTGACAACCAGCTTTGTAATCGCAGTTGTTTTGATACGTTTTGCATTCATCAACATCTAAATACGAAATATTTCTATGTGCAATTTAAATTCTTGACTACACCACAACTATCTATCAACTGTATAATTATCAGAACTAACTCCTAACTAATATCGTACTGTTTCCTAATTGATGCATTGGCGCAAATCTCTTTTTTAAAAGAAATAATTCAACAATTATGAGGTTCAACAATGTGTATTTAAATAGAGCAAACAATATTCGTTTGAAAAGCATAAAAGACGGGTATTTTTCGTGGTGTTACTCCCATCCTTTTTTCCATTTAAAAATTACAGACAAATTTGAAGTAAATATGGTTTAGTCGAGCTACCGTCCAACCACTTAAGCCGCTTTTCCACTAGCGATATTTTTCGCGCGAAGCGACTTTATTCCTTTGTATTTGAGCAATTTGTTCCAGATGGTTGCAGTTGAAAGCTCTGGAACAAAAGTAAAATGTCGCTTCGCACGAAAAATATCGCTCGTGGAAAACCGGCTTTAGACATACCTCGACATGCCTTCTGATCACTGCCCAGTTGATATCCATTCTTACAAGAACATCTGTAACTGCCTCGAGTATTATGACAAAATCCATTTGCGCTGCAGCTATGTGTGTTTTTCTCGCATTCATCAACGTCTATAACACATCAATATAGGGCCTATCTTGCTTTATGAAAGTATGGTTTGGTTTTTAGACGAAGGCTATTGCCAAGTAATTTTTCCTAATGAGAACTAGTCCGGATGTATCTTTGTCTCTGTGTATTTAAATCGGTCATTAAACATACAAATATGCAGACAACTACCATGCACAATAATATGAAAAAAGGTTTTTAATACTATTTTGTACGTTGTGACAATTACATAGGTCGTGGAGTCTTCTTACCATTGCATGTTCTTAAATCATAATGCAAGCGATAACCAGCAGTGCATGTACATCTGAAACTTCCATGAGTGTTGACACAACCCTCTTTATGTTTGCATTTGTTCGTTTCCCTTCGAGCACATTCATTGAGATCTAGAAGAAACAAGGAATCGAGACTTTTTGGTGTAATTTAGTATCCAAAGATTGTCATTTTTCCTCTTTCCCAAAATTATTTATTTGTCAGCGGCATTTAAATTATTTGAACTGGATTTAAATTGACAAGGTTTACCCTAAAATGTCTTATTCTCAAACCATATATACATTTTTGTCGTAATGTTTAAAAATTACATGAATTTGTTTAAGTTTCTTCAAACCCTGGTAACCACTTCCTTTAATATAATATATTCGTATTCATGTCGTGAATTAATACATTTACCGCTTTGGCATTGAGAACCTCTCCAGCCTTGGTGACATGTGCAAATCCATGGCTGTCTGCAATATCCTCTGTTATGGCAACCAATACATTCAGCTAAAAAAAAGGAAAATACATATGAGTGAAATAACATGTATAATAAATAGAGATTACTTCATCGTTGGCGAGTGCGTACGATTTTTATGCACGAGTTGTGAAGGATTGCAATACGAACGAGTGAGCGCAGCGAACGAGTGAGTTTGCGATCCTTCGCAACGAGTGCATAATAAAAATCGTACAAAAGAGCAGACCATGAAGTAATTTGTTTAATAAATGTGTATAGAGATCAATTTGACAACGACACGCTTTTAATATACAAAAACACAGCGAGCAACAAAATCGAAACTTTATGCATCAAAACATATTTATTACCGTTTAGTTTCTTTGTAATTTTGTTCAATAGAAGTTAGATATTCTTTCCGAAAGATTTGAGAATGTGCTCAATGTAAAAATATCTTGAATATGAGAATTATGTTTTGAATTAGACTCCTATATTTCGACACCATCTTGAAAGAAAATGTAAACAAATTGCCGCCAAAATGACATACGACAATTTTTCACGTGTGAAGAATATCGTACGTCCAATCAAAAGCCGTGTATGGCTTTTTTTCACACGTGAAAAACATCGTACGTCCAATCAAATTGCATGAAATTAATTTACACAGTGAAATACGACTTTTATTTCATCATTCTTCTGTGCATAAATCTCTATACACATATTATAATATATAATTTTTTTTTGTGTACTCACTCACCGATTGTGCAATGGGAACCACTTCGCTTCCAGCCGTTTTTGCAATAATACACTGGTCTCCATTTGGTCACTCTTCGGTATACTGTTTTATGACGAGAGCGAGCTTCATTTCTAAATAGCATAAAGGTTAATTTTTCAGGTATTGTGTGGTTTTTTAAGTTGCGTCTAAATTGTATGTCCCAGTACAGTAGAACTTGTTTTTATTTAGAATAGTTGATTTCTATCTCTAGTAGCTAACTTAGTAATTTAATTATTGATTTCAATCTTTAGTTTAGGGTACTAAAATATAACTGGATGCCTAGTGGTCCAAAGGAGTACGATTCTTTATTTAATTGTACTGCAGTACAATTAATGATTTTAACAAAATAAACAAAATGATGGAAAGCTTTTTGCATACTAACCACTGGGCTATATTAACTAAACAGCCCTGGAGGAACTAAAAGAGGGCGGAAAGGTAAACGAAAATACTCCTGAAAGTACAAAATAATTTATAAAAGTCTTGCAGCATTGTATTTTAACAAATAACTATCGTTTCAATTTCAGATAATTTTATTAGAAAGGCATTATGACAATTTTTTTTATAGCAAACATGTTTCGACTTAACTATAAAAAGTTAGTTTTGAGTTTGAGAGAAAAGCAGGTGTTAGCAGCTGTGTCTAGGATAGTAGGGAGCTTTAGCAGTGACTACGAGTACGACTACGAGTACGAGATTCGTCATTCTTGTGCGTTGTTTGCTTACGCCATCAGCCAAAACTCGTAGTCGTTGGGCTTTCGAGTACGAAATTTGCCAAAAAACTCGTACTCGAAAGCCCAACGACTACGAGTTTTGGCTGATGGCGTAAGCAAACAACGCACAAGAATGACGAATCTCGTACTCGTAGTCGTACTCGTAGTCACTGCTAAAGCTCCCTAGTAAAGCAAGAGCGGGTGCAGTTAGGGTTTAGTAGGTGTTTTTAGACGTGTGAGTTTTTGTCACTGGAGGTGTGTTCTTTGATCCTTGTGGCGAGATGACGGGTGATTTCACCAATGTGACAGGAATTGCATCCTGCGCAATTAAATTTAGCTATATACCCAGTAGCGTAGCTAGCCTGTCGATTTGTCTCGCTATGCTAATATTTTAGTGTTCACTGACTGTGAAAATAATAGATTTCTAAAGACATTATAAAGACAATTATAATAACCCGAAATAACCACGCCACTGTATATACCACAAGGAATTTTAGATCACTGGGGATTGCGTCCTCAAAACGAAAAAAGTTTTTGATTTTTTGAGAATTAAACACTAGCTTTATGTTTATATCACTGCAAAATCGTTTGGAAATGTTGAGGAGTTTCTATTTATTTTAGCTTTGAGTCATTTCGGTATAAATCGGGTCTCATTAAAACACTTATAGATCGTAGTACAAAATTAATAATACCGAAGATGGCCGAACAATGATCTTACAAGAAAACTTCCTAACACAATTCAATGCTGCTCGTCTCCGCAACATCTGGTTGAACACATCATCAGTTCCCACAATAACAGGCAAAACTCACAAACAACAAACACTCTCAACACCAATTTGCCTAATCAACCACAAACCAAGGTTCATTACTTCAAACTCCTTTATTACATAGGATCCTACTCTCAAATTACTGAATTTAATACTATTTTCCAGTTATAATTTTTGTCTGTTGTGCTGTTCTTCTTATTATGCATATCTTGTATCCTGTTATGTTTTCAATTATGTTTGTAAGCTATTCATCGAGTATCACCTCGCCTTTATCATATTTCTATCTTATATACTTCACAATGTAAATAATTAATTCATTCACTGAAGATGCCCTATAAGTTAAGTCGAAACATGTTTGCTATAAAAAATTCGTCAGTTATTTCACATGCTCAGGGGCGTAACTAGAACGATAATTGGGGGGGTGAATATTCATATATTCAGTTCTGCCCGACGGATTTCTATTGTAAGCTATTGCAATTACAAAAGAAATCCGCAGGGTAGAACTGGATATATGAATATTCACCCCCCCCCCCCCAATTATCGTTCTATGTAGTTACGCCACTGCACATGCTTAAATGCTCTAGTGCTGATCAGATCATATTACTAGTTAACCTAACAAGCTGTCACTATTTCCTTTGCTTTGTCAACTAAACCATGATCATGTGCTTCAATTGATGATTTTTTAACACTCCAACGGCTCTCGATCCCGATACTGGTATTTGAACTTTCCCGAGTTCGTATCGAAATATTTTCGTGCTAAACACACTGCAAATAGTAACCTAAGCCTGGTGACCTTTGTTGTGTTTCTCTTCCACACTCAGGATTCATAGTGATTGTAAAGTATATTTCAAAAACTCTATGAAGATCCCAGTCAGTTACAATGCCCACTGTTTATATATGCTGACCATGATTATACATGCTAAATATGTTAAATATGCTAAATATGCTAAATCATTACAACTTCCTTTTAAAAAAAACAAAAAAGAAACTCATTGATTTCTAACGTTCCACGGTTCTACACGGTTCTAATTTTTTTTTGTAATATTTCAAATTATCTAAATCAGACTAAGTGTTATTAAGGTTATTCAGTATAATATATGTATGAAGTTAAACGTTTATTCCATCAGGAAGTTATTAAATCTTGATGGTCTCTTTATTATTCTTCCTCTCGATGTTCTTCTAACTTCAGTCGACGAGGGGATAATCTCAGGATTTGTGCACACTTGAGATTGGATTTCATCAGGATTTACTTGTACGTCAACATTTTCCGAGTTTTCAAGGGAGGGTGTTCTTCGGCTAATTGTTGAGGGGATTTCATCGTTTAAACTGTCCTCTGCTACAGGATCAGGTTCTTCTGACTTCAGAAGTTTTCTTCTATTTCTCCTATATTCGCCACCATCATCAGTCCGTACACGATACGATCTCGGTGTTTCTTCTTCATGAATAACTACACCAGGTTTCCATAAACCTTTACTTCTTACTCTGATTCTGTCTCCTTCATGTAACTTTGTTAGAGACCTAGACTGACGATCATAATAGAATTTCTGTTTCTGCTGCTTGAGATCTAACTTTTTCTTTACTTCGACGGGATCTAAAGTTCGAGGTTTCAACTGCGATGATGTTTGTGGAATTCGCGAACGCAAACGCCTATTCATCAGTAACTGCGCTGGACTTCCCACCTCATCAACAGGAGTATTCCGATATTCCAATATACTTAAATATGGATCCCGTTTATCTTTTTTCGATTTAACCAAAAGATCTTTGACAGTTTGTACGGTCCTCTCTGCTAAACCATTGGCTTGTGGATTCAGAGGACTAACCGTCGTGTGTTTGAATTCCCAATTTTCTGAAATTGCTAGAAATTCTCTAGATGAATATTGTGGTCCATTATCACTCACGACCTCTGCTGGAATTCCATGTCGAGAAAATATGGACTTGGTGTATGTGATCACCGTTGAACTCTTTGTATCTGGTAGCTTAACAACTTCAAAATATCTGGAATAATAGTCAACTATTAGTAGATAGTCCGATTTGTCCCAAGTAAATAGATCTGTTGCCACCACTTCCCAAGGTATAGTTGGTACTTTGAAAGGTATCATGGGCTCTTTAGTATTTTCCTTCCTATGCTCCAGGCATATAGTACACTTCGATACCATTTCAGCTATTTGCTTGCTCATCAAAGGCCAATAAAGAGCCTCTCGAGCTCTCCGCTTCGATTTCTCGATACCCATATGACCATAATGTATTCTCTGTAACATTTCTTTTCTCATCACTAATGGTACAACTATGCGGTTTCCTTTCAATATAATCCCATTCATTACCGACAGTTCATCACGAATGTTCCAGTAGGGTAGTACTAACAACGGTACTCTCTCTCTCTGATCTGGCCATCCGTTCTGAACAACATCCGTTAGTACTCTCAATTCTTCATCATTTTTCGTTGCTTCTCTAATTTCTTCTAGTTTGCTTACTGAAGCTGGTAGGGTAGAACTTACGAGATTTACGTGAAGATTGATCTCTTTCTCCATTTCTTCATCAATTTCAGGTAATGGAGCTCTCGACAACATATCTGGAAGTGCCATTTCTTTAGCTGGTTTATATACAATGGTATAGTTGTACCTCTGTATTCTTAGTAGTAATCTCTGCAAACGAGGAGGGGCTGATGCTAACGATTTCTTAGCTATCATCTCCAGAGGCTTATGATCTGATTCAACTATGACATCTTTTCCATAGACATATTGATGGAATCGATCAAGACTAAATTGTACGGCCAGAAGTTCTTTCTCTATCTGGGCGTATCTCGATTCAGTTTCTGTTAACGATCTTGATGCATACGCCACCGGATAGCCTTCTTGCAACAACACTGCACCCAAACCGGTTGGTGACGCGTCACAGCTAATGATAACCGTCTTCGTTACATCAAAAAACTTTAGTACTGGACCTTCATCTGTAGTGAGAGTGTCCTTAATTTCTTGGAAGGCTTTCTGTTGCTCGAACGACCACTTGAATTCATTCTCTTTCTTCAACAACGATCTAATTGGTTTAGTGATGGCTGCTAAATTTGGTATAAACTTTCCTAAGTAGTTCACAGTTCCAAGAAGCCTTTCGACACCTTTCTTGTCTGTTGGTGGTTCCATTTCGTTGATAGCTTTAACTTTCGTCTCATCAGGTTTAACACCATTTTCTGTCAGTTTATGACCGATATACGTAATTTCTCTGGTCTTGAATTCACATTTCTCCTTGTTTAAGGTTAAGTTAATCTTCTCGCATCTTTCTAGGACTGTTTCGAGACGTTTGTCATGCTCTTCTTCCGTCGTCCCGTAAATAAGAATATCGTCAATGTCCGTTTCAACACCATCTAGATCGTCGAAATTCTGATTCATCCTTTTTTGAAAAACTTCTTGTGCCGAGGTTATACCAAATGGAACACAAGTATAGCAGTACCTGCCAAAAGGAGTGTTGAACGTAGTGAGCGGTCGACTTTCTTCATCCAGTGGTATTTGCCAGTATCCATGGTTTGCGTCTAATTTGGAGAACCACTTGGCATTAGCCATACGTGTAGTTATATCTTCAATTGTTGGCAACTGAAAATGTTCACGTTTGATTGCCTTGTTAAGATGTTTTGGATCTAGACAAATGCGAAGTTTCCCATTAGGCTTTTCCACCACCACCATAGAGCTAACCCAATCAGTTGGTTCTTCTATCTTCTGAATTACACCTTTCCTTTCCATCTCATCAAGTTCCTCCTTTACTCTACTGCGAAGAGCAGCTGGAATGGCTCTGGAAGGATTGATAACTGGTGTTGCTGTTGGATCAATTTTAATGTGGTATTCTTTCTCTAAACGACCCAACCCAGTGAAGATCTTTTGATGTTTCTTAACTACTTCTTCTTTAAGAAATGCTGATGGTTTCTTTGTTGTTTAGTCTACCCTTGTGTTTCCCACGATTTTTATCAAACCAAGTTCCTGAGCTGCTCTGAGCCCCAGAAGACTTGGTTGGTTTGTGTCCACAACATAAAATGTTAATTTCCTTGATAGATTTGACTTCGATTCTACATATAATTCTGTAGTTCCTACTACAGCAAGATTGTTTCCAGTGTAACTGATTAATTTTTGGTTTGATTCTTTAATGCTTGGTTGAGAATTAATCTTCTTCAATTGATTAAGATTGAGAATGTTTACCTGTGATCCTGTGTCTACCTTTAACCTCATTTTCTGCTTTCCGATTTTTGTACTGACATACCATTCATCATTTTGGACTTCTGATGTGATTGCTCCAACAAACAATGTTTCTTCAAGGAGAACGTCTTTTCCTCGCTCTACCGTCTCCACGTTTTTTCTAGACCTGCACATAGCTTTGAAATGATTCGATTTATGACAGCGATGACACGTTTTCCCATATGCTGGGCATTCTTTTCTCTTGTGTTTTGTCCCACAGTTACGGCAATTGAATACCTCTGACATAGATTTCTCTGGTTGATAGGGTCTCTTCAAATTTTGCTCTTGAGCTTTTTTCTCATTGAATCTACTTCTTTTACTATTACTCTTTACACCGTGTACTGTTGACCCTTCATTAATCGTTTTAATATGCAACTCCACTTGTTCTGCGGCTCGAACCAAATCAAGTGCTTTGTCGAGGGTTAAGTCTGGCTCTCGAAGAAGTCGCTCGCGAATTTTCTGATTCTTCACACCTAGAACTATTCTGTCCTTAATGAGAGTGTTTCTTAATGTCCCAAATTCGCATGTGTCACTCAGCTTCTTCAATATTGTGACATACTGTTCAATATTTTCGCTGGTTTCTTGTGCTCTGGTGAAAAATATATATCTTTCATATGTTACATTTTTTCTTGGCTCGCAATGCTCATCGAACTTTTCTAGAACTTTATCTATCTTCTTATCATCTCCCCGTGAATCCCAAACGAACGTGTCATAAACATCTAATGCTTCGTTTCCTATGACTGTTAGCAATGTCGCGACTCGAGTAGCTTCCTCCTTTTCGCTAACGCCAGTCGCTATTTCGTAATTTAAATACCTCTGTTTGAATTTTTTCCAGTTTGCTGATACATTTCCACGGCTTAGATCCAACGCTTGAGGCGGTGTAAGACCAAATTGTGTCGTCATTTCTTCTTTGTCACTCTCTGACTTTGGTCTCAAATCTCTCTGGGATTTCTGATTCTTTCTTCAAAATACTTTGATATTCCATTTAAATGATCTTCATACTTCAATCCCACACCTGACACCATGTTGTGTTTCTCTTCCACACTCAGGATTCATAGTTATTGTAAAGTATATTTCAAAAACTCTATGAAGATCCCAGTCAGTTACAATGCCCACTGTTTATATATGCTGACCATGATTATACATGCTAAATATGTTAAATATGCTAAATATGCTAAATCATTACAACCTTAAGGAAAAAACATTTTTCTGAAGTAGAAACCTCGTTCCCAGGGCCTTTTGGGGCTTTATATGGCGGGTTGGGTTGGGGCGGGGGCGAGAGGAAAGAAGAAGAAAGGTTCTGGGTACTTAGAATAAGCATAATTTATTATAATATTTTAGAAATGATGGCGTCACGTACAACGGATAATGTTGTCGCATTAAAGCATATCGAATTGTAATATTTCGGAATAATTACAAATTATTGAATTAAGAATCGTTAAAACATTTTGGGCTAGTCCTCTCCTGCGCGTTCAAACTGGTCACGTCACAAGAATGCAAGGCGCGCTAAAGAGGACTAGGGACTAGTCTGCCAAAGATCAAGACAAAAGACGCTGGGAACGAGGTTTGGAGAAAGAATGTTGAAAAAGTTTGTTGTCGCCGGGATTCGAACCCGGATAGTGCGAACCAAATCAATACGTTGTGAGCGGTCCACTACAGCTGCCACCATGCCAAGATTTGCAAATTATCATCCCCGAGCGGACGCGGAGCGCCTGCGAGGGTACTAATTCCGCTCGGAGATTAGGAATTACACCCGGAACCCGGTAGAACATAGGCGAATCCAAAGTTGTCCAAATTCTATGTCATTAACGGTCGACGTTGGGTGGTTTTGTAAGTTATGCGCACGCGCGAGTAACGTCTGGTAATCAACGAACGTTCTAATTGGCAAAGACAGAAACTTTGTATTTCAATGAGAACGTCAGCAATTTAACTGTCATTTCGTAAACATTTTTGTAAAAGCGTTTCATAAACTTTGTGCAAAGAAAGTATAAAAACGAGAAGAAAAAAGATACATGAAGCATGACTGATAGCAAATATGAACGTGGATACGGTCAAGACAAAGCAGTGTAAGAGGAATAATTCATAATCTGCTAGCTTATAAATGTTTTCAAAGACAAAGGGTACGTGTTTACTTTGTTTATTTCGTATTTGTTTCGCGGTAAGAATGAGCTGTATTTGAATTTTTTTCAGCTTTGTATGCCGTTTATTTGTTAAATTTTCAGCTTTTTATGCAAACGCATAAACCTGTGAAAGGCTATTACACCTTTGCTTTAACTTCAAAAGGTGTTTTTGAAAGTGTAATTTGAGCTTTGGTATTAAAAATACACTATATTTATAAAGTATAAAACTTTTAGCCGCCGGCGTCGACTGCAATTAAGGCGGATTTCCACTTACAGCGAAATCGTTCGCTAGCGAAATATTTGCATATTTTCTTTTGAATTTTAACAGCATAAATAAATTAGTTCGACTTGACTGTTCTCAATTCAAAAGAAAATATGCAAATATTTCGCTAGCGAACGATTTCGCTGTAAGTGGAAATCCGCCTTAACAGAATAAAATTACATTTGAAGTTTTTTCTTTGTCTCTGAAGATTTTGTACTGTTTTATTCGTTTGAAACTTCGATTTTAAACCGTTACTTAATTGCTGGCATAGTATAATGCAGCAAAATTGGACGGGCAATGTTTACACTAGCTTTATGATTATTTTTGTACTGAATGATGGAAACATTAGCTATAATATACTCGGTAAAATATAATAAAACTGATTTGAGTTTTGTGTCATTTCATAATATAAGTTTAGGTCAGGTTAACTTAAAAAAATGTGTTCTTGGTTTGAAATAGCGAGGGGTTGCTGCATGCACGTATTTCTAGGTTAGCTATATATTTACCGCATGCATAATGACCACGTTAAACGACCGAAGCCCAAATGAAAGAGCACGTACACGAGTCGATACGATGACTGAAGCCCGTTTTCTATACTAGAAGAATTTATTCGCGCGAACAGATAAAAAATAGGAAGCGTTTCTACTTTTTCGCGGCGAATTTTTTCGCAAACCAATCACATCACCGGATTTCAGATATCACTTCGCGTCGTGCGAAAAAATTCGCCTGGTGGAAAACGGGCGCAACGCGGCGCAGTTAACGCCAGAGTAGGCGTCTTGTTATTCTATAGAGCAAAACTTACCGACATATATTCTTTTTAGCCCAGCAAACACCCCAGCGGATAGTGCACGTTATAGTACATGTTCGTGTGTAGTATGTTGTAGGAATTGTTGTTCCCTCCGTCACATAATATACCTGATATCTGGTGAGGACATTTATCCTAAAAACGAAGATGATGAAATAATCATTTCTTCGCATGCCATCAACTTAGTCAACATGCATGGCGGGAGGTTTTTCACTGAAAGTTTCCGACGTTATTTTACACCATGTATAAAATTATTGGACATTGAAGTAGGCGATAACTGAATGGATTGTGCACGAAATATTTCCGTGACGACTTAAAGCCTGTTGATCAATAATCATCGTACAGTCGGCGATGTATTGGTGGTGTATGGCATGCAGGTGACAAAAGATTTCATTTAAAATAAAAAAGCACTTGCTCATAAAAAGCAGCGAGCCCCGACATTACACATCGCCGACAAACTATAATAATAAGTAAAATAGCTTGTATAGGTACACCACATGAGTATTTAAGTATTTAATACTGCAAAGCTTTCGATCTGTTAACCCGGGCTTTCATCAGTGCAATTACTTGAAAACACATTTACACGACACTTAAACAAATATTTTAATTACCTATGCTTAATCAGCTGAGAAAACTACCCGGAATACTTCAGCAACTTGCCGAAAGAAAAACAAGTTCCCACAAGCTAAAGTGGCCATTTCAAGTATTGCGATTCGTGAGGATATGGATTTAAAAGAAAAGATAAAAGCAACAACGAATATATTGCCCGCGGGTTTGTTTAAAGCAGAACTTTTAAATTCAGTTAATTTATCGATAATCCAAATATCGGCAGTCCCTAATCGCTACATTAATGTCAGTGATCAAGTTAATCAATGAATAACAACATTATTATCCCAATCGTTCCCGAAACCTTTAACTGTTAATGGTAACGAGAACATTTCTGATGTTATAAATGATATTGCTATGCAATGATAAGTCCCATAACATAGAGGATAAAGCTTCAACTGATTCAACCAATTCCAGTGGTTTTAAAATTTCTAATTAGAAGGGATTCCCTAATTTAAATGTTAACAGCCTTATAGGCATATTGATGAAGTTCGCATTTCGTTACCAAAAGCCTTTTGATATCTCAACCGGAAATTAATCAAAAATCGCCGGACTCGTCAATATCAGACACAGAAACTTCTATTGATATAGTTATTACTTCTTAATGATCCTAATAAACATGGGGATGGTGAGTCCTTATATATTAAAAATAATATTTACTATCTTTCGAGTCAATACTTAGTTCCTGAAATCTTTAAATTACTTGTATTGAATTGGCTTGAATGGTAGCTACTGTACCTATAGAAATTGGATAGCATGCAAGAAACAAAGTACACATTCATGCTAAAAAGTCTAAATATATTATCCATGTGTCTCCCTATAAACTTAAAACTGACCATTCTGTTTAGATATTATATCGATATACCTATAACACAACAATGCATGTATATAACAATATACAGTACCTATTATATATTTCAAATTTAAGGAGTTTCTTGCTTTAAAAAGTTTCACTGGAAAACCATATCGATCATGCACGTATATGATCAAAAGCTACTCATGCATTTGTCCCCATATCTCCCCTAAAAGCAATTTACAATGCAATTGTTCCACCCCCACTTTCATTATTTTAGCCCACTCTTGGATAATTGTGGGATGCATTACAAAAATTTCAGAATGATTACAGGAAATAGTGATTACAGGAAGTCTTATGATTGCCATTTGAAGAGTTCATTACAAACCTGCAACGGACACGATCAAAGACAGGGCGTAATAACTCAAAATTACTTAATAAAATTATTATTATTTACTATAAATATGTCATTGGCCACACTACCCCTAGTTTACGATCGAAACTTAGAGAAATTGCACTTCCTAAACCGCCAAAAGATTTTGCTAGATATTCTAACTACAATGTCGCTGCTAAATAGATCGAACTATCTTACGAGGTTAATACTGCAACCAGCGTATTGTCTTTTTAGCGAAAAAACGATTAACTTTGTGATATCCTACTATTGCATGTAGAGAAGTGTTTTTTTCTAGGCAGTTGTTATACTTCGCATTTTGGTTATGTTGGAACGTATCCCACTATTGTATTTATCTTTTAACTCTCGTTATCGTTGTATATTTGTAAAATGTGTCTGTATCTGTATTTACTCTTGTTTGTTTACACTTCTAACATATTGAAACTATGTTCTGTGCACTCGCCCCTCGTAGAAATCAGCTTGCGTGTTTTCTTTAAATAAAGTTATATGATGATGATGATGGTTTGCAACGGCAAAATTAGAGCAATGATATTCAAACCATAGTAATTACAATCATAGATGAGGAACAGAACCAAAGAATTGAACTCCTTACCCATTCTTATCCAACATCTGCGCCTGACACAGATACACATTTAGCAATACAGCCAACAACGACAAACCAAGGCTAGTCATAGTCGAAGTAACACTGGGAATACACTTAGCTGAAGCGAAACGTGATACTAAATACGCAATGTGTTGTTTTCAAACACGAAAGTCAATCTCTAAAAGAAGTGTATTCCTGAGCATATAAACCTGGACTGCGCTTTCAGTGCAACCTAGACTGAGAGTACCAAGATGTGGTTATTTTATTATTTCATACTTTTACTGGACTATCAGTAATCAGATCAGCAAAAACACTGTATCCGAAAAATTAGAAAGACAGGGAGCCCTTTAAAATTTGACTTCCAAATAAATGAAGTTTGCAGTCCTGTTTTGTTCATGCGGATGAATGCATTATATCACTTAACAGGTTATGGCCTGACGATTATAGCGATTAAAGTAAAAAAAAACGGTTCTTGAAAAAATGGAATGTTCATAATTGTACGCACTGTAGATTTTTACAAGTTTATACTGATGCAAATAGACATTTAGACAGACACGAGTTTAAAAATTTCCATAGTAAGAATCCATGCATGAACATTGGTTTAGCCGCTTTTCACCTCTCAGCTTAGGAAGTTGAAATTAGCATTACTGCTGGAATTTTAATTCTGTTTTGATTGACAGTTAATTTCGGCAGTTAAACTTTAAAAAACACCCTGCGTTCCTGATACAGAAAAATTGCAGATGAGAATCTTAAATGAAAAATAAAAAACGCGGAAGGGGTAAAAATTGCGAAATATGGATAAAGTTTACATCACACAGTGGATCTTAAAGTTAAAATAATTTCGTGTTTTAAGGTAGTATGGCGCTCGATGAACAGGTTAAAGGTTAAAATCTCAGACACATGCCTCCTATTATTTGCCGTAATGTATTAAACATGTATTAAACATGTACAAGTACTTCCCTGGAGTTTATTATTCCAAGTAAAATACCAATCGCATTCACGACTATAATCAGGAGTTATCTCTTCGCCATCATTTCACGGTAGGTATAGAATTGAGTATTGTTGTGCTTAATTTCTAGACTGCATGTTTAACATCTGTCAGCGATCATCTAAACATTATACATGCTCGTTATACACTGCACTCATTGTAAGATGATGATTTATATTTATCCTGAAAATCAAATTTTTAAATACACAGAAAAAAAGTTGCGACATTTAAAGAATTTTCATTCACTAAGAAAAAATACGTAGATTTTATTTCACATATTCCATTCATTTAGATAATAAGAATCTCACTTGCGAAAAAAAGTGAAAAGGAATGATTTCAACAAAGTAATAAGAATCTCACTTGCGAAAAAAAGTGAAAAGGAATGATTTCAACAAACGATAATAAGTTGCTTCTCGACCGACTGGACGCAATGTTCAGAGGTTGCGAGTTTGTCGTAAATAATTATCTCTTTTTCGTCATCAGCCCAATCGGAGTTCAATGGCATGGTACGAGAGACAGTACAATGCATACCGAGAGAGTACGAGAGATAATGCTGCGCATCACAGGAATACGGAACTGTGTAGTAAAGTCATGTACTTATGCCGAAGAGTCTGGCGATCATTTTCGCGCTTGATTGACCAAGTTTTCCAAGTCTTTGTGTTTGTCGAGTAACGGGTATCTTTTTTAAAACGTTTCGATTTATTTTTACCTTTTTAGGTGAGTAATTATTACCGTTTGTTTTCTCTTGTGCGTATCACGTGAATCATCCTTTTATTTAGCATCATTCTCACTATTTCCTAGTTGGGGGATCGCTGTCCCTGTTCGACGATTGTTGCGGATTCACTTTTAGAGCATATTGTACATAATTTCTATTGTGCCTCTCTTGAGGTCATACGTTCATGCATTTTGACGTGGTTTCTTTAGGACTAAATGTTGGCTTGAAACTGAGAAGCGACCAGAGAGCCACGGTGTGATCCTGTTCAGTTTGGGTTATCTCATTTACAGCAACAGTTTATTGAATGGCAATAAAAGCTAGTACAGCAATAAATTTGGCCACCGTAGCTAGCTGGCGAACGTTGAGATAGAACTTGTGGCCAGAGCTTCGAAAATAAAATCTTTTGACAACTTAGGGGCTGTTTACATGAGCCCGGTTACCCGAGATTCAACAAAGCGTGAGAGGACTTCGAGGTATTGAAATAAATCTTTATGACATCAAACAAGCACATGCTATTGTTAAGGTGATTATACGACTGCCAGAATCATGTTATCTGCTCATTTTAATACCTCAAAATCATCTCACGCCTCGTTGAATCTCGGTTAACCGGGTTCATGTAAACAGCCCCTTAGAAGGTTTTTAAACTTTTACGTGCGTGATTCATTTTTATGGCACTTATTTTCTCCTTCATTTGCAATATACCCCTTATATTAATTTTTAGCAGCAAATACTGCATGTAATGATTGTAGAGGGAGCTCCCTTTCCCCCCTATACCAACCCCATGGTGACTTCGGCCCTGTGCATGGTCATCTGAAAAACGATTGAGTTTGAATTAATTTGAAGTCACTATAGTTCTTTGTACAACATGGACAAACCAAAATCTTCATCAAAACTACCGAATAACAAAAAATAATCACAAGTGAAACGTTGAAAATCATTTTATGCCAGAAATTTGGGACAATTTGGTGCCATTATATAATAGCGAATCGTAGTAGAAATTAATGAAATGACTCTGTATAAATAATTATTATAAAAACCCTCAAATTATGATCAAGCGATATAATTATGGTAATGTATAATTATTTTGCTTCAGTGGTATTTGAATTTCCTTCCTATCTTACCATACAATATTGATTCAAACCTGCTTCACTTTATATTCTTCACTTTGTTTTATAGTTGTTTATAGTAATCTTTCCACTTGTTTAAACCGCAGGACCATCTTTTTCCACAGGACCATTTAAATCGACCAAGATGATATTCTTACGGGCGACGTCAAATGCTATATATTCAACGATATATTCAACACTCGATATAATCATTATTCAACCGATACAAAAATCAACGAATAGGTTTTGTGCTATGAAAGAACTCTTACGTATGCTGTTATATATTGATTGCATGAAGTACTTCGTGGAGATCAAGGACATACGCAGGCGCAGAAAGGGTCTTGAGGGGAACGTTTATTTTTTAAATTGTTTTGTTATGAAACTACTAAAACTATACATATATTCTGCATGGTCTTATTTTACGTTACTCACTTCTCGGATACACGAGAGATACACTACATATGCCCTGCCAGAAGTGTTTGAACTTTGAAAATACAGCTTTCAGCCAACGTTGCCGAGTCATTGAATAAATTAGGCGAATATTATTACAATAAGCTTTGTTTTCTTGTTTGAAACAAACGAATCAAAGCCTAAAGGGCCGATTACAACAATGTTTGGCATCTGGATTCAGTAATCTGGCAAAAATGCTTTCAGTGTGGCTTTGCATGCAAATTGTTACATAGGCATGAGTTTAAGCATGTATATATGCAATAAATTATAATGAGTATGAGCAAACTAAAATCACCCGAGATTTTTACACAATTTACACTTGGGGCCAGAGATGAAAGACTAGTTAATTTTAACTGTAGTTAAGGACGGAATTGGCCAATCATAGTTGTGTATTTCTGAGTTAAATGTAGCATCAGATGTGTTATTACAAGTGCAACTTACAACAAAAACACTTCTCGACGTTTCGACCTCAGGGCCTTCGTGAGAAGAGCTAGCGATGGCATACTAACTCTCCTGACGAAGGCCCTCAGGTCGAAACATCCAAAAGTGTTTATGTCTATTTAAATCAGTTGTTTTACCACATTTGATGCTAAGTTGTTTGAAGACGCTGCTACGCTGCAGAAGCTTGCAATTGGCTAAGATATACTGGAGATGGATTTTCCGTCTGGACGAATGACCACTTGACAGATCATTCGACTGAGTATAAACACAAGACAATCTATAGACGAACCAAATTGCATGGACTGCGCAAAATTCGTTCTTCAGAGCCTCGTTGTGAACATTCCTTGCTTCTGAGACCTCAGGGTCGGTTTCAATAGCTATTATGTAGGAATCATAGTTTATGTCCATAATTATAATTATTCCGATATCATCTCTGCGCTTACAATGAAATTTTCAAAAATGGCGCTGTTGTTTGTAGACAAGCATAATTTTTTTTGCACCTCCTCATTGCGAAGCTTTTGGAGCTTTTTAACCCAATCAAAAAGTGACGTCGCGACTTCTTTCAGAGTTTGTTTCTAGTTACTCAGTAACTCTGAGCATAATCGGTGGAAGCGGCTTTGTAACGCGTAAAATTCAAGATTTAGATCATTCTTCTTTATGGTAGAACGCTTTCTTCTAGTAAATTGGGCACTGTCCTTTACATATTCTTCTAAAATCTCTTTCGTAATACCTCGCAACGACCTCTTTAAGTTTTTGAAATCCAGTAAAGTTGACAATCCTTGTGGTTTCTTATTAAGCTGCAGCTTGATATTCAGAAGTAATACGTTAGTATCTTGTTGTGCCAATACTCTCGTTTCAAAACCAATCTATTATGTTTGGTGTTTATTTCAAACATTCATATCAGTCTTAAGAAATGAATAATTAGAGCTAAATTTGCATTAATTGTCAAAATCGCGCCGAGCCGATATGAATGCGATGACATAAACTGTCGCATAATTTTTTTCTTAAGTCTAACTTAGCAGTAATCTTGAATTCGCAAGGTACGTTATTTTCTAGAGATTGCACCCTGGCTAGTTATTTTCGCGTACGCCCGATCGAAAACTAATTAAACAACCGCTGACGGTATCAAAATTAATTTAGGGCAAAATAAATTAATGTTATAAAACTAATTTTTGTAATGTAGTACGGAAATACTGTTCAGTTAAGAGCAGATATAATTTTGTCGCTATCTCCATTTTACTAAGGACTAGGAAGGAAAGCGGTTGTCAAACACCAATATAAACATACATATTTCATACACCGATATAACTATATGTAAGTTCTGTATACAAGATACTATACATAATGGGGTTTATGTGTTACTGCAAGCATTTTAGCGATTGATAAGTATACCGTCTCTCGTAAAATGAGAGAATATATTGACATCAAACTATTGACCAAGAAGATAAGTCACTCAATAGTACGTGGCGTGCTCTTTTCAATGTCTGCTAGCTAAATACTTGTCTAGGACATGCGCATTAATTAGGACTATTTCTTTTTCATAAGTATTTGGTAAAGGTGAAAACGTTTAATTAATGGCGCAAGCCAACAAATCATAACTAACGTGATATTTAAGTGACGTGTGAATGTGTATTCAGGTAATTGCACTGATGAAGGCCCGGGTTAACGGACCGCAGTATTGAATACTTACGTTGTTTACATACAAGCTTAATTACTTACTTGTTTAGGGAATATACTGCATGTGTTTTTATTACCAAAGTGATAGTGAAAAAGATGCATTTGTTTCAGTTTTAGTCTTGTTCGATAGTTTTGGCTCAATGTCCACCAAGTATTCGTGGATTTAATTCGTAATTTAATTCTAGTGGATCTGAATAATGTTTGATAAATTCCCTTGGTATCTGTTATTCTTCTTATATTGTTTTGTGTTATCTTTATGAATATCACTAAACATTGCTTCGATTACATCTTAATTTTTTTAACTAAATCGTCACGAATTGAATTTTTACGAATTTTCGTTTGTTTTGCACCTCTTATACGTACATTAATCCTCCTTGATACTTTCTAGTTGTTGATGATATTCATTGTAGTTACGAAATGAAAGAAATCGATATGCCTGAGAAAAAGATACCTCGAGAAAACAAAGTGTACTACAAGAAAAAGCCCATCAGACCCCAGTTAGCATTAAGATTCGTTATTGAAATGCAAAATTATTGTTTTTATTAAGAAAAAAGTTTCAAGTTCTACAAATATAATTACTCAGCATGATGACTAAGCTGATTTCTGCACCAAAATTTCACGCTAAATAATTATATATTAACACAGTAAATGCATTCTTATTCAACCTGCACGGAATAAGAGCGTTAATAGTAGTAAAATTTAATGCAATCTAAGCTACAGTCAAATGATTAACTAGTCAAATTAACCTAAAAAATTATAATATTACTGTAATTTCAAAAAATTTAAGATTATCCACTTTGTATCTGGCAAATAAAAGACAGCTTTTCTTATCCGATGCTTGAATGTGCCTCTTGATATTTCTCTACAGATGGAAAATATTGTTATAATAGTAATACCTAGAAATATTGTTATAATGCCGAAAAATTTAACAAAACGTTCGAGGAGTTACGGTCGTCGTGACCAAAGAAATCTTACAGAACACTAAAGGTGTGGCTGTGTTCCCCTGCGATTTGAGCCGCAAATTTAGCAACTTCGGTTAGAAATTCATAAGATGTAAATTGTAACAACAGGGACAAATATGTAGCAAAAATAATCGCTTACCTTCGATTTTAAGAACATTTAACGCAAGGAACTTAAGGGCTGTTGGTTTGAGATGAAGACCTAATTGCCCATTGATTGCCAGGGCTCGATCTGTACCAGCCTCGACTGCACTCACAATCAACGAACTCTTCGTATTCCAGGTTTTACTTCTGAGCGCGGTTTCCGCTGCCTTCAAATAAACGTATTCCAACTGACCTGACACGTTTATCGTGACAATTACAGCAGTGTGGTAATTATTCTCCAATACAAAGGCAATGAAATATTTACCATCCTCTAAAAAGACAAAATAATCTTGAATGAATCGGTGTTGTTGAGAATAAACCTTTCGGTGTTAAATTTGAACCTGATTTTCCGTTATCTCATATCCAGGGCCATAGCTAGACCACTTAATTGAGGGGGTGTATATTCATGTATCCATTCTCTATTCAAAGCGCAGATAATGAGATGCAAAGTTAGGATATGGAATAATCTAGCGAAAATCAATGCATGACGAGGGTGCAAAGGTCATAAAACAGCTATAAATACCAGGTTTTGACAGAAGCACTGGCTTCTGGCTCGTTTAATAAAGAACGAAAGCTGTGGTGTGACGAAGAACGACCCACCCACCTCTTCCCCAACATGGGCCGTACTCCGTCACACCAACCCGGGCAGGCTGTTTCGGCCTGCCCGGGACCATGCTGATCCATGCTGAATAAGTTACTGGGAACAACATCGCGTCATCTCAGATCATCGTGTCTTTATAACACGAATTCAAGGTCAACAACAAAAATTTTAAAAAATATTCACTACAAAATACGGGAAAATACTCAATTTCGCTAACCTTTACATTGCTTTTCGTCAATGGCGCCTTTATCAGTTGTGGTGGATCCATCAGCACACTTGTTGCAAAATGTTGCACCGGGTCTTGGTTGATAAAAACCGCGAGGACAAACAACGCATGTCGCCTTGCCATTCACATGCACACCTTTGAATCCTGGAGGACATTGAGCTGGAAAATATGAAATTAATAAATTGAAATTTAATATTTTTGTGTTTGCAATTTTGAATTATTTAAATGTTAAACAATTTGAAAACTTACCACATTTATATATTCCTTCAACGAAGAACTGGCTCTTTGGACAGATCAAAGACATCTCTGTTACCTTTAAAGAATTCTTCAGCGTGGAATGGTTGGAGTTAACTAATGAAAAGGTAACATTATTTGCAATGCCTTTATCGGAGAGTATGTTTTTGAGATTGTAAGTTGCGTTGATGATTTCCTCCATCTCATGTGACGAGGAACTTTCGTTTAAGTCTTTCGTTGACGTAACATTCTCACCAATGACTTCGAATGTCCAGTCACAGACTTCGGCACGTTCTAATTCATCGTTATTCCGTGGCATGACTCTACATTCAGTCAGATGCAAATCTCTGACTAGTTCATCATCTGACAGAAGCTTGTTAGCAGTAATAACCAAATGAGAAGCCAATTTGTTTGTTAACGTTTGACGAAAATACACGGTTTGCTCAAAATTGCTCGGATACTTTGATACAACGGTAAATGATAGTTTTGCAACTGGTACAGGAAGACTGTATTTTAACACCTGGACAAAACTCAACTTGGAAATGGTGTGACCAAACGAGTTGGAGACGTTACAGAAATACCATCCTTCGTGGTGGAGTTTTACTGGGACGAAGCTGAGATAAGAAAATTTCTCATTTGGTATTAACGCAAAGGAACTTGAATTTGGGGACTTGAACCACCACTGGAAAGATGTATTGCGGGCATCTTTTTCAACTTTGCAGTGAAGTGAGGAATATTCGGATAAGACAACGTTGAGACGACGAACTGGGTGCAGAACAATCAGCGGAGAAGTGCCAATCACCACAACTGCAACGATTGAAGATGCCTTTGCGATGTGATTTGATACATCACAAGAATAGTTTCCAGAATGTGATGGACTCGTGTTATTGATTCGTAAGATATTTGTAGTTTGATTTATTAAAACCTCACCATTGAAACGCCATTGATAAACAAGGTGATCTCCTGTAGCTCCGCAACTTAAAACAAGTGTCTCGTTCACAACCAGCTCGGTGAACGGTTCGGGCTGTTGGGTGATATTTGGAGCATGCGCACAAACGTCCTCAACACCACTCATGTCTTTAACGTCTCTCAAGAGATCTCTTGAAACATGTACTGCCTCATTCACTGACATATCTGATTTGCTGGTTAGATTAAAGAATCTTGTCTCTAGATTTAGTATTTGTTCGCGTAATTTATCCCCATTCAGTGCACTTGATCCAATACTTATCTCCAATAAACTGTCAAACGTGTACTTCAGGCAATCTTCAAAACCGCTGCATTCTTCAGAGTATTCAGCGAACATGCTCTCCATGGTTGCTAACCAATTCTTATGAAATAATTTTGAGCTCGAATGAACCGCACCAAACTCGCTCTTCAGAGCCTCGTTTTGAACATTCCTCGCTTCTGAGACCTCGGGATCGGTTTCAAGGGCAGTTATGTAGGAATCATAGTTTATGTCAATATTATATTCCGATATGATCTCTTCGTTTACAATGAAATTTCCGAAAATGGCGCTGTTGTTTGTAGACAAGGATAATTTTTTTTCCACCTCCTCATTGCGAAGCTTTTGGAGCTTTTTGGCCCTTTCAAAAAGTGACGTCGCGACTTCACTCAGAGTTTGTTTGTATTTACGAAACTCTGAACATAATCGGTGGAAGCTTTGTAATGTGTAAAATTCAAAATTTAGATCATTCGTTCTTACGGTAGATCGTTTTCTTCTAGTAAATTGGTCACTTTCTTTGACATACTCCTCTAAAATCTCTTTTGCAATATTTCGCAGCGACTTCTCCAAGTTATTGAAATCCAGTAAAGTTGACAATTCTTGTTGTTTCGTATTAAGCTGCAGCTTGATATTCAGAAGTAATACGTTAGTGTCTTGTTGTGGCAAAACTCTCGTTTCAAAACCAATATCTATTATGTTAATGCGGGATCTACCAGGCCCATTGGAAAGGTCTTTCAACATCGACAACGTCTTCGATAATGCTCCAAATTTCCTTTTCCGATTCTCGTTCGTCATATTGTAGGCCTTTTCAAGGTTGCGTGAGGCACTCTCGTAAGCATCCAGAGAACGCTGGGCTGCCAGTTTTCTTATTGACATTTTCTCTCTCCTCATACTCCAGAACGAAACATTTTGCCTTGCACTGTCTAGGCTTCCAATAATCATCACTGCGTCTGCTTCTACTTTTGCGATCTCCTTTAAAGCCTCTTTTCTTGCTTTCTTACACAGTGAATTTTCAGCAAAACAACTGACATTAGCAATGAACGATGCACATGAAACATTGGAGCAACATTCTTCTTCTGTGGATGTGTTAACCACTTTTGTCATACAGGTATCATCACAAATATACGGAGTGTGAATATAGTCATACACAAATGTTGCCTTCTTGCATTTATCATTAGAAACGCGACAATTCCATGCACCTTTTTTTGCTGTAAGTAAACCAATTCCAGCTTTTATTACAACAGGGTTTTTTATGACAACGCCAACTATTGCTAATGGGATACCAAGGAAATCTCTCTTGGAATGAATTCTTTTACATCTTTCATTTTTGCAAATTGCTTGCTCTTCGTATGGAGGCCTGCGTTCCTGTTTGGTCTTGTGACACGTTGATGAACAGGTTTCGTGTTTCTCAATAAATGTATAGCTCCAACATGTTGTACAATATTTTCCTTTATGACAGATTTTAGGACAGTGTTTTAACTCGCAAAGTTTGTTTAATTTTTGATTCAACAAACCAATTTTATCAGAATAACCAATGACGAATTCCTGAAGAAGATTCAAATTTTCTTTCGCTGACAATAACTGATAAGTTGCTTTTCTACGCTCGACATTTATTTCATTCATCTTCCTTCGCGAATTTTCCCGAAGGATCTGAACTTCTCTCAGACTGCCTTTTTCGCGATTTTCTATCTCTGCAGAAAGATCAAGTCTCTTTTTTATTTTTGTCAAGTACTCAGCGGTGTATTTTTCAATTTCTTTTTCCAAAAGTCGGTCGAGGTTATCAGAGGCTTCTTTAATCTCGAAAACTCCACTTGCTGTGTATCGCTGATAAATCCATGGCACCAAGCTAGATTTGAAAGTAGCTGATACATCAAACAACCCATTTATCTTCCCCTTGACAAAAAATGCCAGGCCACTTTGTGATATGTTAACGTTTACGGCACTTTCAAAACCAAGAACATTAGCAATGCTGGAGAAAGAGCCCCCGGAATCAGCAGCTGATTCACGTCCAATCTGTAAATTTATTTTTGAACTACGAACGACTTTAAATATTCCTAGTTTTTTCTGTGCAGTTTCAAAACGTCGCCCATATTTTCCACCCAACTTTGCAATGATCTTCGATCGAATCGTCTGCGACGAATTCTGGCATAAAGGATTTTCTAAACGCAACTCCACCTCAAGGTTGTCAAAGCGTAAGGCACCAAACTTAAGATTGCCATGGAAAGTCATTTTGACGCCATTGCTTGCTTCACGATAGCGGGAGTTTTTACTTATCTTCTCATGGTATAGTATTGCGCTAAGAAAACATGATATGTTACTAGGTTGATCAAGTTCAACAAATCTGTCAAGTTCTGTATGAAGAAAAGGATTTTTTTCCATAGTGTTTTCCATCAAAAGTCCTTGCGTATTTTGCTTCATTTCAAGCAAGCAATTATCTTCAACTCCCCCTGAAAATGATAATTTTAAAATTCTTATCATTTGAGTGCAAAAAATCATTAGCTTGCGATTTTTTTAACTAAACTCCCTACCAGTCACAAGGGAGCACAAACAAAACAGTTGCCGACGGTTCAGTCCATATAGTTGGGCGCTCAAACCATCTGGGTGTGCAATGACTATGTATTAGCATTAGAGAATCATAGTGAAAAGGAGTAAGATTCGTGATTATACTGGAATCAAAGGTTTTAGATCATTTGGAGAGCATGGTTAGGGTTTTTTTATAGATTGAGAAATCTTAAACCGAAGGCTACAACAAGGTGCAAGAAGGTAAAAATTTCTTTGGTAGGGCAAACTCAGGTAGACAAAAGCGTCTTCTAATTTGTAAGGTTTGTGCATTTTAGATTGCACCATGCAAAGCATTGCTCTTCTTTGCAAGTTTGATGACAAATGCAGTTACTAAAAATGTACTACATGATTCTAAGCCTAAGGTCTCTTATTTCAGATGCTAAGTTAAGTCAGAACCAAAGGGGAAGCTTAAATGAAACCTTATACCACCGTTGTTATGCAGAAGAGACGCTCTGAAATGGATAATCGTATTAATTTTGTACCCTTTCTTTTTATCATACGTTTTCCTAATAAATGCTTTGTCCCCTAATATCAAAACACAAATGCTGTGAGAAATTTTGTGTTGCGAGACACATTCGTTTCAAACTTTTCCTTTTACAATGCAAACGTTGAGTTTTTTACGGGTTTGGGGACAACGAACTCAAGTGTTGAAAGGGTTAAACCAATTCGTTTTGGGATACCACTCGATCTCACCTCCAAATGACGCATAGCTTAATGTCTGCGCCATTTTGATGGACAACTTTGTCATTTTGCCTTGAATAATAAATTCCAGAGTGAGCATTATTTCACCATCGAGCTCAGCTTGCAATTTTTGATCTAACAGTGAATCCATTATCTGTAAAATATTCGGATAATATCATAATTAAAATTTGAAATAATTTTATAGTTATTGCTGTCTGTTTTAAAGGTTCTTGTATCCTGCTGTTCTTGGCTCATGTGCGAAATCATTTTCTTACAAGCAAGTTTGATTTTCCGACCATTTTTAGGAAGAAACGAGATAAAAAATATCACTTTCAAAACGCTTTCATAAGGCAGTTAGCGAACTCGCAGCGTTAATAAAGAACTAAATTTTAGAGTTTTTTACCAGTTTCAACTCGTCAAAACTTGCGAAATGCACAACGTCCGTAAAATCACAGCGGACACTGACTTCATTTTCACACTGGTGAAAAATTATACTCATTATATTCATTACCTAATGAAATATTATATTTGCTTACGTTTTCCAAGTTGTGAACGTTAAGCTTTAATGTTCCATCAAAGTCCACGCGAGAGTTCACTGAGTTTGATATTATAAAATCTTTGTTAAGCTTTGTAACCATAATCAAACTTCTTTTGTTGTGAGAAATTTGTAAGGAAACTATCGATAATGACCAACCGTAGGCTCGCAGTTGTTTAAACATGGAAAGTTGCTTGATCACATCAACCAGATTTGTTGACGGTTTCAAGACGACATTGTATGGAGGAGTGCCACAGACCTCCAGAGCAACAGAGAAACTAGCTTCACGATCAGGCAATCCCAATGAGATATGGTCTCCATCAACAATGAGGTTGAGATCAGGTGATATTAGCAAGGAATAAAATCTACCATCGGTCATTGGCTGGCCTGTAATTTTCAATTCCTCAAGGAGACGTTTTCCAGATAAGGAAGTGCACTTTAAGGTCATCTTCAACAACCGATCTCGATGATAGATTTCCTCGTAGTTTTACATCCAGCCATTTCGGAAAACTGTCTCGCACGACGTTAAGAAAAGACTTGGTTAGGACTCGGCGTTTCATCATCTCAGCCAAGGAATACTTCTTTGCTGGACTGGGTCCACAATTATTATTCAAACTCGATGCACTTCTAGATATAAACTTGTCACCTGTTATTGAATAAGGTATTTCGAATTTTCCATTGCTGAAACTCACTATGCCGTTAGTTCTACTCGATATACCAAAAATTTGCCGCCAAGGTCTCGTTGAACGTGCTGTAATTCGTACTTGTGAACGAGGGCATTGATAACGTTCAACGCTGTAGCATCCTGAAGGAAATGTCCTATAATCTTCTTCCAAAATGTCCACAGCCGAGTTTTCAGTACTTTCGACAATAAGCACATTTGTTTCTGGTTTCTCAAACCCAGCTGAACCAGAATTAGACAAAAAATACTCCACGAAATGAACCCCTGGTCTTTGGGCACTTATTGCTACAGTTTGCGAAGTTGTAGTTTTTTTTTTGAAAAGTAACTCAGATGGATTAAACTCAACTCCGACACTTTTTGGGAAAATGGTCACCTGCAGGTCGTTGTCTGGTGGTGAAACGCGAAACTCTACAGAAGTGGCAGTACCATCTGCAAATATTGTGGGATAGTCAGGTATACTTATAAAGCCAATTTCGCACGTCTTTCCCTTGTACCCAGTCCTCGAGCAGTCACATGAAAACTCGCTTGAAGTTACATCAGAACATTGGCCACCATGGAGGCAAGGATTAGGTTCACATCTTTTTTTCACTACACGAGCAAAAAAACATTTTAATTTATCAACATTTAAATGAATCGTATCAATTACAAATGACTAAGGCCGAAATAAAGAAAAATATTTTTCAAAATGGAGCATACAGCGAACGTTTTTATTAGCTATTTGAGAAATAGAAAACATTCTCCATGTTTCTATACAGTTTGAGAAAAACCCGTAAGAGTTAGAGAGAACAAGAAATAATAAGCGGGAAAACGAGCCTGTGGGGTGAGTTTTTCCACGTTATTTCGAGTTCTCCCAAACTCCCACAAGTGTTTCTATTTAACAATTAGACAACGAAGGCGAGTTGTCTAATTGTTTTAGTATACACGTACCCTGTACCTAGATATATAAATTTCGAGAAAATAATCGATAAACCACAATTAAACCGAAAAATAATTTAATTAATTCAATTTTATACGGTCGCGCGAGCGCATTTTTCCCAAACGTTCACCATCACGAATAGACAATGGTTCCCAAACGTTCACCAGCACGAATATAGTAGCCAATCAGAATTTAATGTAAGATTTTTAATAGACAATAGTCGGGTGTATACTAATACTGTGTAGAAACACAGGAATTTTCCCTCCGAACTTGAAAAGCGAAGCGATGTAATGAAAATTTGTAATTGAATCGAATTATAATATTTGTACAAAATCCTTTTATTGAGTTATATGATAAAAGAAATAGAAAAATTTTGTGGGTGTTATACTAAAACAATTAGACAACTCGCCTTCGTTGTCTATGAGCGAATACTAAACTCAGGCTTCGCCTTCGTTGACTCTCTTCGAGACAACTCGGACTCCATGTCCAATTGTTAAATAGAAACACGCTTCGTCCAATCAGCACGCGCGTACTATAAATGTTATATTATAACATGGATTAGAAATTTAAAAAGGTGCCTTTAAATATTTTAGGACAATATTATTTTTGTTTCTTTTGTGTTTTTAGGTGCAGTATTTTCTTAAAATTACTTAATTCTTCCTTTATTTTTCTTCGTATGGCAATTGTCCTTGTATTGACTAGCGATACCACTGAATCTCAATCAGGCGGACTCGCAGGGGGGTGCTTTGTCTTGAAGAGTTATATTGACATCATGGGTTTGTTGTTATACGTCTCATTCCTTAAGCCTTGTCCCTCTTTTGAATAACATGCATGCTTACATGATATCGCGTTAATAATCCGGGTAGATCGACGAAACAGAGACCTTTAAAAGGTAAAATTCTAACAATAAAGATAACGCGGGATTTCTTTGACAAGAATGCAAATGATAGCTTGGGCATGAACTTTCTCAGTAAGTTAAATGTCTTTCGCCATTTCCCTAAATTTCAGAAAACTTTCGAACTGTATTAATTAGGCCTAAAAACGTCGAGCTCGCGCAATTAACGTTCACTGATTCTCAGAAACATCAGCTTTCATAATTAACGCTTCAAGTACATTCATGTAAATGGCAAATGTAAATGATGTTGGCACAATTTACTTACAATTGCATGTCACTTTATTCGGCTCCCATCGACCATTCACTGTACATCTTAATTTTGACGTCTCATTGATATGGAAACCATCATCACAGCCTGCTATGCATTCTGAATTAAACCTTGTGTCGCACGGAGAATAAATGAATCCATTGATTGGTTCAGGAGGGTCTGGACAATAGATAGCTGAAATGGATAATTACTCCGCAGATTATGAGAGTTCAGTTCACAATTTCCAGAAGTTCTTCATATCATATTCTTCAAGTTAGGTTTGATCAAATCAGACGTAGTAATTTGCCATTAAATTAGAATATAGTTCATCAAAATGAATTATAATTATTGTAAACACTAAATATTTATTTCGGTAGGGACTGATAACTTCTGCTATGACAAAATATTGTATTACTTTGAAAATTATGGCAATGCAAACTGTATGTATCAAATTAAACCACGCAGTTAAAGTAAAATCCGTTAAGGATGTGCTTTATACTCACGTTCGCATTTTGCTTCTTTCCCAGTCCATCGTCGCGAGGGTGTGCATCTTCTTATGTGTGAACCAATTTGTTTATATCCAGTGGAGCAAGAGAAGACACATGTACCTCCGGTTGTTTTCCTTGAGCAGGCCATATTACCGTTCACCGGTGGGTGAATAATTAAACATAGTTTACCTAAATCGAGGGAAAAAAGATCATTCTCAGAAATTGGTATAGGTAATCTCCCTAAGTTTGATTTCAAGAGTATTTTCAAATTTTGCCAAAATTCTCCGAGTTGCGAAGTGACGATGGTAATTTGTCAAATTTGAACATAAGAGTGAAACAAATCCAAATTTCATTTACCTTTACAGGTTCTACCATCACTCGATAAATCGTATCCTTCGTCGCAAAAACATTCGTATGATCCAGGTGTATTTCTGCAGCTATGATCGCAACCATGCTGTTTACCGGAACATTCATCAATATCTTTGGTTAAATATAGCAATAATAAAATATACATATGTTTTGTTGAATGACCTTTGAGCTGGATTTTAGCAATTGTTCTCGATATTTCTCTCGGGAAACAATCGATCAAGCACGGGGCCACTGGGGGAGGGGACTTGGAAGCTTTAAGAACCTTTTTTTATCCAAGATAATTTTTTTCTACGATCTTTTTATACTTTCTGCAAACTCAGACGTATGTGTCAATAATGTTTCATTATTATGTCTCCTCCTTCAACTCTTCTCAAAAAACAAGAGTGTGTGTTTGTCTCCCAATTTTTCGATTTTAGTGAATGCATATAAAATTATTATGTAGTAGTTTATTTGAACAAACTAATTACCAATGCAATGTTTCTTATCCCATGTAAGCTGATATCCTTGATTGCAACTGCAAATGAAATCGCCATCTTTGTTGGTGCAGATCTGAGAGCATCCATCTTTCTTCTCAAAACATTCATCTATATCTATTTGAATCAATAACGTACTTTCAAAACCCATCGTCATTGTGAAATACATAAAATATTACAGACTTCGTTGTTACAAGGTTCTTTCTTAAATTCTTGCATCTAATATTTGTCAATATTTTATTAGGGCTTTTTTTTTAGTCAACCAGAATAAACCTCATCAAAGCCTCAACAACGTTGTTATCAGCAATCATGGACCACAATACAACCGCCTGTTATTTCAACTCTCGTCATCGCATGGACTTATCTCTTTTTTATTGCAATTATATTTCTTTTTAATACATGTATATTGCAAGAAATAAAGTGATTTTGCAGGCGGCTCAGTGGCTGCGTTTCCTACTGACGGTTTTCCTTCCGCGACATGAGCTATATATCTCCCAAGGACATTTGGATTACATTTCCCTCAAGTTGTTACTAGTTTTATGCCACACGAATAAATCGATTCTATCTCCTTACCATCACAATACTGATAGTTTGCTTTGTTTCTTCTGTATCCATTATTACAGGAGCAATTGTATCCACCGAGGTAGTTGACACAGTTCTGTTGACAGTCGCTGTTAACACATTCATCCACGTCTGAAATGAAGAAAACATTTTGAAATGATAAAGTGACCAGTTGCGCTCCCATTGTCTGAAAACTCAGTTCATATATGCATAACGATTAGGCAATTGGGGGAAAATTGGTCGCGTGGAATACAAATAATAATAATAGATAATGAGATGATGAATCTCGTTACGCTTCATTACCATCTCATTATCTGCTTACTGTTCGAATTGCATTCGATGCAACCAAAATGCGACGAATAACCCAGGCCCATGAAGTTTAGACTTTCTTTGATGTAAAGCGATTTGAACGTTCAACTTAAGCAATATAATCGGTTTACTTATTCTATCTAGAGATTTTTCTCATCCTAATTATTTTCAACGAATTGGAATCGACTTTTTTTAATGTGGACTAATTTGTTCATCACAATTATATCTTTTCTACCTTTGCATGTTTTCCTGTCAGCGTCAAGATAATATCCAGCTTGGCAAGTGCATCTAAAACTTCCAACGCTGTTTTGACAACCAGCTTTGTAATCGCAGTCATTTTGATACGTTTTGCATTCATCCACATCTAAATACAAAATGCTTCTATACCATTTCATTTCTTGACGACACCACATTTATCAACTGTATATCAGAACTAGCAAGAAGATTGTCCTCCCTTTGTATCGCACTATTTATGAATGCATTGGCGCAAATCTTCTTTTGAAAAGAAATAATCAGAGGTTCAACAATGCGTATTTAAATAGAGCAAGCAATATTCGTTAAAAAAGCATAAAATACGGTTATTTTCTTTGGTATTTTTCCCGTCATTTTTCCCATTCCAGATCATGCATTCTGAAATAAAATGTATGTACTTCCTCTTTTTCCCCCTAAACAGTCAAGATCAGAAAGCAACTTTAATAAAGATTACAGACAAATTTGAAGTAACCAACAAAATAGTCGCTTTCCTAAATATCGTTTAGTCGAGCCACCTTCCAACCATTTCGACTCACCTTGGCATGCCCTTTGATCACTGCCCAGTTGATATCCTTTCTTACAAGAACATCTGTAACTGCCTTGAGTATTGTGACAAAATCCATTTGCGCTGCAGCTGTGTGTGTCTCCCTCGCATTCATCAACGTCTATAACATATCAATTAGGGCCTATCTTACTTTATGAAAGTATGGTTTGGTATTTAGACGGAGTCTATTGCCTGGTTTCCATTTAGTTGTAATTGTTGTGAACAATTAATTTTTCCTGATGGGAACTAGTCCGGATGTATCTTTGTCTCAGTGTATTTCTGTATTCAAATCGGTCATTAAACATATAAAGGTTCTATCTCATCAGCCGCCTTGACATGTTTGGGTATGCCACACTGAAGACAAAATGGAAACCAGAGATAACTACGAATTACAATAATAATTATGATAACAGGCTTTTATTACTATTTTGTACGTTGAGACAATCACATAGGTCATGCAATATTCTTACCGTTGCACGTTCTTGAATCATAATGCAATCGATAACCAGCAGTACATGTACATCTGAAACTTCCATGAGTGTTGACACAACCATCTTTATGTTTGCATTTGTTCGTTTCACTTCGAGCACATTCATTGAAATCTAGAAGACATAAGGAATCCAGACTTTTTGGTGAAATTTAGTATGCAAAAATTGCCATCTTTCCTCTTTCTCAAAACTATTGGTATTCCTCTTTTCCAAAACTATTGATATTGGTATTTATAGCGTGAATGCATTTACCGCTTTGGCATTGAGAACCTCTCCAGCCTTCGTGACATGTGCAAATCCACGGCTGTCTGCAATATCCTCTGTTATAGCATCCAATACATGCAGCTAAAAGGAAAAGGAAAAATACAAACTGGTTGAAACTGCGAGTATGCGATATAATTGAGGGGATAAGTATATTAGAATATATGTGGTATTAATGAATTTAATTAACATTCATTTTTTGTAAACGTACGTTCTGATTGGTCGATTTGTACCACGTGAGTGAATTTTATATAGCAACAACGCCACGGCAGTGCCGTTATAGGATTTAAATGGCGGCAATAAACAAAAAATTTGCCGAGCTTAGTTAAGAAGAAATTAATGTAATTATAGATGAATCCACACCGAAAAATACTAAACGGGCAACCGGTTAGGGTGTTTTAGTATTTAAAGGTAAGCATGTGTTGTTTATTTAAGTTTTAAATGATATAAAGTCTTTACGAGTTTACTCAAAATGAATATTAAAAGCATTAAAACACCCTTTGTTTGTGTATTATCGGGTTTTACATGCACTCGTTCACAAACAAGGAACTCGAAGGAACTTCTCGTTCCTTGTTTGTGAAGTCGTGCATGTAAAACCCGATAATGCACTCACAGAGTGCTTTAATCTTCAAATATCCATGTAATATAAATAACATACATAATAATATATAATTAGAATTATTATACAATTATAGTAGTAAAAGCAATTTGACAGATAAATCGCGCAATCATGATAACCGAGTTATCTGCAAGTGAGCCTGGAGTGGTTAACAAGCGGTATTCATTTAAATGTATTTATGTATTAATAATTGATGTATTTTTGGATGTTGCTATTAAATAAGGTTTTTCATTCGTTAATACTATGTTTACTATTCTTCATATGTATAATAAAACAATTATTGAATTCAGTTTTTGTGATATGCAGAAAAACCCCCTCCTATAATTGCGGTTTATTATGTATAGTTAGAATTTTTTGTTTACTCACTCACCAATTGTGCAATGGGAACCACTTTGCCTCCAGCCGTCTTTGCAATAATACACTGGTCTCACTTTCCTCACTCTTTGGTATATTGCTTTATAACCAGTGCGAGCTTGATTTCTAAATAGCATTGAAGGATAAAACTTTTTAAGGCATTGTCGGGTTTCTTAAAGTTGCGTCTAAATTGTATTGTGTCATAGTACAGTCGTGATTGCTGGTGATGTTGATAAATTGGAAAATATCATTTATGTTATTAAATTTTGTGCATTCAAATGGCTCATAAAAGTCACTTCCAGTTTGTAAATTTGGAAGGCCAATCTATGCAAGTGCTCCTATAGTGCGTATTTCTAGACGTTATCATTAGAAACGGTCGTGTAAATGTAGGATAACGTATTTTTCGTAAGATCCAATAACTTAGACTTTAGGCTATAGAACTTGTCTTTAGAATAGTTGATTTGTATCACTAGTATATAAGTAAGTAATTTATTACTAAAAACCTAGTCCGGAAAGGTAAACGAAAATACTACTAAAAGTACAAAATAATTGACAAAAGTTTTGCAGGATTGTATTTTTACAGGTAACTATCGTTTCAGTTTCAGATAATTTTATTAGAAAGGCTAATGACATGATTACTAGATGACCTAACAAGCTGTCTCTATTTCCTTCATTTTGTCAACTAAACCAGGATCATTAAATTTTGCTTCAATATGCCTGTTGTTGGTGCTAAAAATATGTTATTGCGTCCTGAAAACAGGCTTGCGGTGTCAATTTCGTTTGGCTTTGTACCAACAACTAAACGTGTCGTGCCAAAATGTTATAAAATAAATACGAAACACACTATAATTATTATTATACAGCACAACTTACCGACACACTGTCTTTCTACGGAAGCAAAAACCGAAGCGGAAACTGCACGTTCTAGTACATATTTGTTTATAGTATCTGAATGAAATTGTTCTTCCCTCCGTCACATAATATTCCTGATATCTGGTGACGACATTTATCCTAAAAACGAAAATGACGTATTGAAGACTTCATCGAATGCCTTCAACTTAGTCAACATTGCGAGAGGTTTTTCACTCAAAGTTCCCGACGTTATTTTTTACACTATTTAACAATTAGACAAGAAGTCCGAGTTATCTAATTGTTTTAGTATACACCCTATACATGGATATATTAATTTCGAGAAAATAATCGATACACCGCGATTACACCGAAAAATAGTTTAATTAATTCAATTTTATACGGTCGCGCGAGGGAAATTTTTTCAAACGTTCACCGTCATGAATAGACAATGGTTGAGTAGCCAATCAGAATGTAGGATTTGCAATAGACAATAGTCGGGTGTATACTAAGTATAAATAGAGGAGATTGATAGCGATAGCTGAATTGATTGTGCACGAAATAATCATTTCCGTGGCGACTTAAAGGCTGTTTCTCAATAATCATTCCACGTCGGCGATGATTGTTGGTGCAGGGCATTAAAACGAAAAATTTCATTTAAAATAAAAAGCACTTGATAATAAAAAGCAGTGATCCCCCGACAATAGCCATCGCCGACGAACTATAAGAATAAATAAAATAGCTTGTAGGTACAGCACGTAAGTACATTCATTATTGCAAAGCTTTCGGTCCGTTAACCCGGGCCCTCATCAGTGCCATTACTTGAAAACACCTTTTACACGTCACTTAAATATCACGTTCGTCCTGATTTGTTAGCTCGCGCTATTAATGACATTGTTAATTTTAAGATTTTTTTATCACTGCACATGCATATCATCACAATAGCATAGTGGAGAGGGAGCCATGACAAAAAAACTGTCCTAACTAGAAATTGATTATTTACAGATGGAGAAATGTAGAGGTCTGCAGGACCTCTTGCAGAAAATTTTCTGCATTATTGAATCCCTATGATATGCTTTCCAGCACTAATTTGGGGGACAACCAGTTATGAATGCAGTCAATCCACCTCGGCAGAGTGAGGTCTGTTGAGAAAATACCATATATCGCTGACAATATCTCATTTTGTCACTGCCCATTCTACTTCTATAACTGCATAAATTGGTTATCACTGCTCACTAAAATAATGTATGGAAGGACTCGCTAATTTGAATGTTAACAGTCCTATTAGGATTAGGCATATTGATGAAGTTCGCATTTCGTTACCAGAAAAGCCTTTTGTTATTTTAGCTAGTAATTAATCTAAAATCGACCCATATTAATATCAGATAGCGAAACTTCTATTGATAATTATTCATTACTTCGTCATGCATGATCGTAATCAACATGGGGGTGCTGCGTCCTTATATATTAGAAATAAGATTTACTATCTTTCGAGTTTCGAGGCAAAACTTAGTTCCTGAGATCTTGAAATGATTTGTATTGAAATTAATATGAAATATAATAAGCTTCTCTTAAGCTTTTAAATGACACCTTCTGCGTATTCATAAGGTAAATACTTGATAAGATAACCTTGCGTAAACAGAACGTCCGGAAAATAGCAGAGACCTCGAGTGCCTCTACTTGGTTTAGACCACCAAACCCCGAAGGGGTTGAGAACTATCGTCTAAACTCTATTCTCCAATTATTGGCAACGTGATTGAGAAAGAATTTTTTCGACAATTTCAAAATTCTAATCTGGCTTCCGTCGAAACATTTGACTCCGCTTTAACTGTGTGATGACCTACTTAAAAATATGGACAATGCCAATGGCAAATGAAACTGTATAGTATTTTTATGTTCAAAAGACTTTTGACTAAGCCCGCACAGAATTCTTCTTGTGAAAATGTGCTATTTGTTAGGTGTATCGGGAATGCAATTAAATTGGTTTGAATGGTAGCTACCTGTGGAAATTGGATTTCAAGAAACAAAGTACAAAATCATGCCAAAAGTCTAAATAAATATGTGATCAATCTTAAAACTTCTCATTCTGAAATCCTGTTTTAAGGAGTCGATTACTGTAACCCACTCTTGGATAATTGTGGGACTATCCTGAAGGATGCGTTACAAAAATTTCAGAATGATTATATGCAGGAAGTCCTATGATTGCCCATCTGAAGCGGAGTTAATTGCAAACCTGCAACGGACACGATCAAAGACAATAATATAATAACTCAAAATTAACTTCAAATTATCATTTACTAAGTACTAGGCTATAAATATCGCAACTAATTTACGATCAAAGTTTAAATTAAATAATGATTTCGATTGCTCATTAACCTTAGAAATCACGGTAGCGATTTACCACTTCCTAAACCGCCAAAAGACTTTGGTTCACGTTTCAACTACAATTACGCGGCTAAATGGATCGAATTATCCTACGTGATATCCCACTGTTGTAGAAAAGTGATTTTGTCTATTCTGAGCGATATACTCCGCTCTCTGGTTATATTAGAACGCATCCCACTATTTTATTTACATATTTTTATTCTCGTTATTGTTGTATATTTGTAAAATTTGTCTACATTCATTCTTTTTTGTTTACACTTGTACCATATTGAAACTATGTTCTGTACAAACGCCCTTCGTGGAAATCAGCTTGTTAGTTTTTGAAGCTACCGTGTTTTCTTTAAATAAAATTTGATGATGATGATGGTTTGCAAAATAAGAGCAGTGTTATTCGAACCATAATTAGGATCAGAGCAAAGAATTTAACTGCTTACCCATTCTTATCCAACACCTGCGCCTGACACAGATACACATTTAGCAATACAGCCAACAACGACAAACCAAGGCTAGTCATAGTCGAAGTAACACTAGGAATACACTGAGCTGAAGCGGAACCTGATACTAAATAAGCAACGTGTTGTTTTTAAACACGGAAATCAATGGCTAATTCTAAGCGAATCATGCAAGCCTGCAAGCCTATTTTTAAACTTTTACTGAAATATATAGAGATCAGTGATCGGATTAAACTAAAAATTCTGTTCCGAAAAAAATGGAATGTTCAGAATTGTATACGCTGTGGATTTCTACAAGTTTACAGCCCAAATTGACGTCTAGACAGACACGAGTTTAAAACTGCCATAGTAAGATTCCGTGAACATTGGCTTAGCCGCTTTTTCCGTCTCAGCTTGGGAAGTTGAAATCAGCATTGAAAACCGCTGGAATTTTAATTGTAAGTCTTGCTAATTGGCTGACAGTTAATTCCGGCAGTTAAATTTAAAACCCTCTTCGTTCCTGATCGAAGAAATATTAATCGAAATTAAGAAATAAAACACGCGGGTAAGGGGTCAGAATTCTGATTTCAAAACAGCGGAGAAGGAAATGTGGATAAAATCTACATCACACAGACTCACTCTATCATTGACTTGAAGGGTTAAAATAATCACGGGTTAAAAATAAAGTAATTCAAGCTTTATACGCACAGGTTAAAGGTTAAAATCTCAGTCTCATACACATTTCATATCACTCATCGTATACAAATTCGTAGTATATTAAACATCAAATAATTATTTACTTCCCTGCAGTTCATTGTGCCAAGTCAAATACCAATCGCACTGGAATCGTGTATTTTGCTTCAGCGTGATTTAAAATTCCTTTCTATCTTACCATTTAATATTGATTCAAGACAGCTTCACTTTATCTACTTTACTTTGCTTTATAGTTGCTTAAACCGCAGAACCATTTTTTTCCACAGGACCATTTAAATCGGCCAAGCCGATATTCGTACGGGCGACGTCAAGTACAATATATTCAAGTTACAATATACTCAACAGCACTCGATATATAATTATCCGACCAATACAAAAATCAGCGAATAGGTTTTGTCTTATGAAAGAACTCCTCACGTATGCCCTGCCAGAAGTGTTTGAACTTTGAAAATACAGCTTTCAGTCAAGGTTGCCGAGTCATTGAATAAACTAGGCCAAAATTATTACAATAAGCTTTGTTTTCTTGTTTGAGATGAACAAATCAAAGCCCAAAGGGCCGATTACAACAATTTTTGGTATCTGGATTCAGTAATCCGGCAAAAATGCTTTCAGTGTTGCTTTGCAATTTGTTAAATACGCAATAATTATAGTGAGTATGGGCAAATATATATGAAATATAAGAAGTACGAGCAAACTAAAATCACACGAGTTTATTACATAATTTTCGCACAGGGACAGTGATTAAAGGTTTGTAGTTAAGGACAGAATTGGCCAATCAGAGTTATTTCTGCATTTACAAGGATTTAACTATGCAAAGTGTAGCATCAAATGTGGTATAACAACTGCCTAGAATAGACAAAAAAACGTCTCGACGTCATGAGAGTTAGTCGATACCATACTAACTCTCCAAACGAAGTTCCACGGGTCGAAACGTCGTGAAGTGTTTTTGTCTATTTTAGGCAGTTGTTGTACCACATTTAATGCTAAGTTGTTTGAAGATCCTGAGTTTTATACAACCGGCACCAGTACATAACATCATTACATCGTGTATATTAATATTACCATTTGCGTTCAGTATACAGAAGATTGAAATTGGCCAAAATATGCTGGAGACGGATTATCCGTCTGTTTTAATTATTTTCACTTTTCTTTGATAATACTTTCTAATAGTTTTTTATATTTATTGCAGCTACGTAATGAAAGAAATCATTGTGTTTTAGAAAAAGTTGCCCCGAGAAGACGGCAGAACAAACCCATCAGATCCCACTTAGCATTAAAATGCATGCCAAATCATTGATTTTATTAAAAAAGTCTAGAATTTTACAAAATATAGAAACCTCGGCTGATTTCATTACCCCAATTTCACACTAAATATTTATTACTCACGGTAAATGCATTCTTGTATTCAACCTCTGTCGCAGTAAAATTTTATGCAAACTAAGCGACACTCAACTAATTCAAATTAATGCCAAAAAATTAAAGTAATACTGTTGTAATTCTCAAAAAATGTTAGGATACTCTAAGTTGAATCTGGCAAATAAAAGACTGTCACAGCTTTGCTTATCCGATGCTGGAATGAGCTTCTTCATCCTCTTCTTAAGCTGGAAAATATTCTTATAATATGCCTAATAATAATCAGTTAAAATTTAATTACATTTAATTATACTTAGCTAACAATGTTATAAATTTAATTTTGATGATAGTTTTAGTTTAAATTTAATTTTGATAAAAGTTTTTAGTATAACGAAGTTGAATTTTGAAAACTGAAATTATGCAATAATCACTTACACTGTAAGCTAAAATTTCTAAATAAAATTTGTTTTTCTCAGTTATTTTAAAAGAAAATCTTAAACAGAAAACCAAAAAGCGGGGATGATCTAAAAATAGCTAAAGAGAAAATCGCTCTAAAGAGAAATCAGTTGGGTATACTAAGACGAAAAAAAAATTAAGCCACTCCGGGGTCTCACAGCAGGGCTTTGAAAACTTAGGGAACACGAGTAGCTGTTTTTACTGAGATTTGAGCCGGAAATTTAAAAAATTTTAAAAGATTGATTTCGAATACGTGTATCAACATTGACAAATATGTGGTAAAAAAATAATATTAATAACCACTTGTCAAAGTTTGGTGTTCGCAGCGTTTCATTGGTCGAGAGCGAATCACGCGAGAGAAATATCGTTCTGCATGCTTAGAAGCCATTTACTTTGTAAGAAAACCTTACTGATTCTTTGGCTTCTTTGTTAAACTCCGAGCTCCCGAGTCGCTCCCGAGCATGGCGGAATCAAAACTCAAATCTACCTTGATAATCAACTACCATCACGCATTGCGCACTTGAGAGCTAAGAGGGGAAAGGTCTATTAAGCTTTCACCTATATGGCCCTGCGTAATCGTCGATCGTCAGATATTCATTGTCGGTAGTCTGTTGTACGTTCGTTAACCAAGTGCAATGAAGTATTATTACACAACCAAACACGAACATAAAAACGGAATTTACAGAAGTTTACAGTCGTGCCATTAGATGTGTTTCGAAAAATCTTAACCAGTTCATTTCCTAACTTGAAGGAACACATCTGCACAATTCCTCAATTCCTTGATACATCCTGTATAATAATTAGCTACAATCACAGATGTGGATCAGAACAGAGAATTGAACTCCATACCCATTCTTATCCAACACCTGCGCCTGACACAGATACACATTTAGCAATACAGCCAAAAACGACAAACCATGGCTAGTCATAGTCGAAGTAACACTAGGAATACACTAAGCTGAAGCGGAATGTGTTACTAAATACCAACGTATTGTTTTCAAACACGAAAATCAATGTCTAATAGAACGTGTAATCCTGATAATATAAACCTGGAACGCTTTCATTGCAACCAAGACTGAGAGTAACAATATCAGTAAAAACAGACGCCAATCGAAATACTGAATCTCATGGATCAGGAGTGTAGCTTCACTGGGACAGAAATTCAATGTCAACGAGTTCCCAATAAATCTACAGGGGTAGACGCGGTGCGTAGAATGAAACGAACTCGACGTAGGAATTTTGATAATTTATTAACAGGATATATACAGGTTTGGGTCAAATAAGTCGATTGGGAATATTGCGTCGGTTTGAATTTGGTTTGCAGACGCACCAACTTTAACTATCATGCGCGTAGATATAGCTTTGATCGAGATAGAATAAAGATAGAATTTTTTGTCTCACAATGCGGATAGAACTGTAGCATAAACCTTTGCTTCCTTACAAGCGTCCACATTCGAGACTCAGCGTAGAATGAGTAACCTAAGCTAGGTAGGCTGTTTTTGTGTAGCATGAACCGGATTTCAAAACATAGAAACGCGGTGTGTGTTTGTGACGGACATAGCGTGGTTAGGCAAGGCAACCGTATTGCGCATTTGCTAACCAAATTTACGCATTTGATGTAAATCTTTGCGCTGAAACGGAAAATAACAACTTGTTTTTGCCAGAAGGTCTTTCACAAAATAACAACTTGAACGACCTTCCGTTTCGAAACCAACAAGGAGGACTTCTGCATAATAGGAAGCCGACGTCTGAAACATTTTACTCATCACTTAACAGCACATGTAGTTAACTGTAGTCGTTTAATTATAAAATTCTGGAAAAAATGGAATATGTTTAGAATTGTATGAGCAGTAGACTGCCGCATTGTTATAACCTAAATACACGTCTATATATGGAGACGAGAGACGAGAGTTTAAATTTGCCATAAATTTTTGAACATTGGTTCAGCTTTTTGCGTCTCAGTTTCGGAAGTTGAAATTGGCATTGAAAAAATCATAAAAAATCAAACTTTATGCGAATTTTGAATCCGCCAAATGCGATAAATGCTGACAGGTGCAGTTGAGAATATCCATACATGCATGTATACACACCATAAAGTTGGGAAATAGATCAAATGCATGGACACCACTTTATTTCGGACAACAAGAAATTGGCAAGATACATTAACAATAGGTGAAATTAAAGACTAATTTCCTCTAAACTAACTAATAGCTTAAATTGAAGTTAAACTCGGAAAAAAGGTTTTCCTCTCATGCACGCCAGAAATGTTTTCGTTCTCGTGGCGCTCACGCGTGTACGCGAATCTACTTGGCCTTTATTATTTCATAATTCTGACATAATAATATGTCATAATAATAGACGGAGTAGACTCGCGAGCACGCGCGAGTGCCACGGGAACGAAAACATTTCTGGGCTCCCTATTCTTTGAATAACAAGTTTGCAAATTTTAAAGCTTAATCTAAAACATTGAAATATAATACAAAGAAGAAAATAATGTGAATTAACAAACATAAACTAGTATGTACGACTGCCAATTACGAGGGCTTTCACTGACAAGTGCTTCATCGTCGTTGGTTCCATGCGAATAACAGATTGCCTATTGATTTCTAGGGCTCGATATGTACCAGCCTCGACTGCACTCGCAGTCAACCAACTCCTAGTCGTCCATACCTTACTAATCACTTTTGTTGTCGTTGATTTCAAGTAAATCTTTTCCAACCGACCAGAAATGTTTATCGTGACAATTGCATCCTTATGATGCTCATTCACCAGGTATAGATAAAGAAAATATTTCTTTTCGGCTGCAATAAAAGATAAAAATTCATGAATGAATTTAGGATTACATAAGCCCTGTACACTGAAAAGTCACTCACACCTAATTGTGAAAAATGGCAAACGTGATTTGACATGACAATTCCCGACTGAGAGCCTAGTAATTTTTATTGCTTTAGTCCAACCTTGCAATTATTCACCATTTCAATTTTTAATTAGTCACTTATTCAAATTATATAGAGAGGTCTTCTGCCCGTGAATGCTGACAAGAACGAAACGTTTAACGACTCTTGCGTATAGGTATTTCTGGTGACCGCATGTTTTACTTTGCGCTTCCCTAGCAAATGATTTATTATAAAGGGCCATCCCTTTCCTATAAACATATTAATTTTTTTCATTCCTAAATTTTTACTAGTTGGTTTCCTATTCCGTACCGCAAATAAGTTTTTTATGTTTTATGAAGACTTTGACATGAATGTGAATGTGACCGCATGTTTTACTTTGCGCTTTCCTAGCAAATAATTTAATCTAATGGGTCATCCTTTTCCTATAAACATATGAATTTTTTTCATTCCTAAATTTTTACTAGTTGGTTCCCTAATCCGTGACGCAAATAAGTTTTTATGTTTTATGAAGACTTTGACATGAATGAGGATTCCGTTATCAGTTATCAGAAAGCCTATATTAATTCTCTGTCTAAATACTGGGGTGTTTTGAAGCATAATCCCAACTACCAGAAGAAACTACATACGATGGGATATATACGGTCTCGAAATTAATTGCCAAGCTATCACGAAGACGCTGATAAGAGTAATAATATTTAGTAGTGTGAATAATTCTGACCAACATTCACAAATTTAATACCATGCAATTACGTACCTACGCACGTGGTTCCGCTTCCAGTATAACCTTCATTGCAGGTACATTTAAACGATCCCATAGTGTTGCTACACGTTGCTTGACTGTGACAGTTATCACTGCCATTTGTGCATTCGTCAACGTCTTTAGAATTTACAAAATTAATAATCATTATTACACGATAGGATATCTCCGTCGTCAACTAATATACGTATAATTATAACGACGCGTAAAGCCGCTATACCTCAGATTCCTAACAGCTAAGGTATTTTATAATGCAGACAAAAAAAAACGATTTCAACCATAAAATTTGTGGTATTTATCTGTCTGAATAAATACGTGTTGTATATTAGCTATATAACAGGTATACTGATTGTTTGAGTTCTGAATGCTCGTGCAAAAATATAATTTAAAAATACAGTTTTCTGTCGTCCTTTATAATTATATTCCCTCTGGTTTTAGAACCGAGATTCTGTTGCTAGATCACAATTCAGCCAAAATTTCAAGCAAGATAAATTAGTTTATGGCTACATACCCACACATGAGATTCCATTTCCTGAATAACCTTCATTGCAGTTGCAGGTAAACGATCCAATGGTATTTCTACACGTTGCTTGACTGCCACAGTTGTCAGCCCCGATTGTACATTCGTCAACATCTTTAAAGTTAAAAATAATCAGTATTACACGAATGTGTCGGTTTTATCCAGAATAAAGTACATGCATGTTAGGGCTCTAAATGTCAGTTTAAAACTGTTAATGAAGCAATTTCTGCATGTTTCAATTCAAGTAAAGAGAGTCAATAATCCTCTTTAATACAAGCTTGAAACCTTTATAATTTTGCACTAATTAAATGCAAGGTACACATATATTTTGACATTTTCGGTTTCAAGTTAAATTTATTCCTGCCATAACTGGGCTGTCTTGCATGCATGCATGATCATACAAACAAAAAACAATTTCATACATTGGATATTATTCTACTTTGACTCTCTATAATTAAAACACGTGTTTTATATATTTTTGAATATAAATATAATTCAGATATATAACGGGTAAGTAATATTTCAACGGCGTGTTTTGTTGGGCAGAAATGCATCGTTTATAATGTTTCTTTATTATTATTTAGTCGGTAATTAAATAATTGTCTCTCTTTTATAGTCTTTTCAACAGTTTATGCATGTAGCAATAAAAAAACTGCTGCTAGCTTTAGTTGTCTGTCGTGCATTGTAATAGCCTTCCAATTATGGAACTCAAGATTCCGTTGCTAGATCACATTTCAGACAATTGCTTTTAAAATTGTGGCGCGGGTTTAGTTACATACCCACACATGTGATTCCATTTCCTGAATAACCTTCGTTGCAGTCGCAGGAAAACGATCCAATGGTATTACTACACGTTGCTTGACTGTGACAGTTGTCAGTCCCAAGTGTGCATTCGTCAACATCTTTAAAGATTAGAAATAATCAATATTATATACAAGATGGAGGTTTTCTCCAAAGTGAACTAATATATACGGTATAATTATGCCACGGCGTAGATTTTATACATTAATTAATAAAGTTTGTTGTAAATTAAGTTTGTCCTGATTGACATCCGTATTTTACATAATTATTATATAAAAGGTAAGTCGATTGGTTAACGGATGCGTATTGTGAAGCAAAAATGAATGTTCTTATTATAATTGCGAAATTATGGGGCGGAATTAATCACATACCCACACACGTGATACCCTTCCATGAATAACCTTCATTGCAGTCGCAGGTAAATGAACCAATGGTATTACTACACGTTGCTTGACTGCCACAGTTGTCAGTCTGAAGTGTACATTCGTCAACATCTTTAAAGATTAGAAATAATCAATATTATACGATCTATAGCCATTTCATAAAATCAGTGTCCATTTACGCGCTTTAAATTTTGCAAAAAAAATATTACAAAAATCGCACATTTTAGTTTCTATTAATTTAAGGTAATTTTCATTTCTGGCGTAGTGACGCTTCCATCTTTTTCGAGAACCAAAATTATCTGTTATCGTACAAACGAAACGATTACGATTGTAGACTGCAGTTTACCTTATATTTATTTAGGAAAAATAGTGTCCTCGAAAATAAAACTAGAAAATTACATACCTACACACATCGTTTCATTTTGAACATAACCTACGTCGCAACCACAGCTGTACGATCCAATTGTATTATTACACGTTGCTTGGCCGTCACATTTGCCAGTTCCAATTGTGCATTCGTCAATATCTTTTCAGATTTGAAATAAAAAAAATCACACTCTCGAGTTGGATATGTGCGATAGATATACGTGCATGCGCATATTCTGTGTGCTATTACCGGGCCCTAAATACAAATTCGATAGCAAAAGACCTTTCTCATAATGACGTAAGACGTAGAAACCTGATTTTACACACGAAGTTTGATTGGCTCGGCAAAACTAATGAACCAATCAAACTCCGTGTTACATCATGCTTTCCGCGTGACGTCATTATAAGAGCGGTCAATTGCAAAGGCTCAAAAGGACTATGTTCACATGATCGAGCTCACCACAACATCAATATTTACGGACACTGCAGTAACAAACAAATGTCCATTAATTTTTCACGATATACATGGAAAATTAATACCCAATATTAATTTTTTACTAACCTTCACATTGCTTTTCGTCGATTGCGCCTTCACCAGCGGTGGTGAATCCTTGAGGACACTTATTGCAAAATGTTGCGCCGGGTCTTGATTGATAGAAACCACGAGGACAAACAGCGCATGTTGCTGTACCATTGACCAGCACGCCTTGGAATCCTGGCGGACATTGAGCTGAAAAATAAAAAATAAAACAAATTGTTTTTACAAAGTGTATTTAAATTGTTTTGAACATTTTGGTCCACGTAATTGCTCTACTTACCGCATTTATAGACATTGTCAACGAAGAACTGGCCTTTAGGACAGATTAAAGAAATCCCCAATACCCGCAAAGAATTTCTCATGGTGGAATGGTTGGAATTACCCAAGAAGAAGTTAAACCTGAATGCGTTTAAGTTGTTATCAATTTGTTCGACAAAATAATTTTTCAGGTTGTAGCTTGCGTTGAGTAATTTCTCTGCGTCCTGTGATTCTGCACTTCCTTTAAATTTATTTGTTGAAGTAACGTTCTCGCCGAAGACTCGGAAAGTCCAATCGCAGATTTGGGTGCGTTCTAATTCATCGTTATACTCTGTAATAATGTTACATTCGGTGGCATGTAGATCTTTGAGCAACTCACCACCTGACGTAAGCCTTTGTTTCAAAATAACCAGGCGAGATTCCAGGTTGTTTGCCAAAGCATCACGATAATTCATCAACGTTTCATTCCTTGGATATTTTGATATGATGGTTAATGATAGTTTAGCAACTGGTACTGGAAGACTGTATTTTAACACCTGGACAAAACTCAACTTTGAAATGGTGTGACCAAACGAGTTGGAGACGTTACAGAAATACCATCCTTCGTTGTGGAGTTTTACTGGAACGAAGCTGAGATAAGAAAATTTCTCATTTGGAATTAACACAAAGGAACTTGAGTTTGGAGACTTGAACCACCACTGGAAAGATGTATTGCGGGCATCTTCTTCAACTTTGCAATGGAGTGAGGAATATTCGGATAAGACAACGTTGAGACGACGAATTGGGTGGGCAACAATCAGCGGAGGAGTGCCAATAACCACAACTGCAACGATTGAAGATGCCTTTGCGATGTGATTTGATGCATCACAAGAATAGTTTCCAGAATGTGATGGACTCGTGTTATTGATTCGTAAGATATTTGTACGTTGATTAGTTAGAACCTCGCCATTGAAACGCCATTGATAAACAAGGAAATCTCCTGTAGCTCCGCAACTTAAAACAAGTGTCTCGTTCACACCCAACTCGGTGAACGGTTCGGGCTGTTGGGTGATATTTGGAGCATGCGCACAAACGTCCTCAACACCACTCATGTCCTTTACATCTCTCAAGAGATCTCTTGAAACATGTACTGCCTCGTTTACCGACATATCTGATTTGCTGGTTAGATTAAAGAATTTTCTCTCTAGATTTAGTATTTGTTCGCGTAATTTATCCCCATTCAGTGCACTTGATCCGATAGTTATATCCAATAAACCGTCAAATATGTACTTCATGCAATCTTCAAAACCACTGCATTCTCCAGAGTATTCAGCGAACATGCTCTCCATGGTTGCTAACCAATTTTTATTAAATAATATTGAACTCGAACGGACTGCACCAAACTCGTTTTCGAGAGCTTCGTTTTGAACGTTCTTTGCCTCAGACACCTCGGGATCAGTTTCAAGTGCGTTCAAATATGAATCGTAGTTTACAGCGATATCATATTTATTTCCGTTTACATTGAAGTTTTCCAAAATGGCGCTGCCGTTGATTAGCAAAGATTTTTTCCTTTCCAACTCCTCATTGCGAAGCTTTTGGAGATTTTTGGCCATTTCAAAAAGTGATGTCACGACTTCACTCAAAGTTTCTTTGTAGTTACTAAACTCTGAGCATAATCGGTGGAAGCTTTGTAATGTGTAAAATTCAAAATTCAGATCATTCTTGTTTAAGGTAGAACGTTTTTTTCGAGTAACTTGGGCATTTTCGTCGACATACTCTCCTAAAATCTCCTTTGCAATACTGCGAAGCGACCTCTTTAAATTTTGGAAATCCAGCAATGTTGACAATTCTTGTTTTTTCTTAATAAGCTGAAGCTTGATATTCAGAAGTAATACATTAGTATCTTGTTGTGGCAATACTTTCGTCTCGAAACCAATATCTGTTATTTTGATATGAGATTGACTTTGTTCACTTGTAAAGTTTTTCAACATCATTGTTTTGGTCAAAATACGGTTTTTCTTTAGTCGATTCTCTTTGGTAATATTGTAGGCTTTTTCAAGGTTACGCACAGCCTCTTCGTATGCATCAAAAGAACGCTTAGCTGAAAGAATTCTAATGGACAACTTCTCTCTCTTCATATTCCAGTAGGAAAAATTTTGCCTTGCATTGTCTACAGTTGCAACGATGTGTGCTGCGTCGGCTTTCACTTTTGCGATCTTCTCTAAAGCATCTTTTCTTGCTTTCTTGCAAAATGAATTTTCAGCAAAGCAACTAACGTTACCAATGAACGATGCACATGAAAGTGTGGAGCAGAATGGTACCTTTTGCGATGCAGTAATGTTTCGTTTTGTACATGGACCTTCACATTTGTACGGAGTATGCACGTATTCATACTCAAAGTGTTCTTTTTTGCACTTTTCTTCAGAAACACTGCATTTCCATCGCTCTTTTGCTCCATGGCGCTAATAATAAAACACCAGTGGCTACAACCGCAGGGTTGCCAATAGAAACGCCAAATGCTACAAAGGGAGCGCCTATAAGATTACTCTTGGAGTGGATTCTTTTGCAGTACACATTTTTGCAAATTGCGTCCGTGTGTAGTGGCTCTTTGCGTTCCTGCTTTGACAAATGACACGTTTCTAGACAACGTCCTTTAACTGCTATGTATGTATGCTTGAAACGTGTGCCGCAATGTTCCCCTTCATGACAAATTTTAGGACAATCTTTCACCGCGCAAAGTGTGCTTAATTCCTGATTTAATTGGCGAATTTCATCGGAATAACCGTCGATAAATTCAACAAGAAGATTAAAATTTTCCCTTGCAACATTCAATTTCTCGCTGCTTTTTCTATACTCGACATTTATTTGATTCATTTTCGCCCGCGCCTCTTCCCGGAGGACCTGAACTTTCATTAGACGAGCTTTTGCGCGACTTTCTGTCTCCACCGAGAGATTAAATCTACCTTTCATCTTTGTTAAAAGTTCGTCAGTATATTTTGCTATTTCTTTCTCCAAAAGTCGGTTCAGGTTGTCATCCGTTTCTCTGATGTCAAAAACGCCTGTGGTTGTAAATCTTTGGCGATTCCATGGCATCAGATTTGACTTGAATGTTGCGGATGCATAAAATAATCCATTTATTTTTCCTTTAGCAAAAAAGTTTAAACCATTTTGCGATATGCTAACCTTTGTCGCGTCTTGGAAACCAAGAACGTTAACAATGCCAGAAAAAGAGCCTCCCGAGTCAGCCCCTGTTTCACGCCCAATATGTAAATCTATTACTGAATCACGAGTAATTTTAAAAATTCCAAGATTTTTCTGCAGGTTGCCGACACGTTGGCCATATTTTCCATTTAACTCTGCAATGATCTTCGAGCGAGTTTGATGGGTGGAATTTTGGCATAAAATATTTTCAAAACGCAACTCCACCTCAAGGTTGTCAAAGCGTAAGGCACCAAACTTAAGATTGCCATGGAAAGTCATTTTGACGCCATTGCTTGATTCACGATAGCGAGAGTTATTACTTATCTTCTCATGGTATAGTATTGCGCTAAGAAAACATGACATGTTACTAGGTTTATCAAGTTCAACAAATCTGCCAAGTTCTGTATGAAGAAATGGATTTTCTTTAAGAACGTTTTGCATTAAGAGTCCCTGAGAATTTTCCTTCTTTCCAAGGAAACAATCGTTTTTGCTTTTCCCTGAAAAATTAAACGAAGAAAAAATTCTTGTTATTGGGTGCATTCACAAGACACGAAAAAAAATATGATACTATAACCTTAAAAGTTGGAAAACAAAATGCTAACGTGAACAAGTGTCTTTCGTCCACGCAGTGCCGTGAGTACATAAAAAATTGATCTAAGTTAAGAACCTACAGTTTGTTCATAATTGTATCAAGTTTCAGATATCAAAGAGAAATAGAGGGTATATTAATTCCACAGATTTAGTATAAAACTGCTGATTTAAAATAACACATTAAAAATTCTCACCTCCGATTGTCGCATAGCTCAATGTTTGTGGCATTTTAATCGCCAAATTGGTCATTTCTCCTTGTACTTTGAATTCCATTGAGAGTATTATTTCACCATCAAGCTTAGCCAACCATTTTTGATCTAATGGAAAGTCCATAATCTAAATAAAATCATTTTAAATTATTTATACAATAAATACCGATATAAGAACGTGGGACTCATCGGGAAATCACAAAACGCAACAGGGAACGCAACCAGCAACAGAATTCTCAACATTTGCAAGCATAAGAGAACGGTAATATCTGATAATCTTTGATTCGTTTGGAAGATAAGCTGCTGATTACTCATTGACAAGATAATTTTAAACAGGACGTCTGCAATGCCCGCCAAGTGTAAGAAAAGGATTGAAACTTAGTGTATGTCACGAAACTACCTTAACACTGACGAAAAATAACAAAATTGCTTACGTTTTCCAAGTCGTGAACGTTGAGGATTAATGTTCCCTTAAAATCCACTCGAGATTTTATCGAGTTTGATACTTCAAAATCCTTGCTAAACTTTGTAACTAAAGTTAGACCCCTTTTTGTGGACGAACTCTTAGAAATTTGCATTGAGAAAATCTTAAACGACCAACCATTCGCTTGCATCTGTTTGAAAACGGATAGTTGGTTGATCACATCAACCAGATTTGTTGACGGTTTCAAGACAACATTGTATGGAGGAGTGCCGCATAGCTCCAGAGCAACAGAGAAACTAGCTTCACGATCAGGAAATCCCAATGAAACATGGTCTCCATCAACCATTAGGTCAAGATCAGGTGATATTAGCAAAGAAAATAGACTGTCATCAGTCAATGGCTGACCCGTAAGTTGAACTTTCTTAACAAGACGTTTTCCAGATAAATAGTGAGTTTTAAGGTCGTCCTCAACAATAGATCTGAATGGTAACTTTCTCCGCAATTTTAGATCAAGCCATTTTGGAAAACTGTCTCGCACGACGTTTAGAAAAGACTTGGTTAGAACTCGACGCTTTATCATCTCAACCAAGGAATACTTCTTTGCTGGACTGGATCCACAATTATTATTCACACTCGATGGATTTCGAAGTCTAAACTTGTCACCTGTCGTTGAAAAGGGTACTTCGATAACCCCATTGCTTAAGCTTACTAAGCCCTTTGTTGTTGCCAAAATACCAAAAATCCGCCCCCATGGCTTTGTGGATAATGCTGTTATTCTGACTTCTGAACGGGGGCACTGATGACGCTCCAATTTGTAGCATCCAGTAGGAAATGTAATATTATCATACGCCGAGGAATCTGAACCAGAGTTCGAGGAAGCCTGGACCGTAAGCGCATTTTGCTGTGGAATTTGAAACGAGGCTGAACTTGAACCTGACAAATGGTATCGAACTAAATGAAGACCTGGTCGTCGGGAAGTTATAGCAACTGATTGCGAGGTGGCAGAATTTCGCTTGAAAAGTAAATAGGGTGGATTAAACTCGACCCCTGAACTTTGAGGTGTGAAGAGTATCTCATTGTCTGGTGGTGAGACTCGGAACTTGACTGTTGTGGCAGTACCATCTGCGACTATTACGGGATAATCAGGGATAGTAACAAAGCCAATCTCGCATTTTTCTCCCTTGTATCCAGTCTTGGAGCAGTTACATGAGAAGTGCCCGGAATTTATATCAGTACACTCGCCACCATGACGACAAGGATTTGGTTCACACACCTTTTTTTCTAAATAATTATTAAACACATTACAAACTTATCATACACACATCGTATTACGTAATACAATTCTCTTTACTAAATTGCTACAACGCATATAACTATCAACAAGATACAAAAAATGGTTTTTGTACTCTACAAAATTTTCAAGTGTATAGATATAATTTTCATTTTTCAAGTGTCTAAATAAAAATTTTCAAGTGTCTAAATAAAAATTTTCAAGTGTCTAAATAAAATTTTCATTTTTCAAGTGTCTAAAAAAATTTTCAAGTGCCTATAATTAGATTCGCTTTTTTTTTTTCAGTGATGTCAAAAGATACGTTTATTTCAAACCATTATAGAAGACAGGAACTCGTTGTATTAACGTCTGTACACTTACTTTTACATGTTACACCGTTCGGCTCCCATCGACCATTTACTGTACATCTTAATTTTGACGTCTCATTGATATGGAAACCATCATCACAGCCTGCTATGCATTCTGAATTAAACCTTGTGTCGCACGGAGAATAAACGAATCCATCACTTGGTTCCGGAGGGTCTGGACAAATGATAGCTAAATGGGACAATTACACACTTCAATTTGGTGTATTTTGGAAAATTTGGTGTATTTTGGGAACCTCTTATTGCATGGAGGGCCATATACGATAAAATCGGCGAATTGTCGAAAATTTCTGGTCATGACGGTCTTTGAAAACAATTAATTAATATTGTCCTTAATGGGTCAAAAAAGTCACTTTTATAAGTTTTATTACCATGTTAAAGAGACAGGTATAATTTTTGACCCAATTTCATGTTTCAAATTTCCCCATGGTACAAAATCTCGGCAATGGCGTAGCCAGCTCGACAATTTAGTTATGCTATGCTAATATTTTTGTGTTCATTGACTGTGAAAACAATGAATTTCTAAAGAGATGAATAATGATAATAGCATAAAATTTGAATAGCATGACTAAAATGTCAGGCTGGCTACGCCACTGAATCTCGGTTCACCAATTGGCAAAGACATCACGTGTATTTATAGCCTCTGAAATTTGGCATCCGAGGGGGGAAACAAAACTCCACATTTGTGCTCAAATTAAATTCGAGAACCTTATGACGTGTACATCAATCCATTACGTAATTTATCAAACAAAATGGCGCTTAAGCGGTTATTTTCCTACTGTGTACTCACGTTCGCATTTTGCCTCTTTCCCAGTCCAACGTCGCGAAGGAGAGCATCTTCGTATACGGGAACCAATGTGTTTATATCCAGTGGAGCAAGTGAAGTCACATGTATGTTCAGTTGTATGCCCTGTGCAATTCATGTTACCATTCACTGGTGCATAAATAAGCAGGCATGGTTTTCCTAAGAGATAAATCAAAGAATTATATCAGTGATCAGGATCCAAAATAAATATCCATACTGCATTTGGTATGTAATTGAAATGTTACTAAGTAATATTATGGTAATTTTGCTTACAATCTCTTAAACAATGGGTTCTTGGAGACCCATAAAAAAAAGGAACAGGCTAGAAGGAGTTTTTTGAAGCCTGACGAAAACTGCAGGAAAGCGACAAAACCTGGAATAATCTACTGGATAATTGACCCGTACATTTATTGGCATCAAATGTGGTATAACAACTGCCTAAAATAGACAAAACACTTCTCGACTTTTTGATATGAGGGCCTTCGTCAAGAGATTCATGCTCTCCTGACGAAGGCCCTTAGGCTGAAACTTCGAGAAGTGTTTCGTTTATTCTTATAGGCAGTTGTTATACAAAATTTGATGCTCAGTTGTTTGAAGACGCTGCCAGGCTGCTCCCTGGTTATATTGGAACGTATGTACATTTTTTGGTTGTTCTGTTAAAAACCGTAAATGCCACTGGTCTGTTGGCACTATGAAAAGCTAACTCGATAATGGACAATGAGAACGTTCGTGTTTATGGCTTACAACTGTGAGCAATTCTTCAGAACTTCGCACTCGCACTTTCAATCAAATTATATGACAGATTTTATAATTTTAAGTACGACTTAACATAGTATAAAACTCACTAAGACTTTAAGTAGTTATCCACACACTTTAATTTTACACACCTGAATATATCTGAACAAAATTGTAAGGTTTGTAAGAGAAGAAATTGTTTTACCTATACACGTTTTTCCATCTTGGGACAGTTCAAATCCTTCTCTACACCCACATTTGTATGACCCAAGCGCATTCTTGCAAATTTGATCGCAACCATGTCGTCCACTGGAGCATTCATCAATATCTTTAGTTAGAATTAACAATATTCGATGTTTTAATGTGTAATTTAATATTTACTTCGTTAGCGAATATAGTCAAGTTGAACAAATCTTTTAACTAGAAAGTTGGCAACCAGATATAGGAGGTCTCCGATGTTTTGCAAGCCTATGGTGGTAATAGGTAAACAAATAAACATGCATGCAAATATCATAATAGATCATTTTGAGACATGCATTTGTTAACGAAATATAATAAGGTTTTCAAGGCTACAGCAGTTGATTAAATTTTCTCTTCCACAGCACACAGTAGCGTAGCCAGCCTGTCGATTTGTCCCGCTATGCTAATATTTTGGTGTTCACTGACTGTGAAAACAATAGATTTCTAAAGGCACGAATAATTATAATAACTCGAAATTTACATAGCGGGACAAAATCGTCAGGCTGGCTACGCCACTGACAGCACAGAGTTTTGTAGAAATGGAGCGTTTCCCTTAGCAGGGCCGTAACTTGAACGATAATTGGAGGGGGGTGTTTATTCGTATATTCAGTTCTGCCCGACGGGTTTCTTTTGTAAGTGCAATAGCTCACAATGGAAATCCGTCGGGCAGAACTGAATATATGAATAAACACCTCCCCAATTATCGTTCTACAGGGTGTCCCAAAAAAAACGAAAACTATTGAAATCACTCATAACAATGTAATTGTTAGAGTTTGAATGCCTAAGCACTCTGTTGGGACCCACAAGTGCATGTGTAAATGTTTGCCATAAGCATTTTTATGCATGCATATGATGCAGTAAAATTTGCTCGTACGCGAAAATGATATTTATTAACAATATTTAAATGTGCATCTCAATCACCATGACCTTCGACATGTCCCCTTTCTCTAGCAACACAAAGCATTTAGCATTTTACTGAGTTGCATTAAATCCCCATGGGCTAAAATTCGTGCACACGGCATTCAAATTTTAACAATGAGTGATTTCAATAGTTTTCGTTTTTTTTGGGACACCCTGTAGTTACGGCCCTGCCTATGAGTCGTCTAGCTTTAAGAGATTATTTCTGGTTATTATTTAACACCATTAAAATTAACAACAAAATAATAAATCGTATACCGTTGCAATGTTTTTCGTCCCAGGCAAAATAATATCCCGGATGACAACTGCAATTGAAACCGCCAGCGGTGTTGGTGCAGATCTGGGAACAACCTGCCTTCTTTTCAAAACATTCGTCGATATCTAAATATAAGGAATTGTCTGGTTAACTATCGTAATGGGAACTGGAATCAGTGGAAAGCTTATAATAATATTTACAGTTAAAAAAGTTAAAAGTGATGAATGCAGTAAAGTGTTTTATGCGTACAATGATATTGCTAACTGAAATTTTGCTTTTAAAAAAACAAGAAACATGTACGTTTCAGACACATGTACGTTTTTTTTCCTTAAAACTGCTTCCTTACCATCGCAATGCTTAACGTTTGTGGTGTTTCTTCGGTATCCGCTGTAACAGGAGCAAGTATATCCACCAGGGTAGTTAACGCAGTTTTGTTGGCAATTACCACCATCACATTCATTCACATCTGCCAATATAAGGATATCTTGATGCATGCTAGGTGCTAATACCCTAAAGGCCGTAATCTCGTTTACTATGCAATGCCAATGTAAACTGCATGTTTTACCCTCAGGAAAATATATTTCCGGTGAACATGGCATTCTGGGACTAGGGTGTTTGGGGGGATTTGACACCCCACCCTCAATAATTTGCACAAATTTCAGCTTCAAATTTGATTGATATGTACAACACATCTGATTTATGGTTACTCATGCACAAAGTTGGCCGTTTAAAAATATCTGTAGGCTTGGCATTTTCCTCTCTCAATGACGAAGAAATAAAGGTCCCAGGGGAGCGAAAATGTGAAACCACACAAATGTGAGTGCGAAGACAAATTCATTTTTTTAAATGAATAATAAAACAATTACACAGGCGTAAAAGTCACGAATACGCTGGTGCATGTACTTGAGTTTTATGCTGCTGTTAATAAGAATGCCGCCCTGCTTGTCATTGATAACTTCCTTCTTAAATCAGTTATCTCTTTTTAAAAATATGTATTTCTAACCTTTGCAAGTTTTTCCGTCAGCATCAAGATAATATCCCGCCTGGCAGGTACATTTGAAACTTCCAACAGTATTTTGACAACCAGCTTTGTAATCACAGTCGTTTTGATATGTTTTGCATTCATCAATATCTAAATATCAAACAAGGACTGATTTCCAGTTGAAGAATTTGAATTTGCTTTACCTTAACTTACCTTGATTGCAAATAGTTAATTAGATAGAAAACGAAAAATTGCCAGCCGGTTACCGATATAATTTTAAAAAGCTTACTCAAGATAATCATATCAAATACTATGCATATCAATTTTATTAACCATGCAGGAGAATTAATTCAGCAAAGGTTTACTTACCTTGGCATGTCTTCTGATCACTGCCCAGTTGATATCCATTCTTACAAGAACATCTGTAACTGCCTCGAATATTATGACAGAATCCATTTGCGCTGCAGCTGTGGCTGTTAGTTCCGCATTCATCAATATCTATACAGCAAGGGAGGTGTAATTTGGTATAAAAAGCAATAACTATTCAGACTTTACTTGCTAGTGAAATTAAATTGAAACCTATTTTCGAGTTTGTTTACGTTAAGAGCACTAAGTCGTTTCGACTTATTTTAAATGGAAAAGCGATATCGAAACTCTATTTGGAGAATCATTAGCTTTTAACTAGTCTTTATATGCGTATAGTTCCTCTCAAATTCTACATTAATAAACATTTTTCTGAAACTTTACATGAAATTCTACAGGGATACTGAAACTGGGAGAATGTTCAAAACAGCGTGCTCTCGATCAGTAGCGTTGAGAGGGCGGAGGAAACGGGGTACTTACTTCGGGGCCCGGGTGCATGTACTTTTGTTCAGGGCACAAAGTATTACTGAAAACAAATTTACAATTACAGTGATGCTAATCTCTAATTGAAAGAGAAACTATGCAATTATAACATATGGACTAGAAGTTAACATTCAGTCTGACAATAACTTCTATGTGTTGTATTTTTTTTTGCATAATGTTTGGCCTCTGAGACGGTTCGTGTTCAGCTTCTAATCTTTAACACAGTGACCTGCATATGTCAAGCAGCTACAGTACAACTTAAAATGTCGATAGGACCCAGATCAAAAAATTGCCCCGGGGCCTTCTTATCCTCTCAACGCCCCTGCTGTCGATAAAGTGCTTCCTGTACTTAGTCCAGATGAGCTAACATACTGATGTATACAAGTCAGTCGCAGTCAGTGCACCATTCATTATCATATAGTTATCTTAAGACTACATCTTGTGTAGATAAAGTGCTTTAATCGCTAAAAAACAATTCGAGAAACTTTTTCTCTAACTATATTACCGTTACACGATCTTAAATCATTATCCAATCGATAGCCATCAGGACAAGTGCATCTGAAACTTCCGCGTGTGTTATTGCAACCAGGTCTATACTCGCACTTGTTAGTTTCAACCCGAAGACACTCATTAAAATCTGGATAGATTGAAGAATTTTTCTTGTTAGTTCAAACATAAATTTTGGTATAACGAATTGTGCATTTTGCATTTTTCCAGTACCATTGAAAAAAGTTTTGAAAATCCATTATTTTAAAACTTGTGTTAATTATATTAAACAGAATACTGTATAAAAACCTTCAGAATTTTATTAGGCATGCATGCATTACCACTTTCGCATTCGGAACCTCTCCATCCTGGGTTACAAGTGCACTTCCAAGGAGCACTGCAACTCCCTTTACCATTACAACCACTGCATTCAGCTGAAAAAAGACATGAAATGGAAACTTTGACTAACAAGACGCCGTTCTGGCGTTAACTCCGGCGCACGTGCCAGTCTTCAATATAGAGCTTCTGAACATAAACAATACAGTTCGCGTATTGTTTCGCATACATATTCGCATTTAGATACCTAGCGAACCTAAATGTTCGATCGCGAAATTCAGAAGCACATCGCAGTATAGAAGTTCAATTGTTCAAAAATGTAAATAAACCGCATGATACATTCGCTTCGTCTTACACTTTGCCTTTGGAATTTGTGCTTATATAGTTATATTATTAATATTAAATCTTCGATCCTGTGCAAACTACTACGCGACGTGTCGACGCGCCCATACACGACGACCACATCATCTTTTTAAACGGCGAAATAGCAGCGAGATTACTAAAATAGGAATCTACATGTATTAAATATATTCTTACCCCAATTCAATCTAAACTTAATCGAACAGCATGAAAAGAACGGTTTATTTGTTCCTCTTGGAGGAATTGCCGTATCATGCGAGAGAAATCGAATCGCGCATTGGAAAATTAGCCAAAGCTGTGCACCACAACTCTTGGGAGATAATACTGGGACGTAGATAAATACGGTCACATACACATTTTAGATACTAGAATATTTTGCGCCATTTCTGACTTGCGACGACGAAAAATAAAAAAAAACAAAAACAAAACAAAACCGGGGCGAATTTTCAACTCCGTCGCTAACGCCGGAGTAATTAGTTTAAACACAGAAAAAATTGTCACCGGTTACGGCTAAACGGCCTTATGTTCTTGAAAAATTAGAAATGTGCAATTAATTGTTCAGTCAATTGGTCCGCGTACTTACGAATAGAGCACTCGGAACCTTTTTGCTTCCAACCATATCTGCAATAGTATATTGGGTGGTATTTCTTCACGGTTTCGTAAATTGTTTTATGGCGAGTACGAAGTTGGTTACTAAAACAACATAATACGAAAGAAATTGTCATTCGCAGGTTCCTAATTACTTTCAGCTGGGTAAATTGTGATATTATTATACTTATCGTAAGTGAATATGTCTATGCTGTGGACCAGCGGTAACTGGCATCCGAAACGTACCTATATAGAGGCGTTTTCTTTTACATGACATATGACAACCATATAGGTAAAACTCTACCATGTAAATTAATAAACATGTCCCTCATGCTCCTGTAGTTTGAATGTAGCTACCGCTGACCAGAGCGTACACGGGTAATGATGAGCTACAGAATAAAAAGTGAACAGTAGGACCACTTCATTATGTAACCCGGTCAAAAATAGTCAATATAGTCATGTGAATATAGTAATGCATTGCGTAATAAGATATGCGCAAAAGTTAACACAAAAATTCTCACTTGAGTGGTCCCACTGTTTATTCCTCATGATAATCTGGGTTGCTATATGACCCACAGGCAATTATGTTTTGAAAATATTAGAACATAAATCCATTATCATATCACAACCTTATGAGATTATAGAATTATATAACTTACTGGCAAACCGTTTTTTTCTTCCAACAAATCCCAAAGCGGATCTTGCACGTTTTACTACATGTTTTAACGTAGTATGTTTCAGGAATTGATCTCCCTTCGCTGTGATCAATCGCCTTGTACCTCGTCAGTACATTTTTTCTGAAAAATTTTTTTAACCTTCTAAGTATTTCTTCATGTAAACGTAGCGAATATTAAGACGGATGTTGGTTTATTCTACTGTTTTGATTTGGAAATGTATAATGATATGTTCAATACTGCTGCCAAAGACGTGCCGGGCGGGAAGCGTATTCGAAATATAAATATTAAAGCTCAACTTATGGCTTTAGTGAAAGCACTATGTTGGGCTTTAATATTTATATTTCGTATAATGATATGTACTAGTTAAAATACGAGCTGCCGTTTTGTATAGGTTATGAATACTAATCTTACTTGTATCAAAGTTAATAGTTCATAAGAGCTTTATGGAAAATTACAGATGAATACATATGACTCATTCATTAATTATTCAGGATTTCACGAAGTGAAATAGAAAAACTTTGGGGTGAAAATTATAAAAGTTTTCTTTTTTTTAATACACCTAATAAAAAAATCTTTATAGTATTAAAAGAGATAAAGTATAAAACCATGTCAGTGGCCAGCCATAACCAGTCTGGTGTCTTATAAGCCCTGTGTCTCAGGAAATTTGTATCTCCCCAAAGTTTGGCCTCTCTGAGCAATTTTTAATTCCTAGGAAATATGGGATTTTTTCGGAAATTTTGCATTGGTAATTACGTCATAATTCACACTCAGTATCATCGTATCATGAAAATAAGACCGAAGTGAAGGGATATTCTATAATCTAGCTTTTATTTAAACGTTTAATAACAACAATGTATATACTTGCATACTTACACAGGTAGTGCACATCGATACACACAATACTCTACAGTCGCTCGCTAAGTCGCTCTTCCAAAGTTTACAATGTTACTTATATTTATACTAAAGCTATGGGATGTTATTCTACATATTATAATATATATATATATATATTATATATTATATATATAATATAATTATATATTAACATAGTCGGAATTGTTCCCCAATTGACAGCTAAGGCCCACGGGTGCAAGGCGTGCAATGTTTTCCGCGTCTGATTTTAAAACTATTTTTATATAGCCTCACGTGATGCGAAAATGGTCTCTTTCATTCTTCCAGATGTCGAGATGGGCTTCTATCTGACCTCTTCCTCACTTATTCCCAAAAATGTTCAATGAGGTCTACGTCAGCAATCTCTTATAGCCCTGGAACGGTCAATATCACTTTCTTTCAGGCTCTTTTCTGAATGACATGGTGCCCCCATCTTACTGGAAGATATAATCTCCACCACAAAGCCATCTCATTTATTAGGAAAGTTCTAGGTACAAGCCAAACATACCATTTTCCGTATCTAGTTGAAAATTTACGATTTTGGGACTTTCTAAAAGGTGGAGAGAGCTTTGCGGTTAAGACTTTATCTTTGAACAAGATAGGGCACCATGTGACAGAGAAAAAAGCCCCACCGAAAGAAATATCAATCAGTTCAAGGCAACGAAAGAATTCTGACCTAAACCTGTTCGAATATCTCTGGGAAAAAGTGAAGAAGAGGTCAGATAGAAGACCATCTCGACATCTGGAAGAATGAAAGAGAACATTTTCGCATCACGTGAGTCTGTTGATCCAGATGTAGCAAACAAGCTTGTTAGGTCAATGACTGGGCATTGTGCCGCAATAATGGTCTCTCATGGTGGCTGTACCAAGTGCACGACCACTACAAGTCTTTCTACCTAGCATGTCTTGCAATACCATAAATTTTACTAACAAGTGACAATTTGACTGGGGGCCTATAAAACTTTTGCATAGTACTGTAATTACAAATAGATAAGCACGATTTAAAAAATCAAGTTGCAACGCACTTGAGCATTAGATTCTAAATATATAATAATGAAAAAAATAAAGTATAAAATATGTATACAGCTACATATCTCAGAGTATGCTAGAGTAGTGCTGAGGATGTTAAAGCAATGGCGATGACGCGCGTCAAATAAACCGAACACCTTGCTAAGCAAAGGTCACTCCCTATTTCTATCAAATCAAATAAAAATAAATGTATTAGCTTTATTAATCTTACCTCTCCGTCGAAATTTTCCTTCAAGAATATTTTAAGAAAGAACATGCCTAAGTGGTGACGTCAAAGGAAGTATATATATATATATATATATAGTATATATACTATACGTCTGTCCTTTCTTATCCAATGTAATTATCTGGTTACTAATGCTATTAGTGTTAAAGTGTCTATCAAGTGAAAATTTACAAATGAGACATTTACATATGAAAATGCACTGTGCAAAATCTGAGCTTAATCCATACAATACTTTCCAAGTTACAAGCCCTTAAACATAGGAAATTTGCCGATTTTTGGCGACATTATTTTGAACGGCCAAAAGGTGACCAAAGGTCATGGATGACGTATGCAAATGGACACACTGAACATCGTAGATTTAATTTACTAAACTAGAATACACAACATATTACTTATTTCAAACACAAGTGCTCAGTTTATGGATAAATTTCGGTTTTTCTACGTCTGTGTCATATTTAATACTCTGAAGCACAAAAGTGTTACTGGTAATTGTGCGTTTGAATATAATCATAAATCTGTATACTCGACCAAACTCTTGTCAACCGACGCAAATGAAACATTAGATAAGAAGTCTGTATGGCTACGCTCGTTTATGATGTTTGTTCTTTGCAGTTTTAAAGTAAAATAGCCAAAAGCGAAATAATAAGAAACATTTGCATTTATACGCAATTATGTAAATATTACGAAGTCTTATTCGCGCAAACCCTAATCTCCGCATTTATTTCAAATGAAGCGTCTAGAGCCCCAACCCTGATAATATTGACGCAAATTTACACGCATTAACTTACTGAAATCCGTCGACGATTTTTATATAAATATGGAAGTCTTAGGTTTGTTCACCAGAAACTTTTGTAGCTACACTAGTCACTAAACTACATAAACCGGAATGAACGTTGCTTATAAGTCTGCACATGGCATCGCAGCAAACGACAAAAAGAGGAGGTTTATACTGCGCTTGTGGCGGCCGAGGTGGTTACTAGCTGTACAATTGTACAAACTCGAGTCGCTACTAGCAAGCGGTTCGTTTGAATACGGTACAAAAAGAGACGATTGCTCCAAAAATTTCTTCCTCGCTAGCGCTTTCTTTTGAAGATGTATTCGAGCTCGAAGAGCATTCGCTTTCCTTAGTAACTTCCATCGCCGTAGCTCTATTTTTGTTATGATTGTCTACTATGTTTATCGTGCGTGATAGTCATCGTGTCCATTTGCCTACATCACAAAACATTAAACTCATCCCCAGGTTCCATAAAAAATGGTCACCTAAAACTCTAACTTTAGGCAGCTCTATCTCGGTCACTAATCTACGAAATTTTTTAAAGCAATTTTTCTACTTTCCGTCCATCCCTAATCTATAATTTTAAAACAAAAAAAATGATGTGATTTTTTCACTTCATAGACACTTTAATTAAGCTAATACTGGAAGATAATGCCTCACATAGTGTACGAGTATCACTGGCATTTCTACACCAAAGGGAGAACCTGTTAATTATTACGTCGTTTGCATAATTCACGGAAATGTTATGTATTCTGATAAACACAATAATTTCGTTAAACAAATTAAATTTGTACCCATATTAATTAGGGGTGCACAGGGTGTTTCAAAAAAGAAAACTTTAGATATTCAACTATTGTTGCAACTTAAATGCACCGTCACTATGTTAAGCCTTTGGATGCGTAAAATGGTGTCAGCTTTGTGCATATATTACATATCTTGTCACAAGCACATGCAAGAGCCTTTCTTCTCCTGAAAATTTGACGTAACTTCTAAAAGCAAAATTCTGCACAATAATGAAGGGTGAAAAAGAGTTTTTATCCATACTTATATCCTGACAATGTTTGCCGCGTCAGTGATTTTAAAACTATTTGCCTTTATAAAACAGACTAGTTAATCGTATACGAGAGCTCATCCCGTCTTATAGCTATAATCAGGGTTGAGATACTGAAAAAAGAAGCCAAACATTGTTGTGGTCGGCCTTTTGATATATTTTTGTTTGTTTTAAACCAAGAAAACACGATCAGTAATAATATTTGGCAATTACATTTATTAATCATAATGTGGATTTATGTTGTACGCAGTTACAAATGGATGAACACGATTTAAAAAATCAAGTTGCAACGCACTTGAGCATTATATTCTAAATAATATCAAAAAAAGTAAGCATAAAATATGTATACAGCTATATATCTAAGAGTATGTTAACGTAGTGCCGAGGATGTTAAAGCAAGTTGGTTCTGCGATAATAGACCTCAGTTTACAGTGCAACGAAACAAAACCCCAGCTACTTACCTATTGGGATCCAATAAAGACGCTTTACACAAATACGCATTCACCAGCGCATAAAACAGCAGCAAACTAACGGCGGTCATAGTCGAAGACAGCAGGTTCTTCATCCTACCACTCACTCCAATCTTAAATCAGTAGTTATTTCAGCGAGGGTATTTATACCTCCGTGAAGAGTGAGGGGAAATGTAACTGGAACTGTTTCTTTCAGGAATGGAGTGTCAAACTTATTAAACCGGATGTGTATTTTTTTTGGCGGATTTCGATTTGCAACAATGCATCTGGCAACTCAAAAAACCAATGTGCTGCCAAATCCTTCAAGTCTCATGACGTCAGTGTTGATATTATAGTTTATTCGGTTTGTAATAGCACAGTTAATAGTAGCTAGAAATTTAAATCGCAAGATCATATCTTGTCCCATACATATTACAAACGCTGATAATTACACGGTGTGTATGATCATTTAATTTTTACCGCCGGTGAAAATGCAATCTTTTTATTGCACATGCATGCACCACATGCGGTGGCGTTGACACGACGGGCGGCAAGCGTATTTAATAAAGCAAATAATAAATAACAGACAATGTAAATATAAAACAAAACTTCAAAACACGACATATAAAAATAAATATGTGTATCCTTAGCTTAAAGGTGACTCGATATAGTTATATACCAAAAACCCTGCTCGAAAAACTAGCATATTAGTTTTAAAATCTGCCCCATGGAAAAAATGATAAAATTTACTG